TAGATTAGGTGGCAGGCGAATTATTTGTTGAATACGGAGAAATGCAGGGATTGACCTGCATGTTCTCGCAAAACTCTGTGGTAATTCCAAAAACAGGCGGGGAAAAGCAGAGATGCATTTATTTCTAGCCCTGAAGAAGATCTTGGTAAAGTAAAGCTTGATGGTGCCCGATATGGAGTTTTTTTACTAAGCAAAGCACACGGCGCAACAGTCTGAGCAGCATTTGATTTCGTACACACTGCCGTTAAAACCCCACTTTGCCAAATCTACAAACACAAAGCAACGTTCCATATGAGCAGTGGTAGGCTACACTATACCTTAATGCCATTTAAACTTGTTTTTGCCCCAGCTGAAGTGAAAAGGCAGGACAATCGGGAATGTCGTAGGCCCCTCGAACAGGATTACATGGCGGTCCATATAGAAGAGGTCTTACCAAAGAAATTAGCACTAGAGCCCTCATCGCAGCGTTGTCTTTGTTCCGAGAGAAATAGTCGTTTCTAAAAGCCCCAAAGTGTTTGGGTTTCTTGGAAACGATTGTGCCTCTGGGGTGCGTCTCTTAGCTGCATGAATCAAGCTAAATCCAGCAAAAACAGAAGCAGTCAAGACGTTACTTTTACACACCGGTCGGAACTTTGCAGTGTCCTATGGCCTTTGTATCTTACTACCGTAACTCAATCCTGGCTTTGTTTGGATTGGTGGTCCTCTCAGTGGCTTACTTAAGAAGCCTAGTATTGGACCAGAACAGATGTGACTGCTCGCAGTAAGGACGCTAATTAGCATCGCTTCGACTCCTCGGGCACTGACATTTACCGATTATGAGCTCCATTTCGTCTAGTGGACCGATTCTAGTGACGCAGACTATAGTGCTTTTCTCGCCGAATATGGCAAGGGTTTCCAAAATCATCGAATTATTGCGCGTTATTTTCACTGCTTCTGCGAAAAGCAGCAGCTTTATCCAGTGCAAAAAGAAAACTCCATGGGGTGCCATGGCTACGCGTTAAACACCTGGCAATATTTATGTTGGCGTCATCTTACTGTCCGCACTGGTAATCAGTCTCTTGTGCACCTTACGCAGAGGTTGCAGACCCTGATAATCTTTAAGTTGTTTGCTGGATTCTGCGCCTCGTGCAGTGAAATTTTACACCGAGGTAAATACATAGCATCACCAACGTCATCGCTGATGAGCTCTCTTAACCCCCAGCTACTCGCTGCTGTGCAGCCCAACTGTTTTTCGCTGGTAACAATTAACTGCTTCTCTAGAAATTAAGTTCCTTTTGTGCTTTTGACAGTCACCCCTGCATTAGCATGACCAAAATCCCGAGTAGTGTAAGGATGATGCACTGCCCCGTGTAGGAATGCCTGCTGGGGTGCCTAGCAATTTGGAGACTGCATCGTTTGTGCAGTGTGGCTTTTCTCCGCAGTGGGGTTCCGCTCAATGGACGATCCGATGGGATCACACAAATATGCGAAACTCCTAGGGTCTTTCCTTTAAACGGCAATGAAGGCCACAGTGGAAGAGGAATGCACTGTATTACCCTGATTTTCCGCAGATGACCCAGCGAAATTTCCGTAATCCTGGTGTTTACAAAGCTTTAAGTTTCTCAAAATATCTAAGCTAGTTTGACTGTAGACTTTATCCTTGGACTGAGGAAGGTCAAGGGTTAGGAAATCATGCACGTAATTGTCGACAGCACCAGCAAACGTATGGAGTTCATCCCTTGAGTCAGCCCTGTCACGGGCGGTAAGGCGGTCAACTAATCTCAACCCATGTCTGACAGATCCATTGATTTCTTGCTATCGTCACGAAACGGTACTCGAAATTCGCTCTTCCGCTCTGGCGTTCCTTTACGACTCGCCTAGACGCTGACCGTTCTGTGACCACTGCGAGACACCCGGAGGCGGAAGGGCAGACGCAACCGGCCAGGCACACTCTTTTGTTGTCCTGGTGACTCTATGCTAACAAAAGTCCACATGCTCCTTATCAACTTCTTGCGCTCGCTGCGAACTCTGCCCTTGCATCCCTGGTGTATACTGAGTAGCCCCTTCGCCCATACGGAGCTGCATTTGCTAGTACGGGGTCAACAGCTGTCCATGCCCAAGGAATGATTGATAAAAGCAGCTTGCTAGTGCATCTATATTCATGGGCAAAGCTCTAGAGGGGCAAACTTAAAATCTTGATAGCTGATGGTCAATTGCACGTTGCGAATCCGAAACGCTGATTCCGGTGACTCGGCAGGCTTTACGAGCTGCATATGCAGGTGGCCAGACGGCGAGAGTCACGAGCGGCTGATTTACAGTATTTGCGATTTCCCCATGAGTTAACGGTCTTCCATGAGCCATCTGCTTCCGCAGAAGACAGATCAACCACAAACACTGTCAATATCGGCTTCCAAAACAGGTTTCGATGCTCCCAGAATTGCTTACAGGCCTTGCCACCCAGGCAGGTAACTCATCCGGAGGCATAGAATCCACTAGGAGCCATAGAGGAGCTGAATTTTATTACCATGTGGACATTGTAGACAGACATTCCTGCTAAACTTGGGTGTAAACTCCCGACATTAGCGGCTGACAGAGGAGCAGATACGGGCTTCGTTGTCAGACGCCCACTGATGCTCTCCTTGTCTAGCAACGTTAGTCGCCACCCAGAGTACTCCCCGCGCTTCCGAATTATTGCCCCTCCACAGTGCATATCCTCCGTCTGAAACACTCAGATCCATTTAGGGGTTATCACTTGAAAAACCGGTAACTATTGTTAAATTGTACCCTATATCCACGTCTAGGCGCATTCTGTTAGGCGCGTTGCATCAGCGTGCATGTTTTTGCCTCCTAATGGGTTTCAAATCGACTAAGCTACATTCACCAGCTAGATTATATAAAAAGCTGCCTTGAGTCGCGAAAACCCCCGCTGAACTACTGTGCCTTTTGATTTCCGTTACACATTCTAGCTGCTTTCCATAGTTTCGCACCAGTAGGCTCCCACGCTTCAGCCATCGGACGACAGCTAGACATATATCTGCAACAGTCTTGTTGGCTTAGTTCTTCAATCGGTATTTCCTATTATTATTGCCTTTCTCTTTCTGTCTCTCTTTTTCGACTGGTGTGTTCTTTGCCTCGCATTCTCACTTTTTTGAGCTTCTCTATGCCTAGAGGATAATGAGAGGGAAGGAAATCTTTCGCTGCCCAGTACGTAGTAGTGGTATCTATCGGCAGGTAATGATCATTAGGGCACTTTGAAATAGGGCTGGGAGAAGAAACTTAGAAGGTAAAGCTACACTTCAGCGAATTCTGCCTTAATGTTTGTATTGATTGTTTGCTAGTAGAGAATCAACTACTGTGTTTGCTATGTTCGTTCTTGCTTTTTCTGCAGAGTAGCGTTGGCTAGTGTGTCCTTCATGCAGTCTGCAACCTTCTCTGAATGCTCAAGGAATTTGAAAGCGCAGCAAAGCATACACGACCACTTCCTTATCCCCATATCGGAACTCCGAGGGACGAGGCATTTGAAGGAGGGGGCTGTTGAAGAAAAAGCTCAACCCGATGCGCCTGTTCCCCTCAAATCTTTCCTAAATTCTATCTTAATATTCGCAATGTGGTAGAATACCTTAAAGTTAAGCATGTCCATTACAGCTACATTTTCTTGCTCGTCTTATGTTACTGATGCACCAGTTCAGCACTAATCCAGAGCATTAGAACGCATGCAGTGTACCAGTAGGCTAAGTTACGATGCTGAGTTTGCTGCAAATGATTGGGATTCTCAGAGGGTGGAGAAGCTTTATCCCAGCTGCTCTCTGTCTCCTAGTGTCAGAACCAATTGGGGAAAGGGCAAGGCGAGGCAGGGAAAGTTCGAAACGTTCCTTGATTACATTTGCCTAGGCTTTAATATGGCCATGCGACAAAGGAAATTTTGATGGAAACCACATATGAACTGCAAGCCGCGTCAATGTAGCTGCCGAGACCGATTCATTGAGATCTGCACTGGATCTCAAGGAAAGTCAGTGATATTGGAGTCCCAACGAGTTAACCTAAAACGGGAACCCAGACTATTAACAATTGGGAAAGCGAGGAAGGTCGAAAATGCCAAAATATATCTCCTACATGGCAACTGGGGTTGCTTCGATATCCTCTTGAACATTGCATAGCACAGCCTAGCGTAACCAGGAAACTATGACTCTATCTTAGTAGACCAAAGGAACTCGATGGCTTGTGTGTTGTATGCATGTACACATCAACAAACAGCATCTACGAAAGCAGGACGAGATTAGTGTGTTAGGTTTAGCGTACAAGCCTGCGGACGGATCTGCACTTCAATTGATATTACATGCTTGTAACTAAAGCACGCGGCGAAAAGCCATGCAAAAAATGCATGTTGACATCTTTGAAAAATGTTGATATATGGAATAGGTAAGAAAGTGAATTATGCAGATGGGGATTGGCATGTGGGTGAGCATATCGAACCTTGTAGCAGGCAGGCAACACACCATTGGTACTGCATGCTGCCGGATGACCCTCGACGCCTCAGTTGATTAGTCAAAATCAGGCGAAAATTTCCTGAAATTCTTTTGTTAATTCATTTGTTAGTTCATGAATAAACTGTTTCTTTTTTGGCCATAGGCGGTAAACCAGCGTTCGTTTCTCCTGCGTCTGTCAGCCAGCTGGCCCTAGGCTATATAGCACGAGCACTGATGGACAAGCGGAGAACGCATTCTAGATGAAGTACAATTTTCTCGTGCATTTTGTATACAACGTTCCACCGACATTGCGGTGAGCTGCTGTTGCCACCCACGTACGCTTATTGGAAAGCATGCTTAAGAAGGGCAGGAAGAAGCAGTTGGCAACCGGGGTAGACATTCGTAATGGGTGACTGCCATGTCGAGAGGAGTTGGGGGCTGGATATCATACAAGTCTATCTTGAAAGTAATGTCCTTAATTGGCTGTCCTACACGCGTGTTTTGCGCATGCTTTTATGATTGTAGGTCTCTACGCGTGTTCGCCCTCAAGGTAAAATGGCGGATGCAAAGCAGACTTTTGCTAGGGTAACGAGCTGGATGGGCTTTGTCTCTGGCGTTCTTTCTCTGTTAGTTTTTTTCTTTATGTTGCCTGCGGTCTCGCCGCGGGTGCTGGTGTATGAGAACAACTTCACCAAGGACTACAACCGGGGCACTTGGCGCCTCGCCATGTTCTCCTTCGCGCCGGATGTTTTTGTAGACATATGGACGCCCTTTGTGATGGGCATTATTTCCATTTTGTGCCACTTTGGCGAATTCGGCCTCGAATGGATGTGCAAGACCTACGCCCACTTCTTCGTCTGGAACTTTGTCCACGCGCTCTTTGGGCAAATCGGGTACTCTGGCGTTGTTGGTATCATTGCCAGTTCCTTGACGCTTCTCTGCACACTATTCAGCCTTATTTGCGCCGTCCTCGTTAGGGAACAAAGCGCCAAACTGATGCTTACCCAGAGGAAATGAATTCAAAGCAAGTGAAAAACCAGTAGACAAACAGAACTCCCTTCGCACCACTTTAGCAGCTAATTGGTGTCTTCAGGAACATGCGCACGCAGACATTTCCAGATTTTTCTGCTTGTTTTGTATGTACAGCTGTGAAACTGGGGGTAAACGTTGACACGATATTCTTGACTACTGCTACCTCGTCGGTGGTAGAACAAAGCGCCTTCTTGAACCGTTGTTCATTACCAGGCCGTCCTAGTGTACTTAGTTCTCCGTAGCCGCCGTAGCCTTGTTTGCTGACTGCCCTCGGTGGTTACGCCATTTACTGCATTTTAATAAGGGTATTCAAGTGAGTGTCTCTGTTGCAAGCGACCCTCGTTGCCTGAATGTAGAGAGGTTCATTGTACCTTCAGAAAGGCAAATTCTGCTAATGATGGGCAACCTATTGGATCCTCTGCGCCCTCCTTGCCCATTTCGCAGCCACATTGTTCCAAATGGAAAATAGCGAGAGGGATGCAAAGCACGATGCCCGAAGGGCATCATCTGAGCAGCAGAGAGAGTAGCGTACGGTTGTGCCATCAAGTCTGAACAAGGCTGAGGGTGAATGAAGATATTCTGACACTTTAAAAGCTGGATGATTAGTACAACCTGGTTATAACACCGAAGTAAGCAAATATCCACGCGATAAAGGGGCCTCGCCGCATCACGCAGAATGAGAATAGCGAAGGCCCTGATGTGAAGTAAATATATCTATCAAGCAATATAACCCCATCATCCATGTTTGTCCGTCTGACTTTGAAGAAACTTATGCTTAAGCCAGCCAACATCAGCAAGGCTTCCCTGACCAAAATGGGACTGGGGAGGGGGCGGCTTCCAGTTCTCAGGAAAGAGTATCAATGGCTTCATACTCATATCAGCTAGCGCCAAAATGCCTCAGTGAAAGGCTAATAGATAAAAATATGTTGATATTGAATTCATGCTAATTATAGAAGAGACGGTTTCCACGAGACCACTGCTGTAAGTGTAATACAATGTAGTCAGTACTTGGGTATGCGTTAACGTGCTCCGCACCAGAATTCAGGCACCAATAACAACACCTTACGTGATAAAGTAGTCTGCCTTTAGGTGAATTTAGTAAAATTCCGACGAAACACATCACGGGATTACAGCAAGCCCGCATTTCTCATGAGCAGACTACGCCTAGCATTTATTTTTACTGCATCAACCTCAACTCTCCTATCCGCCGCATAAACTTCGCGCATCAACCCACCAATATGTATCCTCAGGGGTCCCCTTCCACATGCTGGCAAGGGGTTTTATATCAGTCAGAGTCCTGCACTTCGTAAATTCCCTACACCCTGCACATGACGGGTATGATGAATTTGGCTCCCAAAAGTAAGTACAAGGAAATCCAACTCATTCACACCTGCTGCAGGAGAAACGAATGCGCCTACTCTCAATAATACTATTGCATGAGCAGCGACCTGGTTATATCTATCTTTATCTCCTGTTTGCGCGCCAAAAGCATTTTGCAAGAGTATTCTGACAGGAGCTGCACGCAGGAGTCCATGCGCTCCATTTGCACTTTCAGTAACATTCGTTTGCAATAAAGGAAGTGCGCTGCGCTCTCCCTACAACCGAGGTGCGCCCACAGTCAGACTTCCCGCAGTAGCTGCCTCCTGCCTCTTTGCATTTCGTTTCCTCCCTCTCCTCCCTTTTCGTTTGGCAGCAGTCTGCAGAAATGTCCTACTCATTGCTGATTGTAATGGGTCGTCGCTTTCCCTAATGCATGTCTGCCGCTGCCCTCCGTGCTCAGTGCAACAATCCAAGTCTCAATCCAGAGTGATCGATTGATCTCCTGCGTACATCTCTCTCCACTGACGAGCTGCATCGTACCACAAAAAATGTAAGTAGAAACAGCCAGAATAAATGCATCACCTCAGCTCGTCTCCCACCGCGCGTTGGCCTTTTCGAGTGGATTGCTTTATGATGAGAGGAGAAAATCGCAAAGAACAACTTGTGGTTCCTCAGCCTTGCGATACAATTTCGATTGTACACTGGTTAACAGCGGTAACTTAGATTGTCTTGTGAGTGACCTCCTAAGTATGTCGGCGAGTTGTGTAAATAATTGAACGCTGCTGCACCTTACCCTACGCTTGACCATTTGAACTGCATAAATTCGAATCGTGATCTCAATAATACTAATGTAGACCCCGAGAAATTTTGAACAGGCTATTCACTGACTAGTACACTGCACTCATACTATTTTCTAAGAAACGGAATGTCGCCACTGTTGCTTTCCCTACCCAAACAAGCTGATTCATAAATGTCGCATCGTTTGGCCTATACGAATGAAGCCTTTCAAAATTTGTAACCCTATTCGCCTTGAAGCTACTAGACAATTCTCACCGCGTTCCTCCGCGGCGTGTCGGTCGTTTTTGAAGTGGTCCGCCACACGAGTGTCCAAGGGATCGTCAGGCTCCGGAGCGGAAAGCAGCGCCTGTACAGACAGAAGAACAGTTCGAATCTGCAAAGCTGGGCTCCATTTGTCCTTCAGGATGTCCAAACAAATCCGGCCCAGCGCGTCCTGAATCAAAAAAACACAAATAATTTACTGCTTTTCAGAGAGTAAAGCAACAAAATCTTTATCATTATCCGCCTGTGTCAAAAAAACTGCTTATACACCATAAGACAATCAACAAACACGACGCAGGTGGTTGAGAGCGTGAGCCACAGTGCTAATCCTGGTGGCCCTCAAAATATATTGCTCCCTGTGGTGGATATTAGCTGACAAGTGGAGTGAGTTGACGAACGCAAAACTAAAAAGCGTCGTAGAGAAGGAAGGCTTTTGCGGCAGGAAATGACTCACGATATTGGGATGATAGATTTTGGTAAGGAAGCGAACCTTCGGTGGCTCCATTGGATATTGTTCCGGCAGAAACAATTCGAGGCGGTACTTGCCACCTGCATGTGATCAACACAAGAAATGTTCATGTTGAAGCATAATGACGCGACCGACGTTACAACCAGCTACAAATGAGATACTAGTGAATCTTAAAGCCACAATGTGTGTCATTCGCAGTCAGCTGAAAAGCCACAATAGCACACATTGAATGTAGGCAAGTAAAGGAACCAGTCATATGTGGCTCAATAATTCGATCTGTGGCTATTCTGACAAGCATTCAAACCAGTAGCGGCAAATACACACTTTGCTATGAGCCATGCAATCTACGTGGTGAAACTGTAGCTAAAATCTCGAAGAAGCCATATGCATAGGATGAGCACAAAACCGAAAGCTTCTATAACTACACTGCATTCGATTAAGTTACTTTACTGTCATCCATTATTTTGTGGCTCCCATTTATGGCCCCAGGTCTCAAGGATGCCTGCTCCAGGAATCATGAATGTTACTCAAGGCAGCAAGACCTGCGCTCACCTTCATACGGGGTTCCTGCTGGGCCGGTCATGATGATCTTGAAATACCGATAGTTTGAAGGGTCAGGCACCGCCTCTATCCCTGGAGCTGAGGCAGAGCATCTTCGTACGAAAGCCATAAACTGAACGCCGAGCTGCCCCATTTCCTATAGACTAGATCATGAGCGGCCTGTACTAAATAACGCTCCAAATATGACAAATACCCTGTTAACACCCTCTTAAAATCGTGCAGTACAGACGCGGGACGCATTCCCAGGGGCAAGAAAATTGCAACAGTCGTACCCATACAGTATTGATGCTGACAAAGCTGCACAAAATAGTAAAACTTTACAGAAATGCGCACTCTAAGACAGCAGAAGCCCATGGTCGTGTGAAGGTTCTCCAGGCTAGTGAACTGGCACATCAACGTACTGCCCAAGGAGTGAACAAGCGCCAGCTCTTCCCTTCTCAAGCGCCCAGCCAAAAAAAAGCATCAACATCTTGTCGTACCAGACACTTGAGAAGGTTATAAGAGGAAGAAGTGTCAATCACTCACGGGGTTCGCTGGCCAGATTATGCGTTTCTTTCTGAATCCTTTTTGGCAGCAGCATCATGCTGCACGCTGCCGTAGCCAGGCAGGGCAAGCGTGAGTAAGTCTTAAATATGTAAAGCGGAAGGGGGAAAACGCGCTTCTCACAGTGCCGAGGTGGAAGGCCGATGTATACGAGAGAAGGCAAAAGTCGGCTGACTATGCGATGGTAGCAGCTGTGTAGCCCTGTTTCTATGTTTGAGGCAACAACATATCCACTTGTATATTTTGTGTGTCGCTGTGCCGAGATGCACGGGAATCGACGAAAACAGGTGGAAAGGGTTCGTGGAGCACAGGCATGCTACTGCCAGCCCCCATGCAGCAGCTGGAGAGGGCAGGTGTCTACTCAGGGTAGTGATAGGGCCTAATTTGCGTCGTTTTATTGCTTTACCTCCTAGGAACACTTCAAGCAGTTTCTTATAGAACTTATTGAAGGTCCTTATTGAGGGTTTCTCATGCCATTAGCCGGTCCTCCCCTCAGCTGTCTGTCTTGCTGGAGAAAGCCCCATTCCATTTCTCAAATTATATTATTCTTCTCTTTCTTAACTAACAAGCAAGCTCCGTGGAGGCCATCTCAAAACACACAGCGCCTGGCTATTTGTCTGCTGACCGGTGGACTCATCCCAACACTAATTTCCTCACTGGTGCTGACCTCGCTAAAGGAAACCCAGTGGCCTAGAAAGTAACGTAGCTAAGGCACCCCTCTTAATTTACCCTATAGGACCAAACGATGGTGACTGAAGTGTTAGGCGCCTTTTGACTACTTAGTGCCTATGTTTCTAGCACTTTGAAGCACTGTACACCGTCTTTAGCCAGTGCCTTCATGAGGAGCTCCTCGTGAATCTAAGGCTTCACGTAACGTCTCCGCACAAGGACAGATAATTATAGACTCAATACAAATTCACCAGAAAGTTATTGAGTGTTCCATCAGAAGTTCCTTCCTGCCGCCGCCCCTCTGAGTTCGGATGCGACGCGAGAGTGAGGGCTAGTGCTCGTTGCTGCGCGCTCTAATCACTCTGGTCGTTTACAGCTAGCTGCACGTAGCATCTAGGGCACACACAACCAACATTAATACTTATCGTACTGAGGAATGCTAAGACTACTCTACAATACACAAGGTATAGAACACAGCTAGTTAATTCGAAGAGCAATTCATGTTGAAATAATTTACTGGTGCGGCGGGATGTGCCAAAGTGTACCTTAGCCATCTTCTAAATTTGGTAGGAGCGCTTACGAGTGGAATTGCTTTTTTTGATGCTTAGCCGAATTCAGAGCGAGCACTAAACCTTGCTGGCAAAGACAATTAGAGACAGAAAGAATGAAGGAACGTATGACGCCATAGTTTGTTTTCCAAGGCTAAGCAACCTTTATAAACTACTGGCCGCATGACTCCAGATTCAAGTACCTATTTCTATAGCTCCCTGTTTGATTGTTCCGTTGTTACTATCGGTTTTCACATCTACTCTGTCAACACTCCCGCCCCCTTAACCGCCTACAGGAGGAAAAGCGATAAAGCGTCGTGCCCGGTTTATGCTGACCAGAGTAATGCAGAGGCTCAGTAGCAGAAAAAGTGATGGCATAGCATCATGCTCACGGTAGAAGAGAACGGTAACGCTTTTTCCCCCAGGGCACTCATTCACTCCATTGTAATTCGTGTCGCATGAATCCGTCAAGACGTATAGTGCTAGCAGCGTTTGTCGAATATTCGCGAGTGAAAAAAGAAATTAGAGATGTGTGCTGACTATTCGGAAATCTGCCGTTTACTCGGGTAACTTTCTCAGTTTGACGATAAATACCACACGCGAAGTCACCATCTCAAAACGCTTCCCAATAATAGATCAAAAGGCAGACCTGTTGGTGCGCTGTGCGAGATTCCGCGACAAGCAGCCGCGACTGCCCATTTTGATCTCATCCAGTGCATGTATTCTACAGTATTTTCTCTAGGATCACATGAACGGAGTAGCGATAGCTGCTAGACGCTTGGCGAGTAAATGAATTTCCCCTGATTACTAATTCGTCGATGCATCTCCGCCACTCAGCGACGATAGGGGCTTAAGTGGAAGCAATTATACAGGCAAACTATCCACTCAATTAAGTAAAGATATATTGTAAACCAACAACACGCGAATTTAGGGCAACGCCTGCCCAGGGCAATTACTGGCCTGTTGTCATCGCCACTACTAGTATTTACGGTAACAAAAAGGTCTTCTGCCGTTGTATACCGCTGTCAAAATTTCGACTGTCTGTCCAAACTTTGGCCAGTAGATCCTGTAATTTGGTGGTCCAGGTCAAAAGTATTTTTTTGCAAGGAAAGTGTGTTTCGGACAGCATTCTCTTTGAGCTCATCCACTTGATTTTGGCGCCAGACTCGCCGTATTTCGGTTTCAAGCGTAAAAAGCGCAGAATAGCGAGACTTTACTGGTCAAGAGCAACTGTGCAGAAATCAAGAAGCCTTGGGGGTGAAACAGCTGTAATGTTACAAGAGCCGAATCAGGTATCTAGCTTGCAGGGTTGCTGGCTGATACCTACCTTGCCTCACTCGTTAATGTATTACCCCACCTGCTGAATGCAGGTGGTAATACTTGTCACTGAGCCAAGCAATCTGGTAATAACTCTATAAACTCGCAAAATTAAGCACTCCCGCGGCTACTGCATTCACAGACAGGTCCTTCCCCTCTCTCAAGAATCCGCTCTCTTCTCATTGCCTTCTTGGCCTCCATGAGTCAGGGTCCACTGTCGCCAGATGTCAAAGAAACGGCATAGTCTGCAACACAGGCTTTGCAAGCCCACTCTGATTCTGCTGATTGCTTCATGTTTTATTAAAGCGTTCATCTCATTTGCGGCATTTTGGGTGTTTGAAGGTTCAGTTGTGGAGACTCATTGCGGACTACAAAGGCGCAGATGAGTGAGAGAAGAGCCGTGAGGAGGGAGAAGGCACTGGCGATGATGCCGAGTCCACCAGCGTAGCCCAGGTTACCGAAAAGCGCCAATACGAAGTTCCATATAAAGTAGTGCGCGTAAGTCTTGCACATCCAGGAAAGATCGAAGTTGCTGAAGTGGCAGAGAATGGATATCAGGCCCATTACAAATGGGGTCCAAATGTCAAAAAACACACTTGGAGCGAAGGTAAACATTGTCTCCCGCCAATAGTACTTGTTAATATCCTTAACCGCATCATCTTTATCCACTTTTATCTTGGGATTCAGGTCAGAAAGCAGGAAACCCCAGACGACTATGGTAAATATTCCGCATAAGAGACCCAGCCATGCAGTTACCCTGCCGAGAATGTGCGCTCCATTAGAGTTTGCCATTTTCCGTTCTTCATGCAAACACAAAGCAAAGCACAGATGAAGGAGGTGCAAGAGCGACCAAACAGCGGCCAACTCCGGTAAACTGGAAAAAAAGGTAATCCAAGTGCACTGTGTATCCAAATATACTGCAGTGTCAAACACCTGGAGTTGATGCAATGCAACTGAGAGCAAGGAGAATAGTCCTTATCGGGGTTCGAATATAGCAGAAGGGGGTATTTCCCGAGGGCTGAGAAATATAAGAGAGAAGCAGCCCCAAAATGCACAAAATTGTGAGCAGGATTAGGATTAAAATCAAGGTCAACAGTTTAGGCAGAGGATGAAAATGGAGATTTACCCAATAGGCATATTCAATGTTTTTGTCCCGATTGCGTTAGTCATTCAATTAAAAGGGCAGGAAGGTCTTTCGTAATAACTTGAGGCGAATCAAAATTACCGTGTCCGGAAAATGAACTGCAAAAAGGAAGAATTTTCAGGTTGAACAACCAGCTGTGTGGGTGTCATGCACCTTGGTGATTCGCTGACCCATGACTCCTACGCCAACTCTAAAATTCTAAAGAAGGTCATCAGCAGTGGTATGCTCCTTTATCTTCTTCCAAAGATAGGATATTCATCAGGTGATGAGTCGTTCTGAGGAAAAAAACAGGGATGTTCTTACCTTTTTGATATTGGGCAACGGAGTACTCTTCCTCGAGCAGTAGCTTCATACCAAGACGCCCTGTGACGGATTGAGTCTAGCGCGAATCTCATTAATTCATTCTTTAAAAGCCAAAATTTAGCTTAATATAGGATTTTCCTCTTAGTTTCAGTGGCGCATTATGCGGTTCCCGGTTGTCATATTGTACCCACGGTTCCACTGGTGCCGTACATGCGCCAGGACAAAGCATCAACTAGGACTACAAAAAACAATGGCACTGACGCATTTAAAAGTATATTGCTGTGATCATTATCGGATATCTTAACCACACGGGCTTCCTGCGATTTGAGCTTTTGATGCATGAAGCGGGCATATTGCGTTTCTATTGGTCCATCGCAAAGCTGCAGCAGGGTCTGTCTGGTGCCTTATCATCGGCGCCGGCACTACACTCATAAAGCCTTTTCTCAGATCTCCTTCAATTGTTTGTGAACTTCTTGTGATGTCGCTCCGGCTAGTGATGCCCTGTCGTTCTCATTTTAAAATCTGAATAGGAGCATTGTCCAATTCTTGAAGCTCACGAAAGAGTTGTCCACCCACAGCTAGAAAACCTCACTTCAATGCAAATTGCCTATTGCCTAGTGCAACGTTTTCCCCAGAACGCTTACTGCGATAATCTCTGCGTCCAAACACTACCCAAAAGGAAGAAACAATTGTAACTATTCTTGACAGAGTGGTACATCCCATCCGTGCTTCGGGCTCACAGGTTTCCGGGCCTCGGTAAGGACCTATATTTGGGGCGCAAGTTGCTTTATCCCCTAGCATCGCTTGCGTTTACCTTTAGTTGCACACGACATTACACATACACACCATGCGAGCACCGATAAGGGGAGGTTCGGGAAGGTTCTGAAGTTCGACTGGTTCATAGTGCTTCGTGCATGCAGCCTGGGGTAGGTAGGCCTAGTGAAACAGCATCGAGATGAGCGCCTTTTTGTAATCTGGGCCTCTACTTGTAATTATTCTGATGCAATTAGTGAAAACGGCAGTTGTGCCTGAGCGAAATGTTACTTTTCTGCAGCTCAAGCTATGTAGATTAAGTAGAAGAACGCTTGTCGCATAACTTGTCCATTTTGTGCTGTCTCGTAAACAAGTCTTGCTACACCGGCAACACAGCGAATAACATATCTATACAATTCTTCAAAGTGGTAGCAATGTGAAACATGAATGGAAGAGCCAAAATTCTGGAATGCCACTCGGGTGACTCACGTTTCGATTACAGTTGTGATCTGCCAAATTTCATGCTCCTTTACATAAAAGACACCGCAGGAAAACCTGCAGATAAGAGATTTATGCTCTGCGGTAAAGGCAGCATTTGAAGTGTCTATTTGTGTGTGCGTGTTATTCTGAATCAGACTCGGAAGGTGAATTTGAGCATGAAGAACTACAAAGTGCTGACTTCAGGGACCGTCGCTGTGTTTTGGACTGTGTCAAGAAGTACAAAGTTTTAGTTTTATGCAAAATCTTACTTCTAAGGTCGCCAGTCGGAAGCTCTTTCGCACCTCACTCTGTTGCCCATGAGCTTTTTTCACCAACTTCTCGTGCTGATTCCCCTTTGGTTTTCTTGTCATATTCGAACGAGGTAACACGCCACAGCCCAATTTGTGATGGCTAGTGGTAAACACTGGGATCTCTGCCCCCTCCGCACATACTAGGTCTCGAGTGAGGGGCACAAGCCAAGGGTGTTCCTCCTGTCCTGCTGCATCACTTCTTTTACATCCTCTGAGTAGCATATATTGTTGTACATATCATCGGCACAATAAGTACTAAAGGAGGTGCAAATAAGACGTACATAATTTGAGCGAATTGTAGTAGGGTTACGGCATTCACGGTACCCTGTAATTTTGTTGTAACGCTTCAACTTCCGAGCAAAGGACCGCAAAAACTTGCGCACATCGGCATTTAGTGTATATTTCACCCAAAAGGGCAGTAAACCAGTTCCAGTCTTTAAATTTTCCTATGCGATCCTCTAAATGATTATTTATAAATCCTTTGTATCACGCTATTCCAGGCCTTACCTTCTTCCATTTTACGGTGTACTGCATAGACCCAGAAGAACGCTGAGGAATGAGATCCTCAAGTTGACGCTTTCGCCGACAGTACCATTGCTTAAACGCGAGGGTTCTGACACGCGAATTATTCTCCATTAGTTCAGAAGTTTTATGACATTGCGGTTCCAGCATATGAACCGAGAGGAATAGCTTGCTCTTGTAGTTTCCACTATAGATGTACAGACACTTTGGGTGTTATTACTGATGTAGCAAAACACAGAAATTTGATCACACGCTAAATAGCATGCGCTTTTAATTTGTAGCCCATCCTAAGATGTTGGTATATATCTACTTTTTAAAGAAGGAAGTCGTTCGCATCCATACAACCGAACCTCTATTTCGTATTTCGGCGAGTGCACCTGGCACTTGAGCCAATTAATGAAGGAACAGAACATCACACTCCGCACAAACTCGAGCACCCTCTGAACGTTTATATGTATCTCCTGCAGCAGCCACTTGCATTATTTGGCATAGATTCGTGCGTTTCTCTGAGGTGCCAGCTTCCTCTTTTTCTGAGAACGGAAGTGGTCAAATCCAATAAACGGAACATCATTCGTGTTACGCTCTACCAGGTGAGGGTCCACGAGGCTTCCTGGGCTTCTTTGTGCTTCAGCACAGATGCGCATAGTGCAACAACTTGTAGTCGCAGGGAAAACAACGATACAGAACACATCCATATCAAATGGCAGATATTCTAAACGTGGAGCAGTACAAAAGTGGAAATTGAATGTATGCCTAGAACATCTGGGTGAAGCAAATTGAAAAGAACCCCCATGAAGAATAGAATTCACCTCCATCCACCGTGCCCAAAATGCTCATAGAGGCGGTGTTGTCCCGACAGTTTCCTGAGATTGATTTCAGTTATTGATTGTTGTCACTGTTGCTACAGTACACTGGTCGGCGACCAGATCCTCGAACCAAGTTTGCAGGCGGGGGAAGGCTTTACATGCTATCCTATTGTTGAGCTGTTTAGCTCCAAAACAGTTATTTTCCGTGTCCCTTTTTCGCTATGGCGGCCTCCCTGACGGACGCATCCCTATTGCTGTTTTCCTAAAGTGACGCCAAAAACTTGTACCTTCGGGCATATTCATATGTGTAGTGCACAGGCAGTGTCTGAATAAGCTCAATTACATGCTAGGCAAAGCTCAATATGCAACAGCTGACTCATGAGCTGTCCATCCGACGAACTCCCCCAAGGTAATCGTCAAAAAGGAACTGAGGACACTAGCCCTATTCCAATTCCACAGGTGTCGTCTACAGAAGCTCCTACTGTAGAAAAACTTTTCGCTGCGCGAAAGCCTAGCCCGTTCTCTGTTGGGTCATTGTCTATCCTTCAAGCCTCTCATGTCTACCTTGCTTCCTTCTTGGCCCTTTCAGCGAGGTGTGGAGCCTCAGAATACCCCGCACATAGGCAGGACTTGCCTCCTTGCACTCCGTGTTTTAGGTTTCTCGATCCCGCTGGTTGAAGGGGAAGAGAACAGCAGAATATTCAGACTTAGGGACCAATATAAGCTCAGGAAGTGACCCTGCAGAAGTTATGGATTCACCTCTGAGACCGACATTAATTGGGTAGAGGAGATGTAGATAAAAATTTGACTTGCTACGGAGTAGATGGTCGCCGCTGCGCCTTCTCGGTCGCACCCAAAGCCGCCTGAAGTCCTGGGATGCTGCACCACACAGCCGGCCAACAAAAATCCATTTAAAAAAGAGTCAATTGAGGTCACACATACAGTCGAACACCCTTGAGCAAACCATACGGGGGCCTTATTCAAGGAGACTAGAAATTGATATTTCTGGAGATGAGGTAGCAGAGGCAAAGAGAAGAACATTTAGGGCGGGCAAAGGGACAATGCATGGAAGTCTTTCTACGGAAATAGAGGGCGGAGAGGCACAGCACTAAGTCCCGCCGCTTAGACCTGGCTAGTTCTATCGCAATTTTGAGTGACCATGGGGAAGCGTTTGTCTCAGCACGTGGGCTGACAGACCCGATGGTCCGTACGCGCTGCCTGTACACCTCGTACTCGCGCCCGAACATTCTCAGGAGTTGACGTTCTTCAAATAAAATTCGCTCATGAAAGAACAGAAATGATACGGCAAAGAAGAGGCAACAGCATACGCAGTTGAGCAGGAGCATCTGAGACCCTGCAACGCATGAGGGCACGCGTGGAGATCCATGGTTAAACCGCTTATAGAGGCTGGCCTCTGCCTCTTTATAATTTACTCAGGTGCTACGCATCTAGTCCGACTGGATAAGCTGTTCAGAAACAAAAGTTTTGGGGAGAAAAATCTATGTACAAAACTCTGGAATCATCCTTTTCCCGCTTTAGTAATTGTCCGTAGTTACTATGGCACATGTGAGGTTAGTGTTGCTGCCACATATTTGCAGTGAACACTATGAGTCCGGACTGGCGCAGCCAGTGACACCTCTAGAGAGCGCTGTCTACGAAATAGGGCTGTCTCATGGTTCGGGCAAGCTGCGCATCTGCCTCAGTCTTCTAGTGGTGCTTCTGCTTGCTTACCGACTGCCCACCAGAACCACCCAGCGTACGCTGGGTGGCGACACATGCTGTAGATGCCGCGGGTACAGAGGGTGTGGCCCTTGTTTTTCCTTCTCCGTATTTGATGCGTAAAGTTTTCCTTCAGGGTAAGGAAGCCCAGACCCCGCACAGCAAGGCCGAGCAGCGCCGCAGCAAACCCCATAGCGGCCACCAGCATCAGCACGAACACGATCCAAAGCTGCCAATACACCCAGGAGGACGGATCCAGGGCAAGCGCTGCTGCTGAAGCTGCCGCCGCTGCTTCAGGAAGCTGTTTCTCCTGCCGCTGCAGCTGTTGCAACGGTTGCTCCAGCAGCAAGTCGGCATCGCCATGCAGCAAGGGACGCCGCAGAAGCGCGTGGCAGCAGAACGTGTGCAGCTGCCAAAGCAGCTGTGGCAAGTGTATCTGCTGGCCCAGCACCAGGTTCAGCAAGAGCAGCGCATTGCTGCTGCGGAGGACTGCCGCAGCGATCGAGGGCTTGAGTTGCTGCTCGATGAGGGAGAGCAGTAGCACTGCCGCATACACGGGACTGTTGTTTATAAGGAATGAATCGTAGGCGAGATCTACGGGGTGAAAGGCAGCGACAAACAAGTATTCGCTCCCATGATGCAGCAGCAGGAGCAGAATGAAAAGGGATTCTGCCGCTGCTGCGCAAGGCATGCGGCACCGTACTAGTAGCAGCACAAAAAAGACAAGGCAGCAGCCTAATACGGACAGTGTGATGCACTGGTAACATAAGTCCGCTTGCTCCGATCTGCCGCTGCTGCCGCTGCTCGCATTTGGCTGCTTGTGAACCAGGACGCCGGCAAACAGGAGAATCCAGAAGCCGCGGGCAACAGCCTGCCGAATGAGCCAGGGATTGCTCCTCCCCTCCGTATGCTCCTGCTGTTGTTGTTGCTGCTCAAGCAGCAGCAACAGCCAGCCCAGGAACACCCCAGCCGCAAATGCCCAAAATTGAACTCGATAAACACAACGAAAGGCACCAAAGGCGCTCCTTGTCATAAGGTCGCGGCCGCCGCTTCTAGTGCCTCTACTAAGGCTGCGAATGCCGCGACTGCTGCGGCTAAGGCTGGTGTTACTACCGCAGCTGTCGCTGCTGCTACTACTGCTGTCGCTGCTCCTACTACGGCTTTCGCTGCTGCTACTACGGCTTTCGCTGCTGCTACTACGGCTGTCGCTGCTGCTACGACTGCTGGCTCTGCACAAAAAATGCTTCCTCCATGCAGTTACGGGGCCTCCAACGACGGCTGGAGGGGCGCTTGCTGTCGCTGCAGCTGAGTGCCCAGGAGCCGCAGCTGCCCCGAGAGCTGATGCTGCTGCTTTTCCTGCAGCCCCTCTGGAGAACTGCGACAGAGGACACGGGCGCACTGCTGCAGCATTTGCTGCTGTGTCGGCTTGGTGGGTTTGATCTGGGGGCAGGAAGTGGTGCGGCAACAACTCTGGTGGGGGGGGAGGCCTCCGTAGCCCCCTTTGTCCTGCTCCAGTGGGTGTTGTCATCTGAACCACCATCAGGGACCCTAAAAATAACCGTTCTGCGAGCAGTGCGAGCCAACGCGCCTCGTCCTTGAAACAAAGGCAAGCAAAAGCCACATAGCGCTTGCGCGGAGCTGATGGTGCTGGTGGTGCAGAAGCCCGGCTTGGTGTTGCGGCACCTGCGACCGTGGTATTTGGTGCGGTGCAGCCACCCAGCAGCGGCAAATGAGAGCTGCAGAAAGACTCGGCAGACTCAATTCAGTACCAATGATGCCGCCAGAGATAGCTGTGGTGGCAGTTGCGGCACGCTGCCCCTGCCTACGTTTCACAGCAACCGGAATGCCCGGGGATTGTACAAGCGTCCTGCTGTGCAGCACAGAGTAAAAGTAACGTGCCTAAGCGAAGGCCTCTAAAATACGATGTCCCTAGCTCTCTCTGCCGTTGGGTGTGTCACACTTAGTGCTTGGCGGTGAGCCGAGTGAGTCAGGCACAGTACGCAGACCTGTGCGAAATGTGCCCCATGCCTATCGCACGACGTGATAGACAAAGATGGAGGTGGTTTTTATGTCATTGTTTCTATTGTTATTTCTACTAGGCGGTAGCTCTAGCACCTGTACCGAAAGAGGCGCTGCCGCCTGCTGACAGCCCCGCATGCACCGACGAACGGGGCTCCAAAGAAGCGGAGGCATTCACAGAGAGCAAATTCCAATGCAGATCTGTGGAAGCTGCATACGCTCCTAAGAGAACGCCCTTCTGCACTGAGGGATCCGCAGCAGACTCCGGAACTCCTGTCTGCTGCTGCGGCGGCGAGGACCTTCCCCCCGATCCACCGGGGCGGCTGCTCCAGCGGCGTTGAAAGCAGCAACGTGCGCTAGAACAGCTGCAAAAGTAAAACTTGAAGGAACGAAAACAGGGGCGGGGGAGTAGCAACCCGGACGTCATGAACAGGCCTGCTAATGCCCGCAACAGCGACGACGCTGTTGCGGTGAGGGAGCTCCCACATGTGCGCAACGGTGGAGCAGGAACAGCAGCTGCTGCTCCTCCGGCGGCCGGTAATCCTCAAGCCGTGAGTGCTCCTTTCTTTCGCCTTGTTGCTGAGGCGCAACGCCGCGTCGACACGGCAGCAGCCGTTGCGGCACGAGACGCTCTGCGCTGTCTCTCATCGGGAGTGCAGCAGCAACAGCAGCAACAGCCGCTGCAGGTGCAGCAGGTCCCACAGAGTCGGCTCGAGGCTACAGCACACGAAGATGTGGAGCGCATTCTGCAGTGGCACAGAGCTGTAGCAGCAGCCTCGCCGCTCCAGGGGAAGCAGCACGTCATTGGTGACACAGCAGGAGCAGCAGCAGTGCCAGAAGAAGAATCAGATGCCTCTGCAAATGCGGCACTAGCCACTCCGGGGGCCCCTCTAAGTCTTGTAGATGTTTGGCGGCAGCCGCCCCTCTTTCCAGTATGCTTACAGCTGAAAACGTTAAAAAGGGGGTTCCTGCCTGCCTCGCTGCTCACCGCAGTGCAGCAGGAACAGCAGCCGGTGGCCATTGGTGTTCAGCTCTTGCCTCAGCTGCAGCAGGTGTGCCTCTTTCAGGGCAGTACAGCGTATTTGCTTCCTCTTGCAGCAGCAACAGCAACAACCCCACCAGCCGCAGATGCAGCACCCTCGCTGCTAGTGCGCCTTACAGGCGACGCTCCCATTGTTGCTGCTACCTGCTGCTGCCGCACCGCCTTGGTGGAGCACGACCAGATGGAGCAGGGCCAGCATCAGCAGCAGCTGCTACTGCTCCTTCTCACAACGCAGTCTCTGCTTGCCTTCGCCGTTGTCTTGCTACAGCAGCAGCAGCAGCAGCACACACGACATTGTGGTGTGTCAGTTATGGACTACAGGGCGGGCGGCTGCTGCCCGATTTTGCTGCCTGTTGGTGTGGCAGCACAGCAGCAGCAAAACGGCAGCGGCGGCGGGATCCAGCAGCAACTGTGGATGGCACAGCTCGTTCCCCTGGAGGATCTGACTGTGAGTCTTCCACCGGATATTCGTTCTTTGCTGAAGGAGCAGCAGCAGCGCCGGGAAGAGCAACAGCAAAAGCTGTACGGACGCCCGTGGCATATTGTGCCTCGGCTCTTTGCGCGGCTGCAGCAGCAGCATCAGAGTTGCTGCATCGCTTACGCCTGTATTGGGGGCCAGATACTGCATTTCTGCTTAGACCCCCAGGGCAGTTGCAGCACCGTGAGACGACTCCCTTTGCGGTTGAGCAGCCGCTGCAGGTTCACCTGTTCCTGTACTTCTCGTATCAGCGACGGCAAGTTCACCAGCGGGTGGGAGCAAAGTGTCGCGTGCAGCGCCTGCACCGCCGCTGGAGCAGCGTCAGTGCAGCGGCAGCAGCGACTAACAACAGCAACTGACGCTGGAGCCGGATTTCGGATGGTGGAGGCGGTGACAGAGAGGCTTCTGGTGGCAGCTGATAGCCAAGGGAATATCTACTTGTTGCAGCTCAACGGGAACACCGAGGGAGGCCTTTTCAGAATGGTTTCCAAAGGCGTTGCTGCCCTGTGTGTCGGCATGCTGGTGATGGCGCTCCCACTACGGATGCTCGCTGTAGTCTCTACTGTTGCTTCTACTGCGCGCGAATTTTCATGTGCTCACTTGCTGCTGCGTTCCAAGGGCTCTGGTGCCCCCCTACATGTCGCTCGCGTGCCGCATTCCCTCGGTCGTGTGCGGGCTGCTCTCTAGATGGTGCTCCGGCTACCGATGTGCTGCACTGTGCATGTATGCCTTCTGTTTGATTGTGTTGGTGGCTGCCTTTTCGCTGTGCTGCATTGCAGTTTCCGGCGTTCTGCCCCCAATGTCGCGAGAGGAGCAAAAGATCTCACACGGGATGCAGCAGGCCCGGTAGAAGCAGCGAGGTCGTCGCCGGATGCGGCAGGAGCTGCAGTTGGTACTGCAGCGCCGGAGGATACGGGATGCTGCGCTGGAGGCGTAGATGGCTTCTGTCCAGTTTGCTTCGAGCAGCTTGACGACACAGCAGCAGCTGCAGTTGCCTTACCACCCTTGACAGAGGATGACGAGCGCCGCTCTTCAAGGCCCCCCGCAGCTGTGGAAACCGTAGCGTACATGTCTGGGAAGTGCTGGAAACAGCGCTTGCTCCCACCAAATCAGGAGGTGCAGCTGCGGGAGGATTCACTGCAGTTGGAGGAACTGATGTGTTCCTTCACGCCTGAGATGCAGCCCCTTCTGACCCTTATAACATCCCGAGGTGATCGCGTGGTGCTCCTTGTTGGAACTGAACAGCAGGCTGCTGCTTTTGACTCTGCTAGCAGTAGCAAGATTCTCAACGGAAGCCCGGACATAGGGGCACAATTCTCGCTTCGCATTTTGTCAGTGCTGCACTCCCCGGACGCACTGCAGTACCATCAAGAGCTGCAGCTGCTTAGCGCTTGCAGCAGCAACTGCACCAACACCATGCCAGCAGAGCACAGCTTTCGAAAGGAGCAGGTCTTGCAGGAACCGGCTGTCACAGTGTGCAGTAACGGCCTATTTCTGTTTTCAGAGAGCCGTGAGCAGCAGCTGCAGCAGCAGCCGCAACCCACTGCAGCGGTTGGGCAGTCGGCGTTGCTGTCTCTTCGTGTATCTTGGCCTGCGGATTCCCCAGGAGGAGAAGAAGCAGCAGAAAGCTGTCACTCTACTGCGGCCGCTGCATCTCATCTGCCGGCGCACCTACATTGCTGCTGCCTTCTGTCTTTGCGCTCCCCGCTGTTGGCAGCAGCCGAGGACTGTTTTGTCTGGTGGCCTTTGCAGCAGCCACAACAGGACAGCAGCAGGACCAACAGCAACCTGCGATTGTTGCTGGAGGGGCACATCGAAGGCTTCCCTGAGTGTGCCATGCTTCCCACAGCAGCGTCCGCAGCATGCAGCAAGGAAGCGGGAGGAGTGGGCGCAGCGGCCGAGACGGCGACCTGCAGCAGCCGACGGTTGTGGCTTTTTACCTCCACCGAGTTCCTTTTGGTAGAGGTCACTGCGCGGAGCAGCAATAGGCGGGATAGAAACAGCAGTGTATGCTGCAATGCAGTGGGTGCAGCGGCGGAAAGTCGCGCTGCTGCTGCACTGCGGGCTCACAAGGCAGCAGCAAGGGCAGTGTGGCAGCAGCGGCACCAGCAACAGGTGCGCAGCGTGAGGCGCCGCATGCAAACCGAAGCAGATGCTGCTGCTGCAGCAACAACAGCAGCAGTGGCTGCGATCGAGTTCAGGCGGGAGTTTCCCCTGGCTCTTCCCGCAGCCCCTCGAACCTCCTGGGGTTGCTTGCTGGAGTTGCTGCGTCTGCGGCCTTGTAACAGCGGCGGCAGCGAGAGCGCTCTGTATGGCGACCACTTGCCGCGTTTGACACTTCTTGGCGACGCAGATGACAACAGCAAGAGCAACAGCAATTGTCAGCTGCAGCAGCAGCCCCGGTGGCTGGAGGGTTTAGAAATGCGTCTAGCGATGCTCATTAGCCATCTGTCGAAATCCCCTCTGTTTGCCGTCACTCATCAGCAACAACAGCAGCGGCCGGTATGCGCGCGGCCCTCAGCCCTCTCAACACTAGTTGGCTGCCCGGTAGTGAGCTCGCTGTCGCGCTTACCATGGAGCGGCGTTCGCTACTCTTCGCGTTTGTGGGATGCTCGTGCGAATCTGCAGGGTCGAGATGAGGCTTGCTCCAGCGCTTCTGCGTGTAAAGTCACGCTTGGGGGGGGGCCACCTCTCGTATGCCGGCTGCCACTGCCGTACCTTGAGTGGCTTTGCGAGCAGTTGGATTTGCTGCTGCAACAGCTGCTCCTTTTGGTGGGGCCGCAGGCATCGACGCTCTCTGCTTCTCTCGTGCATGCCCTTGTTGCGGCTCGCCGTCCACCCTGGGCTACAAGCAGCGGGAGGAGTGGCGGTGGCTCTGTGTCACTGGAGCAGCTCGTGGAGTGTATGGACAGCTCAGGCGCTCTGAAGCGGCTGCAGGCTGCAGCCCCCAGCGGCCGTGACTATGAGCAGCAGCTGCTGCGGCTCGTGGGATTTGTGCTGCTGTTACTGCTGCTGCGGCAGCTGCTACGTCTGGCTGGAGCCATTGAACGTCTGCCTCGGAGCAGCCGGATTACAGCCTGGGAGGAAGCAGATGCTTTCTGGAGGGAGCAGTGTGGCGCTCGTACTGCGCTTGCACGAACTCCAGTAATGACGGCAAGGGAGGTGCTGTCCTCGCGGACAGTGTGGCAGTTGCTGAGGTGCAGGGCGACGCAGCAACGACTGTGGCGGTGCATGAGCACTGCCCTTCTGGTGACGCAGAAGCAGTCACCGCCGCTGCCACTGCAGGGAGGCGTCCAGCCTACGCTGTACCACACATCCACAATTAGCAGCCCCAACGATGCGCTCTCACTCCTCTCCGCATATCCATGGTCCGTAATTCGAGTTGCAAGCGCACCAACTGCAGTTCCAGCATACTTCATAACTGTACACGTCAAGGCAACAACAGCGGCGTAGCATTTGCAAACAATTCAGTTTTTGTAAGGCGTTGTGGCTGTTCTCAGGGTGATGGCCACAGCGGACAGCCGCGCGCTCTTTCGTTCATGGGCCGCCGTATACACGCAACAGTACGAGCAGGAGGGCGATAAATGTATGCTCTTGCTGCAACTTGCAAGTTCACTGATGTGCCGTTTTGCGGAGTGTGGTATTGAGCAACAGGTAAAAAGCAAGGTGCTGCTCCTGCTGCTGTTGCCGCTGCAGTGATGGTTTTTATTGCTGATGCTGGTAATGCTGTTGCTGCCGCTTCGTGGAAGGCTGCCTTGCGATGGTACTCTTGCGTCTGCTTCTTTTCAGAGGGCGCTTCTGACCGAATGCTTGTTGCAGCTGCTGATGCAGGAGGGCTCTTCCTGTCCAGCAATGCAGCTTGCGACGCAGCAACTGGTTGCAGCTGCAGGAGCAACGCCAGCAGCAGCTACTGCGGCGACTGCAGCTGCGGGGCATTCTTCTGCCGGAAAAAAGTTTTTTGACGTATTGCAGATCAAAGATATCGTCGAAGCTTTTAAAGAGGCCGTCCATCTTGCTTCTGTTGCCCTCAGCGACAGCAGCAGTAGTGTGTCGGGCTGGCAGAAACTGCTCCCGCGGGTGCTTTCATATTCCTGCAAGGAGCATCTGTTGCTCGAATTCTCGACACTGAGGGTATGTGAGGCACCTCCACAGAAGCAGCAGCAGAAGGCGGTGGTGGAGGGGCTGTGGACAAGGTTGGAGAAAGGCGGCGGGGAGGGACTGCCTCTGCTGCTTCCTGACGAGCTGCTTCAGTGGATTGCGCTTGACTGCCTCTTTGAAGTGCACCAGCAGCAGGCTTCACAGTGCAGCAGAGAAGCAGCTGCCGCTGCCGCCTCGGCCGCTGTTGCTCCATTCAACCAGCAGCATGATGCTGTGGCTGCCGCATGTGCCATGCTGGACAGCCCCGTCTGTTGTGGTTTGCTGCTGCATTGCCAGCCAGAGGCACTGCAGCAGTGGGCTGTTTCTTCCTTACTTACCTTGTACTCCAGTGAATGTAGCAGCGGCAGCAGCAGCAGCGCCGGAGCCTGTACGAGCACCTCTGCGCCCTCGCTGGTGCGTGCTTACCTGCACTGCTGCTTCAGCGCGGGCCTTGTGGCTCAAGGGGAGTTGCTGGCGCAGCTGTATGGGCGGCAACAACAGCAGCAACAGCAGCACTTACTGATTCTGAGAGCAAGCATATACACGGCACTGGCAACGACAGAAGCGGCACAGCAGCAGCCGCCACTGCCAGTAGCAGTCCGATGCAGCGCAGCAGCCCAAGCTCTGCAGTTGCTGAAGCAATATGTGGAGGGCAACTTCAATGGACGAGCCTCCGAGGGATCCACAGTCCATTTGGCATCTCTTTTTTCTTCTCTAATAGATCCAAAGCAGCACCAAGAGGAGGAGGAGACGGAGCTGCTGCAGCAGATCATTTCATCACTGGAGGCACTCCACACGGTATACGTCCATCGCTGCAGACGCACTGACATGAGAAGCAGCGATAGAATAAAGCGCTGCCTTTGGTGCTTCTACCACAGACAAGGGTTCTGAGCTCTTGATAATTCCTGGTGCAACTGCTGTTTGGGTGTTTGGTACAGATCCTTAGCGAGATCCAGCTGCCCCTGTCGTGCTTCGTGGCGCAGCGAGAGCTGCAAATGCTGCTGCAACAGGAGGGTGCCCAGCAGCAGCAGGTACAGCAGCAGTGGATAGCGTCTCTTTGCAGCCCAGAGGGTGCGGTGTGGCGCCTGCGGTATTCGCTGCTGCCGCTGCCGGAGCTCTTCAGGTTTGCTGCTTCAGCTGCTGACGGTCCCCATCTGGCACTCCGCGCGCTGCTGCTGGACTTGGCGCTGCACCTTCCTGCAGTTGCAGCAGCAGAGCAGCAGCAACAGCAGAAAGTGTTTGGAGCCGCGGGAACGGTTCATGTCGCAGCTGCTGCGTTACTCTCTAGGCTTTTCGTTGAAGCCTCAAATCCGAAATCTCCAAGCTTGAAAGTCGGGTAAGTGTTCACTTGTACTGTTGCTGTTGGCCCTACTTTTAGTGGTGCTTTGATTTTATTCCATTTGCTTTTTGCTGGAGCAGGCCTCCTCTACAGCTTGGCTCGTGGTATATGCATTGTTACTGCTGCAGGCTGCTGCAGCAGCAGCTACCACCAGCGGCGCATGAGCTTAAAGAAGGGCCCTTGTCGCTGTTACTGCGTTGTTGCGACTTTGCGTGGACGGGGCTCCCTGTCCCTTCGCGCGAGTCCTTTGTTGCAACGGAAGCAGCAGCAGATGTGTTGAAGAGAGGCAACATGCAGGTGCGATGCTGTCTTGAAGTGCTCCATGCCGTATGGCAGCAGCAGGCACGGCAGCAGCAGCAACAGCAGCAGCGAGCATCCTTGCTGCTGGATGATCTCTTGTTAATAGCTACTGCTTGGCGCCGCCGGGACGCACCGGCCCCGCTGCCAGACTTGTTTGCGGTGTATATCCAGCTCCTCTCCGAGAAGGCACTTATTCAGCAAACCTGCGACATTTTCAATGCACAGCAGCAGCAACAACAACAGCCATTCTCTCCGGCGACATTGGCTACTGTGACTGGCCACCTGCAGAGGGTAACCTTGCGTCTGTTGCTGGATTGGGTGCGAGAAGCAGAGAATGGGGGCCCAGCTTTGCAGTATTTGGATGCCGCAATGGATTCCGAGGTTTTGCTGCCATTTCTAGAGGGGTTCGGTAGCGATGGGGAGTCCAGTTCAGAGGAGGCTGAACTTGTAGAAGCCGCCAAACTGGTGAAGGCTCTCTTACTTAATGCATGCAGAGGCCTCAAGCCCGTGGAGCCTTTGCAACAGCAGCATACACTAGAGCAACAGCAACAGCTGCTGCTCTCACACTCTTATGACCGCATTCTCGGAGCTGCCCCGCTGCTGCCCCGAGGCCTTGGGTGATGGTTCCCTCCTTGATCTCGAGGGATTTGTTACATAATTGGCCAGTGCACTCTACACATGGAAACGCTGGGCGTGAGAGCTCTCACCTGCTTATGCTGCCTTGCGGTTCTTTAAGACAAAACGACAAGAGGCTTTTTACTCGAGAAAACAACAGACCTTTTGTTGGGGTGGTCATATGCTAGTATGCGATATCCGGTCTTCAGATTGCAGATACGGAGGCTCCCCATCCAACAATGCTGCCTTCCGCCAGCGCAGAGTTCGTAAAGCTGTGAAGGCCTATTGGTATATGTGTGCTTACAAAGAAGCAGTAACCGAGACAGCCCAGGTGTGGGGACAGGGCATGAGAAGATATTTTTACTGCAGGCAGCCCTCTGGCATCTGACTATGTATTCACTTTCTCGTTAAACCTGATGAGAAAGCTCCATCCATGCTCTGTGTACATTTGTAATTCTTTGCTGAAACGATCTGCATTAAGGGACGATGGGCTGCGGAGTGCCGGCTTGAGGCTGCTCGCCAAAGATGTGAGTGGAAAAACAGCTTGAGAGGCATGGCAGCAGCATCAGAAAGGGAGTAGCGCTGTAGGAGTGAAAAAGCAACTGGTGCCTATCCGCCTTATACTTCATCAGAGCCATCAACACAGGCCGATGGAGTGCGAAGAGTTATCCAAAAATAAAAATGACTGGGCGCACGGATGTGTATCAACCTAAAATGCAGCAACTGGACATTACCATTCTGAAGTAGCTCTAAGGAGAACCCACAACTGATGACCAGTCAACTCTTTATGAAGGCATTTGGTAGGAACATTTGCAGTGAAATCAAGTGTCTGATCGAGCAGGGATTGAACACTTAAATCGACGACTCAGTTGAGGAGCTGCAGCGTCGATAATTTAGCACTGAATCGACTGCTTGGTTGCATTAGTTGCGTGTGCAGTGCCATTATTCGTCAGTGGCTCAGCCGTGCATATCGTCGGCCACATCGATTTTTTCAGTAATGTTTTCATTCCTTTTTCTAGAAGAGTAATGGGAAGCCTGAGGCAGGAGAAGGCAGTGGGAGCAGTGGAACTGCGACCACGACAGGTGTTGCGATTTCAAAACACATCATGCCAATTCATTGCCATCAGTTGCCTGAAGAGATAAAATCTACTTTTTATCATCTCATTGCATTAATGGTCTAATGTGCTTCACGAGGTCACGACAGAGCTCACTGCTACAGCGAGTAGGGCATGAATTCGTAATTGTATTGCTTGGAAACAGATGTGAAAAATTGAAAGGAATATCTTTAAGAGTGCCGAATCATATGGACTTCAAATGACTCCGCTCAATAGTGGCTTTGAGCCATTTTACAATATTAGTTGAGCAAAATAATGTATCGTGTTGTCGCCTATAAGAGCAGGAGAAGATAGACGCAACAGAAAATCCAGTCGGCTGAAGAGTCGAATTGCAGTATTTGTAGTATGGAAACTGAAACGTAGTGCTGGGATAAGGCCAAGTCAGCAACGAAACGCATTGCTCTACTTGTTGCAAGTGCAAATACAAAAATCATGGAGACCCTCATTATTATCTACATCAGAATCCACATGCGGTGGTATTGACAACCCTGGTGATGAGACAACGTTCACTACAGCTCCAAATAGTACACACATCTTTCGGGTCGAATTGTGGTCTAAAAATTTGTTTTGATCAGCAACAGCACTATTTGCCTTTGCCTGCTACGGTCTCTACACCCAAACATCGCAATCTAAAACAATACCAGAGAAAAGCTTAGAGCTACCAAACGGCTTTATATGACTCTCCTTGTGGAATATGCCTTGTTCGAAGTCTCATACTGCACTGCTTCGTTGTATTTGCACGTACGTCATGAATGACAGACTTCTCAGCATGTTTGCTTACTAGTGAGGCTGTTTGGGTCCGTACCGCTCCAGCATCCATTACGTTCTATAAAAATTGACTTCATTTGCGAATAAACACGAGACAGCAGAAACTAGAATGGTGCCCAATGCTCCGGTGTTGCTTCGGCTGCGAAGCTAGCACGATACTCCCTCTAGTTGCAAGTATGATAGTTTTTAGCAAGTCCTTCAGTATGGCCTTGATACCGCTTCACCTCCGTACCCATTGCATTTGAGCTACCATACTGTGCGCGTAGCCCAAGAGGACTTGGGAAGTGGGAGATCGGGATTATCAATGTAAATTGCGAAGAAGAGGGGAGCGGAGGCATCTGTCTGCCATTTGAAATTGCCGGCCTAGGACAAGAGAGCGGGTAAGTGCACTTCATGAAGGCCCTAATTCTTGCTGCGAACTTTTTGGGAGCAGTGCGACTTTGTAAAAGAACCTAATGCTTCTCAATATGCAACTTCTAGCGAAATCAATCCTGGCTGGCTGCACGACGAGTGAAAATTTTCTCATGGATTAATAAATGCGAGTTCGAATCGTCCCAGTTGTCTGCCGTATTCTCCTAGTTATTTCGCATTACAGATACACATAGATAATGAGCGTCTCACATATGCAATAAATCGAGGGTTGTAGCCTCAAATTGTTGAAGAAGTAATGCTTCTTCTACGAAAGGAGCACGGCTACAAAACTACGAGTATTTCAGATACAGGTGGCACTACTGTGGGCTCGCCATCTCGCTCTCGTAGAACAAGTGCCCTAACTTGCTTTAAAATAGCGACCACTAAACGCAAAAGTCCCAAGGGCCCCGTCCAACAGGCGCACAACCGTTTGCATTCTATGCCGCTCCCATGAAGCCCACTGTGTTAACATTTCCCTTCTTTACAACCCTATGAGCAAGGGTTCTCCGATGAACTGCTTGTTGGTTGAGAAAGCTCCCCCTACTCATATAAGCTGCTGCTCAGAAGAGCTTTTCAATGGAAGTGGGGGATACGTTGTGGTCCACTATATGCCTGGAAACACGCACAACATACCAGTACACTCAAAACGCAAATATATAACTGTACAGAGTTGGGCATCATACCGCGGTGCACCAACATTAGGCTACAGAAGGCAATATGATGTGCTGCCTCAATTTGAAATGGCGGAGCTCGTATTTTGCATTACCTCCTAATGTGAGCCTGAGTTCTGACGATGTAATGCTTCTTCTTGGACATAGCCTTGGCCAGGCGCAATCTCATGTAGCATGCTTCAAGAACGCTCACTAGAGGCGTCCACGCTGCCAGGCACTGACGCTGTATGAGAGTCAGGTGCTTCGCTGCTCCTTGTTTCAGGAAAACCATTGTGCTCCCAATCTGCAGGGAAATATCATACACACAAACCGTTTGATGCATAATTGACGTCAGATAAAAACGGATGCAGTTGGTTCAGGCTGAGACGGAAATGTGAGCGCAACTTCTGCCAGGATGAACCAACAATCCAAAACTGTGATCCTTTCCCCCCACCTGGTATTCGCCTTTGGTAGCTTTTGCCTTTTCGAGAAGAGCCTGGCTCGCAGCTTTCGGAGAAAGAGATTGATTTTCGCAAATGCCAAGATCGATGAACTTGAACTGATAGAGGAAGTCTTTGAAAGGACGTCTACGGGCACATATGCAAAACACACCACACAGGAGTGTGAAAATGATATTACTACCAGCTAAACACGGAATACGGTGTGGATTGCTCAGTATGGTGTTTGCGAAGACCGATGGACTCACCTGTAAGAGAAGCCGATTTGCCTTAGCTGCAGGGCCTCGAGGACTGAGAGTGCATGTAGCTGGATTAGAACCTTGGATTGAACCCAATCCAAAGGCTTCTTGGTGTCATTTGGTTTCACACATCTCACGAAGTGTGGCTCCGTACTCTGAGAAACAATCAAAATGCACAGAGTGCAGCATGGGTATCGGTTTTACTATTTGAAGGAGACGCAGACAGGTATAGCGACTAGTGTACTGACACCCCGGCATTGCAAGTTCAATAAAAGGCGCACATTAATAAGTTCCATGAGGGCCTCAAGCTGCCTCAGAAATTGCGAGCCAATGAGCTGGCCCTTCGCCATTTTCCCTTTCTCCATAACAATGCCAGCAAACAGGTCCTTCACGACGAGGTTTGAAGAAGCCTGGACTACCTCCATGATTTCTGCTCGTAGTACGTCCTTGTTTTTGAAAAGGAAACTCTCTCCGTTGTACTGAATGTCTCCGATAGTATGGCTAACTAGGAAGTTGATGTTAGGCGACACCTTGGCTGGTTTGAACTTGGTGCTGTTCTTGAAAGCAGTTTTGCAAGCTGCCACAAACTTCTCATCACCTCCTCCTGGGGCCAAGCATTGGTCCTCTAAGGTAGAAAGAATCGAGCACTTTTTGTCCGTTAGCACGCTAATAACCTCTGCATTGGAAGTGTACACCAGTTCGGCTGTCGATACGCCCTCCTCCTTGTACAGCTTCGCCTCACGCGCAAACACTATGTCCACGAAATTCTTTTGCAGCATTTCGTTAGTGACATTAATGAAGAATTGCTCCAGCGAGTTATTTTTAAACACCTCAAAGCCGAAGATATCAAGCATGCCTAGAAACTTAGAGAAGCCCTCAGGTGGCTCAATGGACTTGTTGAGTTCCTTGATAATCCAGAGGAAGAGCTTGTCGTAGATGGCTTTCGCGAGAGACGATTTAAGCATGTCTCCGTCGGCCTGTTTCCAGCGGCTTTCTACTTTCTGGTTACCGGCGTATGTGACCTTTAATGTTAGCTCCCTCAGAATCGCGTCTGCGTCGATAAACAAGAGCCTGCAAGCATTTTGGAATGTCTCTAGATTTTCCCCCTCAATTCCTGCGGCATCATCAAGGCCACCTTGCTTTGTGGCCGTGACTTCTACGTTACCAAGCAGAAGGACACCAGACACGATACTCCATACAGAGTTTATTTGCTCCTCCGTCAGCGACATCGACTGGAATGCAGCACAAACGTCGTTGTACTCTGCAAGATCATCAATTCCAGGAACATCGAAGCATTTGGGATTAATATACTTGTATTTATCCAGAGGCAACAGGTGAAACTTCTGTTTCATGGACGCATCAGCTCCCTTGCACAGCTGATAGAAAATATGATACGATCGCTCCTGTTCGTCTTGAGTAAGCACTCGAGACTTCTCTAGCAAGAAAGCGACCACACTGCCATAACGAATACCTCCTTCCTTAGCCACATCGAGCTGCATAAAGCGACCGAAACGAGAAGAGTTGTTATTACGGATTGTCTTCGCATTTCCGAAGGCTTCGAGGACGGGATTCGCCGCCATAATGGCATTTTGAATTCGTAGGTCCATGGCTCCTCCCTTTGCCGTGGCAAAATATCTCATGACCTGCTTTGTTGCTTCGGTCTTCCCAGCACCGGATTCGCCTGTAACCCCGCAGCAACGAAAAGGTTCACGAATCACAAATAAACAGAATGCTGCCAGCTGAGCTGCACGTAACCAAGGCACACCAGGCGATTTGTCTGTGCAGCAGCTAGGACTAACACAAAATTTTTAGTGGGATGCACGTCAAAGGCTAGCTTAGAGTGGCCATGTTTTCATGTGGAAGAAGACGTACCAGACACAATGATGGTTTGTGACTTGTTCACTCCGTGCAGGTTGTCGAGTGCCACTCTCGCTGTGTAGAAGACGTGCGGAGGGAGGTTTGTGTAGTCGACCGCATCTCTGTATTTGCAGATATATTCTTTGGTGGTATTTCCCAAGTCCTTAAAGGGATTAATTGCAACTACCAAAGGATCAGCGCAAGTGTAAATCTGGTTTTTCATGTAACGAATGCGCAGGAAATCGAGCACACACGGGATATTTGTATGGGGGAGCATCCCAATATCTCCGTACGTCATAGGATCAATGGTGGAGTTGACGTTCCAGGCGTGGGACTGAGGGACTTCGAAAGTATCGCCGCTGCCCTGCGGCTCTATCTGTTGAACCTGTAGGACTTCTTTCGTAGAGCCAGGCTGTACTACACACTTGGCAAACATAAGATTCGGCTGCTGCTGAACAGCTGGCGCCAGGTCTGTCCATATTTGGAAACCCTGAGAAGCCCCACAGAGTCGCGCATGAAGCGACAAGATTCGTGTACTTTCCTTAATGCCCTACCCATATACTGCAACCCAGCAAAAGCGCATGACTGTTCAAGGCTACTGGCTGCTTCATATACATGCATTTTCATATAAATGAGCCACCACCCGGTGTGACTGCGTGGTGGCCTTGCCCCCGGATGCAGTGATGTAAGCTCCGACAGCACGATCCAGGATACTGCTACATCTCAGGTAATTGTACGATCATGTCGTAGGTTGAAGATCCACACTGGTACTCCTCTACGTTTTGTTCAGCTATACAAGAACCTAATTAGCTTTTGGCCATTGGCTTCCTCATGAGGTGGTGCTTTCTGCCGCGCCTGCGACTATGCTTGTGGCTCTTATGCCTCATTGAGACTGTCAAGCCAAAAAGCAAGCCTGAGCTAGGATGAAGGGAAGGGCTGAGATATGAATGAATCAGTCGTGTCGCTGACTTTGAAAACAGCACCCGATTGGTCGAGCACATGGACATCTGAGACCTTCTTCTTGAGGCCCGCGGCCGTCTTCACCTCTTCCGTAGCCATTGTTGCGGCTGACCGAGTAGAATATTGGCAGCAAATGGCAGTTAGAAATGAGCGAATGCGAGCACTCGCAAACGCTGTCTACTAGGGAGCAGCAAAAGGTTGCAAGGAGAACTTGAATCGGCACGCTGTGTGCTGGACGCAGTGTGTATGGCGGGTCGTTTGCTGGGAAAAAGCGAAACCGCACATTAAAAGGCCATCCAATGATCAGACCTAAGCAGTTGTTCCTCAAGCAAATACGATTTTAAGGCCACGAAAAAGAAAACAAGGAGAAGTAGATCAATATCCACAGGGCAACGGCGCCGTGGCGCCTGGTGGCGGCAGTACTTAAACAATGTAGCTCGATGAGGAGGCTGAGTATTATTTGTGCAGCTTTTTGGTTCTTCCTTCTAGCAGCCCACGTAGAATATGTGAAACCATATATTCGTCATTCAACCGCCCGTTTTAGATGGGTTTCTGCGCCGGCTAACTCCTAACGCACCCTATCCTGCAGCTATCATCGAGGCCCTGAGCTGCAGCGAGTAGGCCCACTGGACTTCGTGAGTTGCTACTAGACCCTGAGAACCGCAAGTGATGCGATTAGGGAATTGATTATTGAATAACTCATTTAGAGAGAGGGATAAAGGGAATACCGAAGGAGCAAACAGCTTTCAAGCTGCGGCCAAAGAATGAAACTTTTGGACCACCACATGTGCATTCTAGATTCAAAAATAAACTCAAAAGCACCAACTGCAGGCAAAGCAAGGCTTGCCCTTATAACTGGGGAGTATGTAGCTCATTCCTTTTGGAGCCCAGGTTTTTGATCAGTTGCACAGTTGAATTTTCACTAGACGCAGCCTTCACATGAGTCGGCATCGCCTCATCCTACCCTGTTGTAGCGGGCCGAACCGCACTCTGGCACTTTTCACTGCAGTATTTATATCTGGGTATGAATTGGTGATGAATCGGCTATTTGGTGAGGCTGTTCGTGAACTCATTTACTGCAAAGTGTTGCTAGCTCAATAAGCGAAGAACAAGTAGTTTGTACGTTTGTGCGTGATCTGCTGTCTCTGGCTAGCTTAAACTGCTTTAAGTGTTGTAAAAGGCAAAAGCACGCACACCATATTGCCAGTATATCCGCTAGGCAAACTCCTGGGGGCGCGGTCGGGTCCACGACAGAGCTCTTTCCAAAACACAGAGTACTTTCCGTTTTATGTATTTTGTATCGGATGGTAGGTGTATTCCCAACTGAGATATTAGGTACAGTGTTACTCATGTGTATGGCAGTTGTAAAAGGCTCAACGGAAGATCAAAGGGAGCGCTGATTTCGCTTAGTGTGGACATCCAATGGGAACAGTGAGCCGGATATATCTACTTTTCCTGCACTCCTTATAGGCGTTCAGGAGCCCCCCAAAGGCTATCCACGCCCCCGAAAAAGCCTGCAACTTCTCCCTTCACCGTGCCATACCTCCCCTTGTCACCTTTGTCCACATGACTCCAATCTCGAATGGGGAGAACACATACGGAACGCAGAGCCGCACCTACTGAGCACTCAGGGCATTCGGACGCACTTGTGCACAGTTGCTTAGCTCACAGGCATAGAGCAGGTATTCATGTAAATTGGAGCCAAAATGCGTCATGCAGCAAGCCGATGGAATTTTAGAACAGCCAGCCACGGAGCCGACACTCACAGTAAATTCACTTTACTAGTACATCCAAAGTACTGTAACAAAGGGTCTTGCTGCATCGAAGATCTTAGCTGCAATGCCATTTGCTGCTCCAGTGAGTTTGCACTTTTGTTATAAACTGGTCAAGGTAAAACCAGCTGTTTGGTCCAACATATTTCCTTTCGTGCGTAGTCCCAGATACCGTGCTTTGCTAAGAAGCATCTCTCCTCACACACTTGCTTGTGCTGCTGCCTGGGTGGGTCCCTAGAGAGAATCCAAAACTTTAGGGAGAAAGAGAGCGTTACGGTCTCTTTGGCGCACCCAATATCGTCGACATACTCTGGTATCTTCGAGCAACTTTCGTTGACTGTTTACTATAGCTTGTTTGCTCGTAATGCTAATGCAAAAACAATCCACACTTCAAAACTTGAATCAGGCCGATAATCCCACCTTGCTCCACCCACAGCGATAGATGGCTGAGAGGTGCATAACATGTCGAAGGCTTTACGAGGAAAGCCGGGCTTGTGGGGAGTCCCACACGGATAGATGTCACACAGTAACCCGTAGCATCCAGCTCTGCCGGGACGTATGATTGTGAATGAGGTAGCTCATGGGTAGCCACAACAATTTTGTCGAGATGTATCACAGAACGACAATTATTCCCTTTCCTGGGTGGCCTCAGTAATGTATAATCGGTTAGCGCTGGATGAGAGCGGCGAAAAGGTTCATTTTCATTAGCCCTCTTTCTTCAGACCCGAAGCTATGCGACGCATTAAAAAGCATTCAAAGGAAGAAGGTGAGCCCATTTTCCTTTTATCCTTTTGGCTACTTGCCACTGTATCTGTCTTACCGAATATCCCATGCGTCATATGTGGAGGCGCAGTAGCCTCAGAGAGAGTTAGATTCAGTCTCCTTTAAAATGACATCGTGTAAGCTGTGTTAGGACAGCATCAATGGTATTCGTAGGGCCACTCCAAGAGTATGCATGATGAAATATCTCTCTTTAATTTTTGTTATTTGAGCTGGAAAATCGTGAAGGCCTGTGGTATGCACTGTTAGGCTAGACTGCATGGGGTATTGCTACATGCCGAGTGACTCACCACAAGATACAACAACGGACAGACCAGAGCTGCTAGTCTTTAAATTGTGTGAGAAATATGACCTGAAGTGGGAGCGACGTAGTGTGCAAACCCAAAGGTAAACAGGCGCGGTACACATCCTTGTCCATAGCATAAGCTAGGAGTCGGCAAAGATTTTAATTTAAGTGGCCTGTTCGGTTATGCCTCTAGGGGCTAAGGCCTTATTACATGGATGCAGCCAAACACCACCCAACAGCAACAGCTTTTTTCCTGGGAAATCAGGCGAACAAATCAAAATAGAACACAAACAACAGTGTGCTTAAGCCCAGCAGAGGGATGACCCTAGGAAGGATTTGTGTTTTGCTTAAGGTGGACAAATGGGTGAGCGCGCAAGTAAAAAATTAGTGAGGGGCCATATCTATAGATATGGAGAAATTATCACTCAAAGTACTGAAGATCCAAAGTAAGTGGGGTAAATATTATTCGTGGAGGTAGCGTAAAGAACCATCCAATGATTTCCACATGCAAGATTTGGAGGAGATGCCGTCGAATAACTTGCGAAGTGAGCTAACACAGGCTAGTAATACTAATAAAATCTGTACTTCAAGACAATACTTGCTGCATTCTACAAATGTGCCACCTGAAAACAGTGTTCTTCGATTTTCCGAGGAGGCGATAATGCTGCATCAAAATTAGCATTCGCAAAAAGGGCTTCAGACCCACTTAACAGGTTAAAGCCGCTAAATTACGTCGATGTTCTCGAGCCTCCTGTTAGCCACTCCATGAGTGCGCGCATCCCGCAACACAATACCAGCGACATCATTGGCAAATGCAAGAAAACCGAAGCCATAGCAGCTATGCCGAGCTATGGGGTCTAGGAGTAGCATCAGCAATACCCCATTCACCTTGGTGAAAGACATGTGCAAATGTGGCACTAGGTTAGGGAGGAGCAAAAACGCCCTCTCTGTCATGGTTCTTCAAATGACACGCTCACAGAAAATGCGAAGAGACACAGAGTTAAGAACGTTCCTGACCGTCTCAACGGACACACATACAGGAAAGGGACACTCTGGATAATATTTTGAGCTTCAAAATTCAGACCACTACTCCAAAGTTGGCACACGCAGCGGACATGAAAGGAACACTCACTCCTTAGAGGAGCCCACAGAAACACCAGAAACCACACTAGGACCAAGCAAGAACTGGTCTCTTACGTTGAATGGAGCTGAGCCCGCGTAACTAATTTGTTTGTGCAGTGCGACCACGGCATAACAGCGGGAGAGCTTCCTTCTACTGCGAAAGAGTAGACCCTAGGCTATACATTCTGTGGCGCGCTGGGCCAAAGACGGCGCTGAGCCTTCTGCGAAACCGAAGTACCAGAGCGCAATATAAGGCAGTACGCTGCACTGCTTGAATTCAATTCATTGAATGGGCCAAATTTTGTGTTTCGGCAAAAGGGATTCTAATGAAGCCTGCCCAGTTGCAAAGAAGGAAGTACACCAGTACACAATAGTATGCACCTGCGGCAGAGGATCCGTCGGTTTACCTTTCAGTCGCTCAAACTACTAAGTTTGGGCTTTCCGTGAAGGTTGTTTTTGAGCCCTGACGAAATACCTGCACACAGACCCATGCTTTTTACGAAAGTGTGGTTTTCACCTGTGCCTACAACTGTTATGGGTCAGTGCCATACATGTGAGCGCATACATCGTTTTTTGCACGTCGACTTTGGGCTAGGGGTTCCGTGGTTTCGTGTCTCATTTCACGCGTATTCTTCCTTTTCGCTGCCACTCTCGGTAGCTGCTGAGAATTCCTCCTTTGCTGTGCATCAAAAAACTCCGTAATTTTAAACACATCAGATGTACTTTAGTGCATAGATAATCACACCGGCTAACAATGGAGGTAGTCTTAGCAAGTACCCAGACAAGTGAAGAGCCTCAACATCCACATCGGCATTGTTGGGTTGAGGGGACAGGAGCTGGACAGCTCTAATTTCAGTTTTGTTTCGACGCTTCAAGCCCTTTTCATCTGTATAGCTTAAGGTCAAGAGAAAGGTGAGCTAATAAGCTTGCTACCTATCGATATCTCCCTGAGGGCTATACCCGCCTCAGAGCTGAATTGAACACACCGATGGCCGTGTTGTTCGGGAAAGTCTGCTAGGGGGTGCCATTCTCCTGCTAGTATATCTTACAAAACAAGTTCTACCATTGGGATCTAGAGCACAGTGTTTTTGCAGTCGAAAATGCTTCCCTGGCTGCCCCCCAAACCGATTACCGCCACAAGGAAGGAGGTGTTACACACGAGCGCGGTACATAGCAACGAACGCACGCAAAGTTTCGTCCTTTTTATTTATACTGCTAATAATGTAAAGTGCCGTCTGTGAGAGGAGACATCAGAACATGAACTCTAAACGCTCAATCTTCCACCCTACACGCGTTGTAGGGTATAGATGGAGGTAGTCCATAGTGGCGGCGGTAAGTAGGGAATCCCAAGCGCTGCTTCATTGACTCTCTGACTCTACCACGCCTTTTCTTCGCTGTTCGCTCTCATTGCCTCGATGATCGCTCCTCCACTAAACGCGCCATGAGCTTAAATTAGTGACCCGGCGCCGCTCCTCAGTGCGAGAAAACTCGAAAGCTTGAAAGCCCGATATCGCCACAAAGTCATTGGTATTCCGTGGTGAGTGGAAAACACGGAAGCGGTAAACACCAAACTGTAGGTGCTAAACCTCGATATGCACTGCGTGTCGTGTAAGCTCGACTACTTCTATCTCCTTCGGAACATCTGTAAGCGGAGGTCAAAGCGTTCGTGGTTTTCCTTATATCATTCTATGCTTTATGAACCCTTTCAATAAAGCAGGGGTAGCTATGTATACACCAAACTAGGCTTGGTTGCTGCCGCTTTTCCTTACGGGATATGCCTTCTGCCTACCTGCCGCCGCAGCAGAAGCAGCAGCACAAACTTCTGCTGACGGAGGATCCGTAGCAGCAGCGACTCTGTCAGGCAAAACGTCCCGCATTAGGCACTTAGCCACTGTGTTCCCACGATCTGTAGGGGAAGATACAGCAGCCGCCGCGCTCAAAAGTGTGCAGTAGCAGCAACCCCAGCGCCAACGCCATTCCAACTACGGCGTTACAGTACAGACCCAAGAAGGATCATAGGCAGGAGACGTAGCAGTCAGCTGCACCTGAAATTCGGAATGTGCCTTCGTCTACGGTGGGAGCATGAATCCTTTCCTTCGTATGATGTACAAAATTTCTCCATGTCCAGACTTCTGTTGCAAAAAGAGTTATGGGTTAAACCCAGCAAAAAAACAGTAGCGAAGCTAGTGATTCTACAGCGTATTGGTGCCAAAGGATTCAAGGGCTGGCGGAGAAGCAAATACTCCTGACCCTTCCTTTTGATACATCGCTTGGCTGTGACTTTGGCAGCAGTGAGTGTCACAGAAGTGCCCTCTCGTTTTCCCTTCTAGCAGAATGGATGCGATCCCTCTTGTGTTTACGGAGCATGGACACTTGAGATAACAGTTCTTGATTAACGATGGTGCTACACCCGCTGCTTTCACAGCCACCGGAAGCAGCATCTCACCAGCAGCAACCGATCCTGAAGTTCCAGTATGCATCTTGTGGTGCATTATCCAAAAGATCCTTGCAAAAAGCTCTTCCTTGAGATGCCGCGCGACACAGAGAGCATATCAGAGCAGTTTAGAGTGTGTAGTTTTATAAGCAAAATGAGCCGCATAAGTAAAAAAGAGGCGCTGAAGCAACTGCAGCTCCAGCACGATCGCGTACAGTCTTTCTGTGGTGGTGGTCCTGCCTAAGAAATGCACCCACTCAGCAGCAAACAGCTGCAGAATATCTCTGCGGGGCCAGAAAGACTAGTAAATTGCTTCTGTGCCAAGCATTTAAACTGCAACAAGTATAATACCAGCGGTGGCGAGTGCGGTGTCGGGAAGAGAAGGCGGCCACAAGATCCTGCAGCACTGAGTTCGCATTCTCCCCATGTATACCATATATATCGCTATCATTTGTAATAGCAGGAAGGGGGACTCCACATGACCAGCCCAATCTGTGTCGAGCAAAGCGCTCAGGCTTGCTTGGAACCTGGTGCGCATGAAGAGTGGCACAAGCACCAGTAGCAGCTGCAGGAGCAGTAACTACGGCCACAACAGCAGCAGTAGCAAGTGTAATAAAGGGGCTTTGGAGAACGTGAAGAGTTTTGGGCTCTTGCTATTCCAGCCGCAAAAGCGTCTGGTGAGGCCCCAAAACGATCCTCACTAGCACTAACATCACGAGGCGCACTGACAGCAAGGGCAATCGCACACGCTAAGAAAAGCAACCCATTTGCATTGGTAGCTGTCAACGCCTCCAGGTCAAAGGTGCAATCCGGCGTGCCTTTATAACCCTTCTGCACATTGAACATGCTATAACCGCTGCGAACCATCCTGAAGCAGATGGACATGCAGAGTGCATTAAAACCTGCAGAATTTTACCTCTTTGCACCAAGAGCAAGAAAACACCAGCACCGGCAGACAGCTGGCCTTGAGTTGCCAACGAAGCGAATACCTATGATTCTTTTTCCGAGGGTGGATGAGATTTATTCGCATGGGCAGCAATAAACGCATCCCACTATAGCAGTAACCGCGAGCGTTGCTGTTTTTGTGTCGGATCTTCTACACTGCAATGCGCGGACGTCGTAGCGAGCAACCCATGGAGCACTAGCAGCACGACATAGTTGTTATACAAAGCTGGCCTTTGGAGTAGCGGTCCTTTCAGGACCTGCATCAGATCTTACCGTAGTGGAGCTGTCCCGATTTAGTTGACTATAAGCGAACCACCGGCCGCTGGGCCATAGCTGCAGCAGCAGTATTGCACAGTGTTCTGATCTTACCACAAGTGCAGTGGAAGCAAAAGCATGGAATGACGCTCCAAAAAAGCTGCACTTCCCCTCTTCCAGCCCTCACCTCCCACCCACCCGCATCCTCTGCTTACGCACGCCGCCGGCCCGGCAACTACCGCTGCTGCTGCTGTTGCTTCAGATTTTATAAGGCACTGAGCACCGTTTAAGAGAGCTGATTTATATAGTCAGAGCACTCTGGAAAGCGGAAACGATTACAGAATTTCCCGCGTGAAACCATATGTCTTATTCACTACATCCGTGGCAGCAGCAGAGGACAATAAATCAACGACAGTCAAGGTATTCTGAGTGTATCTCCTGCAACCACTTATAAAGCATTTGTAGATGATCCAGAGAAGCAGGAGCAGCAGTGAAGCCTTGGTTGAAACCGGTCGGGCGGATGAAAAATAGGATTCGTGGATGCAAGCCCGCAGCAAGTGTTGTGCAGCCACAGCCAAGTAACCTGCACACCAAATTTTGCTAGGTATTACATGGCATCGCAGGGAGCGAAAGGCGGACCAACAGCGCAAGCAAAAGCAGTAGCTGCACAGGTAAAAAGGCAACCGCGCAATCGAATCGGCCAATGCTCCGTTCTGCTGTTGCCGAAGCAAGCGCAAAAGCTAGTCAGAAGACAATATTTACTTGAGCATCAGCTAGAGCAGGATCAGCAACGGCAGTGGAATCGAAATGAGCTGTGCAGGGCGATTGGACAGAAGTCAGTAGCTTTGTGCGCTGGTATTGAAACCTGAGCAGAAGCATATGCTTTGCTGGGTAGCATTTTGTTTCCGCTTCTGGTGGTGGTGGTGCTGGAAACTCTACAGTTGCACGGTAACGCTACACGTAAGTCCTGTCTCTGCATCATTAAAAAGGAACACGAAATCAATTAGTGCTGAAGGACAACGAGATGCTCAATTGCTGCAGGAAGGCTGTTTGGCTTTTTCGTTCTGACATACGTGTGTGACTTGTTGCTGGCTCAGCCCGGGCAGCTGTTGCCGTACAGTCTCCAGGTGGCATCGGAGAAAAGAAGCATATGTCACTCAAAAATAAGCGTTGGTATTTCCAGAAGAAACATTAGCCGCAGCACGTGGGTCTCGCATAGACTGACCTAGCTCGTACGGTGACGGAGAATGCTAAGAAGCAACGAACAATATGGTACAGAGACAGACGTGCTGCATCAGTTACAGCATCAGTTGCTGCTGTTGTTGCACCTGGTGCTTGGGAGGGAAACGTGCATGCTTACCGCGGCTGCACATTTCTCTCCCCCTTTTGAGCAAAGCTGAGAAGGCAATGTTACATATCCTTCCCTCATTGTACTAAGAGCTTTTCGATTGCATTGCTGCATACAGCATAGACGCTTGTTGCCCCGTAGGAGCAGCGATGCCTGAGTCAAGCTCGCATCTGTAGCGAAGCACTCCATGGGCAGCATATGCATTTCCTGATTTACCACTCACATTGAGTTTCAGCTTCGCGGTTGAGCCATCCTGCATGAGTGTGCATAATTTCACTATGAAGATCTTTGGCGGTGTGCTACAAAAATACCAGTTTACCGTCGTTGCCTTGTGCCTTCAACTGTGAGCAAAGAGGAAGCCCTCAACAAAGCTGCAGCCCATGCCGAACCCGTTCCGGCAAAGGTTGGATTATTCTTAATCCTGCCTGTGCAGCTATTGTCAGGAGTAAGGCCGCCTGAGCACACAGGTGCGCCTTGTGTATTGCACTCGAACACGGCAGCGATATGTATAGCTGGAGGAGTGGTATAATCTCTGCCAGTTCTGTGTTTCTAAACTTTCACATCCACCGTGCTTCTTCCATTATTCCTTGTTTTAGTAGTTTGGTACCTACTGGTGTGCATGTAAGTAGCTATTGGCAGCTGCGCCTCTGCTCTACATTCTGGTGCCCGCAATTCCTCTCTCAGGCTGCTACCCTCCCTCCATTTATGCCCGCCTATCAGTGTGCAACAGCCGTGTAATAGCCTGCTGAGCATCTTCTGTGAGGATGCTGTAGACCCAGATTACAAGACAGTACAAGTAAACAGGCAGAAGCAAACGCCCACCAGAACATAAGCCTCTATTTATCTTTGTCGAGTCACTGTGCCTTCCGATTTTCTGATTTTTTCGCTGCTCGTAGCAGTGTTAGGGGCAAAATGGAAAGTTAAGGAATCAAACACTCCCGTCTCTACTAGGGTCAGTCTCGCTTTTAGTTCAGGCGAGATGCACGATGTTTCACGTTGCCCGGTTGCTTGACTGCCACTACTGCACACTTTGTACGTTCGGAGGCCCAGGCCGCTTTTCTTTGGGGAGCAGCGCCTCCGCGAAGAACGTGAGCAGGCGGGTGCGGAGGTGTGCAACGTCCGGGGGCGATGATGGACCATGTCGAGAGGAAGGCAGGCACACGAATTCAAATGGAACCTGGGAAGAGCACAAAACACAAATGCTGGCGAGGATGCTGGTAATATAGGAAGAGTCAACTTACTGGCACCATATGCACAAAGAAACAGAAGGGACTTGAAGTGGGAGGACGACGCAGCAAAGAAGACAGCACAGGAAGAAAATTAGCACAGGATGGGAGAGGTGTGCACGCGGATACGCAGTGTCAGGAACGGTGAAGGATAATGCAGAAGGCAGCCACTCTGGGTTTAAAAAGGGAAGATGAAAATTGGAAAGGTACGAAAGCAGAGAGTAGAGGTGTCCAGCACAACGGCGCCTCCTGCTCCCGTGTAGGCTTGAGGTGCGTGAATTCTACTTCTTGCTTACCTGTTGCTTAATGAGAGCATCCACCAAGACTAAGGAGTGTTGCAGAAGAACATTTTCATCTGCTGCCCCGTGCATCAGCAGGATTCGCCCTCCAGGTTGCCGCTGAGTAGGAACGAATGGAAGGACTGAAGAGAGGCAGTACCCGGAAGGGTTTAGAGAGGGCAGCGAGAGGTACCTCTCTGAGTAGTGTGTCGAGTATCCCTGGGCAAGCAAACATAAACCAAAGCAGAATTGCATGGTAAGTTATCCTAGAAACAGTAAGAGGAGGGAAATATGTGACCTGAAAGCAGAGCAGAGGGGGCAACAGCGCAAGTGGGGACATGGATTGCAGCAGTCCTAGCGAGAGAATAAACAACAGTGCAGGGAAGTGACAAAGAAACAGTCGCAGAAAAAGCCTGAGACGCGATTGCCTTATCTGACCTCCCAGAAGGTGACTGGGGCGACAATGAATGCGGCGGAGAAAATCTCAGGGTGCAGGAAGTGCGCCATGCAGCTCAAAAAGCCGCCGTAGCTCACACCATAAATCCCCACACCCTTAGTTAGCTCCCTGTCGCCCTCTATACTGCTGTTCTCGCTGCTTTTGTTAAGCATGAGAAGCCCCTCGTTACTGAGGTGTTTGCATGCGGCTGCCTGATCCTCAGCCTCGCGATGACCTAAAAGGAGGCAGATGCTCTTCTCAAATGAAGAAGTACGGCTATGGCTGCCTCTGTTATCTGTCTTGATCACTAACAAACCTGTAGTTACCACAGCACAATACTCCACAGCATTCCAAATCAGATGCGTCGGGAAATTACCGCGGGAAGCCAAAGCCTGTTTGACCAGCGGAGTACGGCAATTCGTAGGAATTAGCCTTGTCGTGTCTGAGCATCATGCTTAGAGCTTACGGCTTAACACAACCAGCAGTTTATTTTACACAGGAGCACTATAGGATTAAGGGCCCTGCACACGCGATGCTTTAAGGTAATGACTAAGCCGTAAAAGTTTCGGCTACTTAGATATGCGCATTCGGTTGACCGCTTAAGGCGGTACCCTGGAGTGTATGCGTTGGGATGGTAAGCGATACCGAGTCTGGCAAGGGCATTGGCTCTTGGGTCTGTGCGCAGCTCCCAACTGTTGGAGACGAATTGTACCGAAGGCCCACCGTAGCACGCGACGACCCCGCGGTATGGCGCTGCAAAACAGAAAAAATGAAGGAACGACCTGAGGAGGCAACTACGCAAATGGCCATGCATGGGGACGATCAACTAGCGAGGCAGCAATGAGGCATTCAAAAGTAAGTCCAACGGAGGAGATATTCACTAGTTCATGACGCAAGAACGCATACTAGCTGATACTCCAGAGGGGAAAAAATCGCGCTTTAAGAGGGCGAAGCAGTGCATCCTGTGGCTATCACAAGTCGGTAAAGCAGCAGGGCTAACGCGGGGCATTAGCAGCAACAGCATTCAGGTTAGGACGTATTTTGGTGCGCAATGTGCTGAAGTTTGGTGGAGTCTACGGTTCAAGGTTTACGCGGTCCGTGTGTAGTCGGATCAGGAAGATAATAGGCGCCCAGGATTTTGTGCTTATTCTGCTGTAGCGCGAAAAACTGTGGAGTTCTCAGCGAACTCAGGACCCGCAAGAACAGGGTCTGTTGGTGCTGGCTTTCAAAGAGCACCTGCGGCCACAGCGGACAAACGTTGGCAACACAGTACCGAGGTCAAGCGCCCTATTTGTACACAAGGCCGATGGGATTTCGAAACTAAGCTTGCATGAACGTATGTGCGGAGACGTAAGAGCCCCTGAGGGCTGACCAAAGGACTTACCTGACCACAACCTGCTGCTTGGGGGTAGAGGTATGAGAAGTTGCGCAAGCCAGCGCGAATGATCATGGGGATTTCCATTGGCCGCGGCTTTTCATTGTGTTGCCTCTGGAGTACTTGATGCGTGTATTCTGCTGCAGCCTCAAGAGTGTAGCAAAGCTTTTCGTCTTCATAAGTCGTGCCTTCTTCCCTTTTGGTGTCGGGGCATCCGGAGTACAGGCGCTCTTCGCGAGCGTCAGCATCAAACAGCTCCCGTATGTTGGGCATGTACCGCACCCTGCCACACACGCCGTAAATGCGAAAGGCTTAGAATCAGGGCTGGCTGTGGCTTGGGCTTTGCTGGATGCTTCAAAGAGGGGTATTGGGAAAGGATTGGGGATATGGGCAGGCATTCGGCTAAGGGTAAGGCTTTTTTGCTCAATACCAGAGTTGCCTAGGGTTGTTGATAGAGTGATGCGTATGAATCCACAGAGGGAGGCCTTCACAGAAGTGCGCCGCGTGCTGGCCGTTCACTTCGGGGTTGGAAAGAAAAATAAAGGGGCAATTCAGGTCCACTACCTACGGGCACAAAATCAGAAATACTGTTTACCATGTGCGATGTGACGCGAGCTCTTGCGAAATCCTATTTTACGGTATGGTGCCTCTCTGACTAACCTTGGGGTGCTCGTTCGCTGCAAGCCCTGATCGTGCGAGATCTTCGCTGATTGATTTAAGCGTCTGTCTCTTCAACCGCGCGCAGACGATGTGACTAGAGAGAGGAGCCAGGTCTCCTGCCAGCGAGCTACTTTTGTTGTGCTTGCTTGTGCTGTTGCTCTGGACTTCCTCCGGTATCTGGGGAATTACTCGCAGAAAAAAGTAAATGTCATCTTCGTCTGCAGACGGCACTTCCGACGGCACCAGTGCTCCTGCAGTCCCTTCCGCAGCAGCGGCGGTAGCCGCTGCAGCTCTCCGGGAGGCTTCAAAGAAGGGGGCGTAGTTTTGGGGGGGAACCAAGAGAGATGCAACCCTCAAGCCATTCCCCTCGGGAAGTATCCGGAAAGAAACATCAGGCCGCGTCAAGTGCTGTAACAGCAACAATACGGGCAGCACCCACAACAGCAGCGAAATGGATAGCCGGCTACGCCAGCACCGAAGCCCTCTCTGACAACTGACGGACTCTAACCCACATGCACTTATCTTCTAGAGAGAAAAAGAAGCAGTAGCAGCAGCTGCAGCGCCAGACCTGAAGGTAGAGTTGGTTGTACTGATGCCTGTCGGATGTCCATGTGTAGAAAAGGGAGGTCTCCAGCTGGAAGAAATCCTTGTGAAGATCGACCCAGGTGTTGCGCTGCTCTTTGAAGCAGCACACACACCTCAGCTCCTGCGGCTGCTGTTTGCTGGTGCTGCTCTTCACGAGAGGGGCCGGGACAGGCAAGGCTACACAAATCCGAACTTCATGCTGCAGCCTGTCTTGCAGCTGCAACACAAGCACTGGTGGGGGGCGCTCTTCTTGCTTGTGCTGCTGCCTCTGGCAATGTTCCTGCTTTTTATTTCGCTGTCTCGGCACCGGCCGCTGCTGCGACTGCTGTTGCTTCTGCAGTAAATTTGCTTCCTCGTGGGATAGCAGCTTAAGAGCCTCTAGCTGCTGCCATGTGCGCAGCCGTAGCCACTGCGCCCTCGCAACGTAAAAGTCGTTGTTCCAGTCAGACACGGGGAGGTCCACGTACCGCACGCCGCTGCACACTTTGCTGTAGCTGCTGCTGTTGGTAGAGGCCATGGGTGGCTTATCTTTTCCGCCGAGGCGGGAGGTGCCTGCAGTCCCCACAGAGCCGCTGCACCGGCAGCGGCTGCGACAGCGCGGGCAGCATGGGATGGTGACAACACCATCGGCTGCCATGGTAGCTCCATTTGCCAGTGCGCTATCTGCTGCTGTCACAAGGGAAGGCACCTCCGGCACCTAGCAGCACAGCAGGAGGAGGACATGCACAAAAATTTGGGCAGCAAACGATAGGTGAATGAAGCCAGTCGCATTAGAGAGTCAGTGAATGAATTGTGATAGCACACCTACACAATTACAGGGTTCACAGTGCACCTGCAAGATGGCAATTCTGGCCTTGACGTTCGGCTGCCCAGAAAACGGAAACCGATGTTCCTCTGTCACAAGAAACCCCTTGCTGCTCTGGCCGTTGCTGTTGCTGGACGGCACCTTTGACGATCCGTGGAGTCCGCCCTTGCGAGCCTCAGGGGAGGAGGCAAGGCGCCTCTTCTTCGGTTGCTGCACCTCTCCCTCTTTTTGCAGGCCCAATTCCTTCTGCCGAGGCTGTTGGTGCTCGTTTTCAAGAACAGCAGCAATCCTCTCCTCCTGCTGCTCAAGCTGCTCCTTCAGCATCTGCTGCTCTTGCGGCTTCTGTGGCGGCTGCAGCACGCGCTGGAGCCGCACAGGGGAGATATGCGCCTCGGTGAACTCCACAAATGCTAGAAATTGGCCATCGGGAGACCTGCAAACCTCCGCAATTCGTAGCTCGTTTTCCTTGAACCTCGCAACTCGGGACCGTCAGAAAAGCGCTGCTTGATAAACAGCATGGAATTACGTAAAGCTCGAGCGCCAGGACAGGGAGAGTCACCCAGGCGTGGGAGCAACAGGAGGATCCTGTGGAAGTGCGAGAGGCCTTACCACCAGTAACCTTCCATCCGGCTCATTTCCTCCTGAGCGACGTATTCAGCGAGACCACTGACGCATTCTGGGGGGGACGCAGTCACGCGGCAGCGAATTCCTCTCGGTTTCCCGCCGCCGCTGCTGGTGCTGCAACGAGGTCCTCCCTTGTGTGGCGTTTTCCGCCTTGGTTCTGTAGTTGGATGCGTTTTAGTAGTAGCGTTAGCCTCCTCAGGATTCGGGAGGAGCAAATGGATGTCACCTTTCTGCACGAAGGCCACCAACCTGCCACACGGACTGTACGAACAGTCAAGCACAGGTGCCTCGCTTGAGCCCCTCTCCATCAGACAGGCTGCGCTGGGGGCCCCCCCAAACCGTCCGCTGGGATGGATAAGCGTCTCAGCGGCAGCCTTTGTTGCTGTTGAAGGCTCCTGCTGATCCTGCTCTCCTGCAGCGCTGCTGCTGCTTAGGTCAGGAGGGGCGTCAGGGGACCAGCTGCGCCGCGGCACAAGATTTCTCAGTGCGAGCACCTGAGCGACAGCGTGTGCAGGCCCCTGCTGCCGGGGTTCTTCTTCGGCGTCAATCTTGCCTGGAGTTTCCACGGTTGAGCAACTCGATGGCGGAGGCAGCTGTCGCATTAGCGTCTGAATGGCCTTCGGAGCCTCAGTTGCCCAAATGCCCTGAAGCAGCAACAACACCCCAACCAAAACCTACGGCAGGAACCCGTCGAAGCAGGCAGACGCTCCAAGGCCCTGCTAACGTGCAGGTGTAGCGACAAGTGGAACTGCCTTCATTTGCTGCCACACCACACAAGCCAACATCAACAGCGGCAAAAAAGCCACCATCAACGCAACAGCAGCAGTTAGGCCATGTCGCCATTTACTCGTGCGTTGGAGAGAAGAAGCCGATGCCCCTGGGCATCCCAGCCAAACTTTGCGATGCCCGCAGTCCTTTTGCGCATGCGCTCCTTTTGGAGCTCTTCCTCAATGGTCAGTTCCACCTTTCCTGCTTTTGCAGGTGCTGTGGGTGTAGCTGCTGATGCTTTTACGCCCACTGCTGCCGAGCTGCCTTCGTTGCATGTTTTCGGCTCATCCTCGTCCTCCGCACCCGTTGCTCTTGCTGCCGTATCTTCTGCCGCAGCATCAGCTGGAGCAGCAGGGGAGCTGCACGACTCGGTCCTTGGCCTTTTCTTTGTTCGTTCACTTCCCAGGCTGCTTGGGAGCGCTGCCAATTTCTCCGGTGTTGCCGTTTTTGTCGTTGCTCCTGCAGAGGGAGGGAGTGCGAGATCATCTGGATGTACGAGCAGCATGGCGCCGCTATTTAAAAGGGCTAGCATGTCGGTTGCTTCCTCGACGGCAAAAAAGGGGTGCGGAGCCTTGCCTTCTGCAACTGCTGTCGCCAACGCAGCAGCCGCTGCGGCTGCTGCTTCTCCCGTTGCAGCAGCAGGGACCATCTGAGACCCTTGGAGAGCCTCAAGGGATGGGTAAAGCTGCTCCCGCGGAGCGATAGACAAGTCCAACGAAATCCGTAAGGCGCTGGTCTGGATGCTCTTAGTGCTGATGCTTGCGCGTTCGTGGGACCTCGCAGCACCAGCGGTAAGCCTTATAGGAAAGCCATACACCCGAGAGGCGCCCGTTTCGAAGTCAGCGAGAAAGCAAAACCACAGGACAGGAGAAGTGTTGCCTGCACGCAGCTCCTCTACAACGCGATCTCCACCTGAAGCAGTCAAAATAGCAGCAACGAGGAAAGAGCGCAAGGTGAAGGGGCATGTAAAGCAGTAAACTGTAATTCTAGAGTGTAGCAGCACAGACGAGTTCGCCGTCCGCCGAACCGGCATCAGTAAAGCAACCCCAACCAATGACACGACGACGTACCTGCAAACGCATATGACGATGGACTACCCCCCGAGGCCGAGGAGGCAGCAAACGTCCAAAAGGAGGCGGAGGCAGAGGAATCCATGGTCCTGAACGCAAGTCTGGAACATCAAACCGGTCCCCTGGGATCCTATGGTGCATGTATATATATCTGCAGATTAGCACCGCTGGAGAAGGCTTCGTGAGTCGAAGTACCCACCAGCTATGCTGCTACTGTAGTATGCGTCGTAGTACACCTAGTTACATGCTGCTGCCTGCCGTGAGGAAACACGAGTTCGTGCGGCTGGTGTGAGTGCCCCTCCTGTGCGTATGCCCCGTGTGCAGCCTTTGGTGCTGCCTGTGGCCTTAATAGCGATGTGCAACTTCTTTCTGCTGACGTTGCTTCCGCTGCTGTCACTGTTATCGCTGTTTCTGCAAGGCGTTCCCAACGATCTCAGGCCCTAAAGGGCCAATCCGCGGGACGGCCTTGTCGAGTTTCAGGATGCCTTGCTGCCGTAGGTGTGGTTGGGGCGACGGTCGATGAGACCGCTATTGCTCATGCCGAAATTGCCGGGGAATAAGGAATTACTGGGGGGAAACGCACCAAAAAACACATAATTCGGGAGACTCCATGGGTGCGTAATGTCGTCGGCTGCGCTCGCTTGCCCTCTGCTGAAAAATCCCAATGCTCTGTGCGCTTATTCTAATTTGCGTATGCGTGGTTTGTGCATCAAAAAATCTTATTTTAATCAGCTGTTTATACGTGTAAGCATACGGCTTGGGGTGGGGTTCAGGCTTCTTCTTGGGCCTCCCCCTCACGGGATTAACCCCTCCCGCACTCCTCTTCCAACGGGCATCAATACAATGGAGGGTCTTTAGTCTGAAACCAGGAAGCATCTAGGCAGCCTATACCCGTAACAATCGATTGGTGGTCTCTTTCATAGCAGATACTGAATGGGGTAATCCAAAATAGGGGATTTCCTGCATGTGTGATGGAGTGAACGCGGAAAGAGGATGTGTCCGCTGTGCGGATTCATCTTAGCCGTTCATGTCGCTATGTCTACTATTATCTGGCTCTCTGTTCCAGCGCTTCTGCTCCGCCAGAATCGATGCTCGTCCATTTTAGAGTCAGCGGCAATCACCGCTACTTTCACTACCATCACGAGTAGCTTCATCCTATGTCCCATTATGCTCACTATGCCGGTAAACTTGGAATCTCAAAAAAACTGCAGAAGCCGCAGGCCGTTAAGGAATTGAATGAATTTACTCTGGTTGCGCGGGGGAGGACCAAACCCCGTCAAAATGAACCTAGCATGATGCAGCGCTTCCTGCTTGCTGGATACCCCTAGGTACAAGTAGCCATTGATTTGACATGCGAGATGGCTAATGGCTTAAGATTCATTTGCAGAAGCGAACCAGTGATCATTAGCTACAATGAATGAGCGGCACTCACACAAATGTGCGAGCTGCTCTAATGCAGTGTGCATCTCCTCTAATAGCTCCTTTTACAGCGGCCTCTGCGCAAGACTCTACGGACGAAATCCTGTGCCACAGGTTTCGCGAATTCTGTTTTTAATTTCTCGGCGAGTCCATCACAGTGCAAAATGGAAACTAAACGTGCAAACATGCGGCCTGCAGCAGTGCCAACACCGGCTGGTAGTGAAACCGCCGCTGCTGCTATTACTGCTGCTCTCGCTAAAACAGCCATTTTCCCATCACCGGCTGCTCATGTTGCGATTGCCGTTGTTGCTGCTGTTGACGTGCTACTGCCAAGTGTGTGCCGGGGATACGTACCGAAGCTTCGAAAAAGTGGTGCAACACAGTAACGCTGCTGTGATGAGAGGTAGATGTATCCAACATGAAGTCCCTAGCCCTGCAATATGCAAAGTCATCGAATCCCTTCTACTGCTGTTGCTCCTATTGTTGTTTGCGTCTGCTGCCGCGCTTGCGGCTACTGTTGCGCATGTCTGAACGATCACTGTTGCTGCTGCCAATAAAGCAGCAACAGCCCTCCCGTCCTTCAATTCTGATGTCTGCATTTAGCTGCTCCATTCGTAGACACTGACTTCAGCGTTATGACGTGGGTGCTACCTGCCCATTGTTCGTGGTGACCGTCTCGGCGCTGTTTCCATCTGCCTTTTGTAGTTTCAGTTTTAGCTTCTCGAGTTGCTTCTTTGCTTCCCCAGGAGGAAAGTCGTCTGGATCAAAGAAGTGGGGAGCCTGCTGAAGCAGCCACTCGCCTCGAACCTGCGTGCACGTGCGGACGAAGGCCTTGGAGGTTAAGACGAACTCATGGTACAAAACCCACTCGGGCTTGTGGGAGAGGACCGAAGATGGGTGTAGCGCAACGAGTTGGCCGTCTTTGACCGTCATATAATGGCCGCTCCTCTGCATGTGTGCCACCTGCATGAAGTATCCACTGAGAACGGCCTTCCTGATCTGTGGATAATAGCTCTTTTCGGTGTACGGGGTGGAAGTGATAGGGAGGGCAAGCCGCTCCATCGTGCGCTGCAGCTGAGTCCTAACGTTTTTTGCTGCGGCTAGGGAGCGCGGATTCAAGAAGTTTTCGAAGCAGAACTGCCTCTCCAATTCTGGGTTGCCCGCTCCGTGCTGAATATATGCATGAAAAACGTTGAGGAGGGTTAAATGATCTCCATCCAAGTGAGCAAAACGAGCCTTCGTGGCATCTGCTTGCTTGGCCTTCTCTTTGGGCCTTAGGAAGGCCAGAGGCACGGAGAGCATCGCAGCGATCGACAACATCTCCTTGCTGCAGTTGTGCCGAGGAGAATCCACGAGACACTTGGCAAGCTGCGGGTCCAGCGGAAACTCAGCCATTGCCTCGCCATCTGTGGTCAGCTCCCCCTCGTTGTCTAGGGCACCCAGGTAATTCAGCTGCACCAAACAAAGCAAGGCGAAAGTAGCAAAACAATGCAAGGAACCCCTGAAAGCAAGGCACTGTGAAGGAGGGCATATAGAAGCGCTACCAAACCATGCAAGGGCGCCGCACTGACCGAGGATAGGCCCCCAGGAAGGAATGCCTCATAAGCCCGTGGGCCGTTCAAGGCAACACGCCAAGACGCACAGAGCGGTAACAATCAGGATACATACAATACAATGCACCCACTCATACGGCTCCAAGAAACGACATACGTCGGAAGCAGTGCACACATATGCGAATTCTTGTGAACACGATCTCCCTCCAAAGCAGGAGGGAGCCGCGTAGATGCACACATACAAAGCACAGGGGCACCACCGATGGGTAGCACCCATGAAAATGCCAGCACAGTCGCTCGCAGCCTACCTGTTCCAGAGCTCTCATGAGGGTCTCCGGGGCCGGAGGATCCATAAAGTCGAAATGAACCAAGTCATCGATTCCCAGCTTCTTGAGCGTCAGAACGACACTCGCCAAGTTAGACCTAGGGCCCGCACGGACACATGCATACACATGGCATACTGCACAGAGGAGCAGAAGCAAGTAGCAACACCAATGCAGTGAGCACGACAGGAAATTAATATCGCGCTGCGGCACGCGTGGGCTCGAGGGTCCTTGGACAATGGCTCCGTCACTCGAAAGGCCATGGCAAAGGCAAGATAACATTCGGGATCGAAAAAGGTGCGGCACGCGCATTAGACGCAACATGCAAACACACCAATAGTGAGTCGGCCAGTCACTGGGGAGCCGAACAGTAAGCTGATGTAGTTAGTTGCGTGCCTCGCATCACTGCAAGAAGAGGCCTCGAAGATGGAGCGGGAGGGGGCAGCGCACCTGAGGATTTCGGCATACGTCTGATCAACGAGCTCCGACTGAAAGGCCGATTCGGTGTAGAGCCGAAAGCACTTTCCTGGCCGTGTTCTGCCTGCCCTACCGGCTCTTTGCTGGGCAGACGCTTTGGAAATGGGAGACACAAGAAGACTCTCTACGCGGCTTCTGGGGTTGTACACCTTCTGCTTGCTGAATCCCGGGTCTACGACGTACACGATCCCGTCAATCGTCAGTGACGTCTCGGCGATGTTCGTGGAAATGACGCACTTCCTTCCAGGAGGGCCCCCCGGGTACTTAGGGGGCGGAGCCGCCTCAAAGATGCGTTGCTGCTGGGCTGGGGCGAGGGAGGAATACAGCGGGACGACCAAAAGATCTCCGGCATCCGGATGCCGCTGTACTGCCCGTTCCAGCTCCTTCTTTGCCTGCTCGATCTCCTCCTCCCCTGTGAGAAACACCAGCATGTCGCCCGGGGGTTCCGCCAAGTGAATCTGCAGCGCCACACACCATCCGCATGGCCCACATTTCAGCACCTGCACGCCACGGCGACGTGCAGCAAATATCGTAAGCCCCAAGGACGCCTAGGCTGGCCCTTCGCATCTCAAGTGCCGCCTACACCCGTCACCCCGAAAAAGGCGCTCCACAGTGTGACCAAATATGGGTGGAACAGAAGCACATAAGCCCCTGACCACCACGCCGGTACAAACCTGCAAACCCGATGCACAGCGCTCACCTGAATGGCCGTACGGATGCAGGCCTCCAAGTAGTTTTTCTCGGGTTTCGGCGTGTAAAAGATTTCGACAGGATGCATCCTACCAGGCACGTTGAGGATGGGGGCCCCATCAAAATACTTTTGAAATTTGCCTGCATCCAAAGTTGCACTCATGACGACGACCTTGAGGTCCTTCCGGCTGGCCACGACTTCCTTCAGCAAGCCAAAAAGGAGATCCGTTGCAACCGTCCGCTCGTGCGCTTCGTCTAGAAGGACTGCGCTGTACCTCTCCAGCAGGGGATCGGTCATGGCCTCGCGCAGCAACATACCGTCCGTCAAGTACCTCAAGATCGTGCTGCTGCAGCTTCTGTCTTCGAATCGAATGGTATATCCAACTTCCTGGCCAAGTGTCACGTCTAGCTCCTCTGCCACGCGCTGGGCAACGGACATGGCCGCCACCCTCCTCGGCTGCGTGCAAGCGATGCACCGACCAGCGTGCAGACCCGCATGCAGCATGAACTGCGTCATCTGAGTCGTCTTACCGCTTCCCGTCTCGCCCACAAGGATCACGAACCGATTCTTGTTCACGAGTTTCAAGAAGTGCTTCTGACTCTTCCACGCAGGCAGCTGCTTTCGGGACTCCAGTATCTTGTAGTACCGATCGGTAAAGGGGCGGCCATTGAATGGATTTATGCCATCAGCCGGCTCAGGGCCAGACGTGGGACCCAACGGACCAGACGGGGTGTTCACCACTGCGGCCGCTGCTGCGGCTGCTGCGGCTGCTGCAGCGGCCCCAGAACCGTTCGGATTGTTGGTGCCCATGACTGCAGTTGCAGCAGCCACCCCCCCCGTTGTCGCATCGGTCTCCCAGCCACCCGGGCGCCTGCGGCGTGGCGGGCCCCCCAGCTGTTCGTCTGAGGGCCCCTCTTCTCCCTGCGCTCCCTCCTCATCCCATCCACGTCTCCTCCGGCGGGAGGACGCGTCTTCTGCAGCCGACATGCTACTCACGCTACTACTGCTGCTGCTACTGTCAAAAGCGCCCATGCGTCCGCGAGCCCCCAGATCGACCTTTGGCGCTGGGGCCGCCATCGCTCCCCGACGAGATGGAAACGGCTGCTGCTCCCGCCTCTGCTACTGCTTCTGCCGCTTCTGCTGCTTCAACAACAGTGGGGATACGAATTGCGCAGGACAATCAGGAAATAAACCAAAAAGGACACGGATGTTACGCCCCCACTGCTCAGCGCATGCACATGCTGCAACAGCGACAGAGGCCGCGGCCGCAGCTCCTACGGGCTGCAGCAGCTCCTGGTGCTACTCTGGGCAACCCCCCGACCGCACCACCTCCGACGCAAACCTCACTGCCCGTCGAATGGTCTTTATTAAACGGGGAGTTCTTGCCTTCCTGGCGTGTTTCATATACTCAAGATTCCTTCAGACACTGCACAACTCGCCCCCGGCTGTTTTTCAGCAGAATCCGCAAACGGACGGGGCCCCCAGCTGCCGGGGGGTGTCATTAACCTTCAGACCTAAAATTACACTTGCAAAACTCTTGTATCTCCAAAGCCCAGACTCACAGAGCTGAAGCAGTGGACTGAGCAAGTACATCATTCATCTTTCGGCGGGCTAGGGGCACTCTTCTGAACCACCGGGCAAACCCGAAGGGACTGCCTGAGAATGGATGTGTTGGAACCCCCAACGGCTTCCACTCCCTTCTGCCACCCCACTGGCGAGCTACCCGCATCTGCCAACAACAGCAGCAGCGGCACTGACTCGATCTGGATTGAAAAGTACCGGCCACAGACTCTGGATGACGTTGTTGGCAATGAAGAGGTCCTTCAGAGATTGCGACTGATCGCTTTGGAGGGCAACATGCCCCATCTTCTTCTGGCAGTGAGTCCCGCGTGATTTGAGAGGGACGAGGAAGAATGGATCCACCCCTGTCTCTACTACTGACTTCGCCTCCATGAGCCCGACACAATCATGGTCTCTGTACTACCTCCCCTCCCCGCCCTTGTAGAGAATCCGCTTCCCTCCTCATCCGGCACCTGCGGCTTCGCGAGGGGCTGTTCAGGACATTGCGTAGCATGCATCATTGATTCTCTAGTGTGATGTGCTTACCGGCCCAAGGGTCCCCCCGGTACGGGGAAGACGTCGAGCGTCCTCTGCCTGGCAAAAGAGCTGCTGCAAGCCAAGTGGCGCAGCTGCTCCCTTGAACTGAATGCCTCAGACGAGAGGTAGGATCTAAGAGCTAGAAAGGGGCAAAGGCAGCCCCTGGGGACGTCCCCTGTTCAGCATTTGCAGCCCTCTGTCTCTGCTTCGACACCTCCAGTTGCTCCAGCGCCACTACTACCCAGCAGTAGTGCTGCCGTTGCCGCTTCGCGTCCAGCGCGGAGGTAGGCGGCTACGCTTGACTGCAGGTCTGGCAGTTAATGGCCCACTCTCGAATGGTCGGCTGGGTCAAAAGGCTAAGCATCTTACGGTCCATGTGGCTGCTGATACTGTGGCGCTTTAGGACGATTGAAGTGGTGAGAGACAGAATAAAGGCCTTCGCGAAGGAGAAGAGAGATTTACCTCCCGGAAGACACAAAATCATCATCCTGGACGAGGTCGACTCGATGACGGAGGCTGCGCAGCAGGTACGTTTGCCTCGAGGCATCGAAGCGTTGCCGTGATTCACAAGCTTTGAGTCCAAGACTGCAGGCTTGGAGCAATGAAGGAACGGAGGGCACGTTCCGTGGGCTAAAGCAGTGGGAGATAGCACGCAAGCCATGCACTGCACCCACAAAAAACTCGAGTCGTATATACCCGGGGTCTGTAGGTGCGTTGGCCACAGGGGCTTTCGAGTGTGAAGTGAGCGAGAGAAACACCAACTATTGCTGCAGGAAGTCGTAATTCTCATTGGGGTATACGGGTGTCTCAGGCCTTACGGCGCATCATGGAGCTCCATAGCGACACCACGCGTTTTGCCTTAGCCTGTAACTCCTCCTCCGCAGTCATCGAGCCCTTGCAGTCCCGCTGCTCCATATTGAGGTTCACCAAGCTCTCCGACGCACATGTACGGCTGAGCAAAGAGCCGCGGCTCAGGGGACTGCAGAAATCGATCTTTAGGCCCTGTTGCCTAGAGGCAGGGAAGGCTTGCTGCTCACCTACAAAGGCCACTTGCAGGGGCTGTGTGTCGGCGAGTGGAAAACGTAATCTGTTGTGGGGGTGTGTGTGGTGTACATGTGCAGCTGGTGCAACGCCTGCGAGAAGTCTGTGCAAAAGAAAATGTCACCTTCACTGATGATGGCATTGAGGCCCTAGTCTTCTCCGCAGACGGCGATATGCGGAACGTGAGCTGGATTTCCTAAATCTCCAGGCCAAGTCTCAGTGCTGCGTGTGATTTGAAGGACGCATGTTGCTCGCTGGAGCATTGTGCTTATTGGTCTTGGAACCTTTATCCAGGACTACAGCGCAGTTGTGTAGCTCGCGTCATTCTGCATCGCATGAGGGTCTCAACTCGAGGGTTTGCGCCTCAGGCTCTGAACAACCTGCAATCCACAGTGTCTGGATTTGGTTTGGTGAACAAAGCAAATGTAGAAAAGGTACGTGGCGGCGATTCTGCGGCTTCTGGGTGTACGGTGTGTCTTCAAGGCACTACGGCATATGGTTTGAAATTGCGATGTGCCCCTGCAGGTGTGCGATACACCTCCTCCGGAAATGCTGCGGCGCATCTTGCAGCACTGCACTGCTGGGGACTGGTATGGAGTAAGTACTTGATTGCCTTGTCCCTTCCTGCCGCAATTCTCACGGGTTCCCAGTAGGTCTGCCGCACTATTTATCTATCAGCCAACATTTTTAGCGCTTATGCTGAGCAGGAGAGCTCCAGGACAGCCTATGCGATCAAAGTGTTTAAGCTCTAGCGTTCGAGATCTGTGTTCAGGCCCAGTCGGTGGCTCAAGTGGTGCTGGGCTTAGGGTACACTCCGTTAGATGTGGTGACTACCCTGCGCGGCGTTTTGCGACGCTCTGATGCGGAACTCCAGGAGCACCTTCTCCTTGAGTTTCTGGGAGTAAGAATTGGCGAGTAGACCTTAGAGCTCGGGATCTTGTGGTTTCTGACCGTAAAAGGGTCAGGGGCCTTCGGGGTTTTGGCGACGAGCTTTCGCTGCTCTTAGTTTAATAGATCCGGGAACGAACCTTTAGGTGTTGGTACGTTGTGGTTTGCACACGTGAGCCCATAGCTTTGGAGGCAGTTGCCATTTCTTGCGGTGTGTCTGCAGATCGTCGGAATGACTCATATGACTATGGCAGGGGGCCTTGCCACAGAGCTCCAAATGGAGTCAGTTGCTCCTGCCCCGGTAGTCTCTCCTGTTGCCATTGCTGTTGCTTTACCTTTTGAGACTGACAGCGGCTATCCACATCTTAACATTTGATCCTGTATATATTCAATCATCTCATCTTTGCCTCTGGCGCATCATTTGCCTGCTACTCCTTTAGACACGTGTCCATTTGTGAACCCCTCTTTCTTTTTGTCCGCCTGCTAGAATCTGCTCCTTTACTGCTACTGAATCCCCACTTCATTCCCCCCCACCCACCTGTCTTTCCGTTCCCGCTATTATGGTGCAGCTTGCTGCGGATTTCTCTGTCTCAGAAAGATGCTGGCCCAGTTGTGCAAAGTGGCCATTTCCCTGCGGCCCTCCATCAAGCCCTAATCTAAAACGCCAGTATACATTGCCAGACACTCTACTTCCCTCTAGGGGCTGGATTGCTTTTCCCGGGGCCCTCATGATGTGGCTCCTAGCGTTCTCTGGTTGGCTACCCGACAAGGTAGCTAGGAGCTACGTTTTTAGGAGCCGACAGAGCAACTGAAGCCTATTAACAGCAAAACGAGAATTGTTGTTCGGCGGGCCTGCCCTGGTGTAGTATGGCATTATTTCAGAATCCTGGCAGCTACATGAAAAGTACTCTGCAGGATAGCGCACTGGGGCCAGAATACCACAGGGGCAGAAAGCGGGAATATAGCGCCTCGAGGTACCACCTGCACTCCCAGTTCCTCATGTTGCCCCAGGCAGCCAAATTCAGTATCTGCGTGACGCTGAAAGTCACACCGAGGCAAGCCCAGCCCGTCGTTTCGTATGTACAAAAATACAAAGGTAGCTGACCTGTGTCCCATCTGAATGCGCGCAAGATGCCGCCTTTGAAGACTTGAAGAGACTATGGCAGGGCAGTTGGGAGCTGGCTCTTGAATGGATACAAAAGCTGCCATCGTTTGGAACACATCTCGGACGTGCTCTGATTGTGCATGTACCACTACATGAAACACCTGTTCACATGGTGATTCACCTCGAGCGCGCAAATTCAAGTGACCTTTTGTCATGAAAGCACTAGTGTGCAGCATATACTAGGAAATGCGGCTCAACGATCTCGCCGTATCGGCTGAGAAGTGCTGGCGGAGACAGTGGCGAACAGTTGCTACCAAGGGGCGTTGAGTCCACGAACGTAGATACCGTATTTTTCCACCCAGTGTGTTGCACACCTTTTGACACCTTGGCAATCAGTAGTGTACTGGGAGGCAGTGCCAAAAGGCTGTAAGATGGAGAAAATGCAATATCGTCGATAGCTGGTTCAAGAAACAATGCCGCTCACTCCTCTGTAGCCCCATGGACTTATCACATCTTGTCGCTTCAATGCGACCCACTGCAGACCCACTATTACTTCTGTGCGTGAATATGAATGCTAATTACGCTACAGGCGTCCCGGAATGTCCACGGAAAGCAGGTAACATTGGAACTGCCCCTATGTTGATTGGTCTGGAATAAATTGCAAAAGTAAGGTTAAAGACGTTCTTTGCATTCGAAGAAACACAGCATGCCTGTTTGAATTTTCCCTTAACCCATACAACTGTCTGTATCTGTCAGTGCCTGGGAAGGCACTGTCTAGTCCTCGTTGACTTTTTCTGTGTTCAAGCAGGCAAAAGACGCGACTGGAACATGCTGCACAAGGGTGTAGAACTTCTCAGCGGCATCTTCATCGTCGTTCAGGCGACGCGCCATGCGTACACGTACGCGGCGGGGAAGATTCCGGATACCGTTGCTCCAGATATGCTTGTTCAACTTTGTGTCGATGCGAACATCCTGAAAGAGAAAATGGACAAACATGCGTACACAGGACGTTCTGAAAAAAACTGTGCGCCATTCTGCAATTAGAAGAAAAGGTACAGAGACTAAGTTGAGATGGGCAACAAGAACAATATCCACCATTTTTTACCAAAAAGCACAGTACACTCGCTCTGGCTATGGCCGACTCTGTATATGGCATACAGCAACTACACTCAACAAGCAATCCTTCCGTTTCTCAGGATACACAACCGCGTACCTTGGTATGCATAACCTTCTCTGCAAACTTCTTAATTTCACGGATTGCTCGGGGTGCCCTTTTCTTGAACTGAATGCCGTGCACAACCTTGTGAAGGTGAATGGTGTAATCCCTGCAGATTGGCTGCAGAGATTTTGTGGCACGCTTCTTTCCACCTGAACAAATGATGAGGAAATGCATGCATGCGTGATTATTCTTCCATGGTTCCTTTTCCGTCTGAGGCTGCCCCAGCCGCCTGAAGCCATAGTAGTTCCTTGCCCCTAGCGGATCGCAAAGCAGTAAAGCCGTATCTGTTTCAATCAGAAAGCCCATTTCCGTTAAAAGCTCCGCTAAACTCCCTCATCAGACGCATGCCCCCCAAGAGCGCGGGGCGCTTCCCTATTTTGCCCTCACCTTTTACCGCCATCTTTGCGCGTTTCTTAAGCGTGAGAATACCCTGAAGATCCTCAGACGCCTCGGAAGAAACGCAGTCGATTACTTCGTTCCCTTGGTTTGGCCGTAAAGGTGTTCCTTTCGGGCCCATCGCCGTTGGCGTTTGGGTGGAGAAGCCCAAAGCACGCGTTCTGTGGGGTTCGCACGGGGCTGGCCGCTGTTGGACTGCTGTATGGCCATCACCACACCATAATCAAGGGTAATTCTTTCTGCATTTTGTTTATTTAATCCACTTTCTTCTGTGTGTTTACCATATGATCACCAAGCATGGATGTAAGAGAGGAGTTGGCTTCATCCAACAAGGGGACGTGGGTGCACGCTGCTCGCATGTAACGGCGAAGCACAGAACACCGACAGCTCTCAATTGGCTGTCCAGGAAACCGTGCTTATCTCTTTATTTCCATTTTAAACTGCACATTGATCCCCTATAGTGAGCTCCTGACTGTGTGCCTAAGATATGTTGTCTTTTTGTCCGTTTTTATGCTTAAAAAAGCTTAATGGTGCTTGCGTTGTATGTGCAGTGGGCCGAGCGATGTATTCTCCATAACTGGTGTTCGACCGACACGCAGTTATCAAGTATTGTATTCGGTGAATGCTGTACCTGTTTCCATATCTAATTTGGCGCAGAGCAGTGGCAGCTCCATATACCATGAGAATGCATATATCTCTTTTTCCCTTCCATCTAGGGCCTCTGTAAGGAGACACTAATCTTCACACTCAGTACAGAATACAAACTTTTAAGTGTCTGCAAAACAGCTTACGCCTAGTCACCCCTGCGCTTGTCAGAGCTCCCGACAGGGGAATGTCGTGATTGCTGGAGTGCGCGTAGCTGCACCCTCTGAGGACTTCGATAATTAAAAGATAGTTGCTCACAGGTTCTGGCGCACTCCCCTCGTACACAACACTGCGTAGTATTTTACGGAACTAACTCTGCTCAACAATATACAAGTTATACAATCAGACAAGCCAGAGAGTCAATCCTTTACAAATCCTAAGTTAAACATAACTAGTACGTTATGAAGTTTGAGCATAGCGTAGCTGGTCGCATCTACACTAGGCCAACGCAGGAAGACACTAAGGTCGAGAATCAACACAATGTAGAAAATTCTTGTATGCCTTTCACGATAGGTTCCCTTGATTTCTGCCGTCACCTGTAACGGCTAATACATAGGGAAAAAGAATCCGCAAAGCTGCGCCATACTGCAACCTGTGGCGCATGGCTGCTGTATGCCCCCGGTGAGGTGGGCCATGCTATATTCGGACAGCTTCAGATGCAGTACTGTTACGGATCAAGAATGCGTAAAGAGCTGTACCTTTAAGTTGACTGCTCGTACACGCAGCTCGGCGCGATTTTAGGGGCTCAGTAGGATTATAATGAAGGCGCTGTGTGTCTGGGCGGTAGATGCTACTTGCATCCTCTTTTCAGTCCTTTCCCCTTATACACCTCGAGCTGAAAGCCTGAAGGTTAAAGCCAGTGAGGTAGGGTAGCGTTGTTGGCGGACTCGAAGCCATTTCCCTCAGTTTTAGTGGGACTTACGGCTCAGTGTCTCCTTATGGATACTCTAGAGGAAGTGCCACATTTGAGCGCCTCGGACATAAACGCTACTGGCATGCATACTGTACCATTCAGGCAGAGCTACAGTGTTTTCTCTAAAAATTGCTTTTACCGATCTCCTAAAGCCATATTACATTGTTTCCGAGATCATGAGACACGCAGCACGGGCACGAAAAAGATGCAGAGGCTATCTAACGTACGCACGATCACAAAAGCGCAAGTTCAGGATACGTCGAGATCGTATGGATAAATGTACGACTACAATCACTGGCCGTAATACACTTCTCAGACCTAAAACGCTACACAGCCACTATAATTCACCATAGATACATCCAACCTCATCCAATGGGAACCTTTGCAGTAATTCGATGTAGACTGCAATTGCGTAGGACCAAGTAAGGGCTGTGCCCTACAGAATTCTAAGGTAACATTGAGTTATGGCGTAGCGTAAAGTGCCTACGCAACAGACAACTGATATGCTTGCCAATAGGCCTTCTTCTAGAGTAAAGCAGATGAAAGGTCCTCGAAAAACTTATAGAGTAGGACTGCTTAGAGCTGAGAGTGGACGGGTACAAATGACTACACAGGCGTGTTATTGTGCAATGATGTGGAGCTCGGGTTTACCGTATTCCTGGGCATTAAACACAAAAAGTGGGGCTCCAGACTGAGTGACCAAAAGCCATAAATAGGATTTCTATGTACACTTGATTGTGTCGATTCCCCTGTACGTGCAATAATCAATGTTGTGAAAAATGGCAATACTAGGGCTACATTAAACGTGTAAGCAAGTATTTTATTAATGTGGTTACGCCAGCCGGATACTATGTTCCATCAGTTATTGCTCCTCTGCTCAGTTGCCCTATGCGAATCTCCAGCTTCGTGTGTGCAGGCAAAACCATTAGCAATACATGTTGAGTAGCAATTACCACCATAGATTACTGCATACACGACGACGTGCAAGACAAACTGCATTCTGTCTTTGAATGACCCACAATTAAAATTTGTATATACCTACCTGTGGAGTAGAGAAGTTCAAAAGCTGTTCTGCCCCCATATTTCGCTGAGAAACCAGTATATAAACACTAATGCGTCCCCATTTTTCAACGACTATATCCTTTGTGGAAAAGAGCTTGCAAGGGCGCTGCTGGGCCCTAAGTTACCGTGGATATCAGGCATGGTTTTCAAATTGGATATTGGGATATGGAGCACAGACATCAAGAAATAGGAAGAAAATTTGAAGACAAGAACTGTAAAAAGCGTTAAAAAAACCGTGATGGATGAATTCCAATCGGTACCTCAAACCGCAAAGGTCACTTGCTTTGATGATGGGCGTCTGAAGCCCCCACTGACGCTACCACTGCCTCTAGTTTTGGTGGTGAGAATGGACCCGTTGTGGATGGTGGGGGACATTCCAAAGGCCTCTGCGTTTTTAGCTCCTTGGTGTTTATGGCCGCGCCGAAAGCGGCCCATACCAGTAATTCCCAATGCGGTATCTCGGTTTCCGCCCGGGCTACTCTTGCGTCCAGGCTTGATACCTTTTTGCCCAAGATCCCCTGCTGACCCCAGGTCACCATGAATGCCACTCAGAGACCCATGCTTATGCTTTTTGTCTAGATCTGCTCTTTCTTGAACCCGCGTGAATTGTTCAAAGTCACCTATCAGTGTGTTGGCAAATCCCTCAGCAACAGAGGCCAAGAAGTTGGAGAGGCCGAAGAGGGGTGAGATCAAGCAGCGTACACAACAGGCCAGCAAGATAGCTGCTGTTTTCCACCAACTGTCTCCTCTGAGGAGGAACATAGCAGAGGCAGGGCACAACGAGCTCTAAGCAAGCAATAGCTATCACGAATTACGCCCTAGTCATTGTATGACATTTATCCTAAATGTGCACCGCATGAAATGACTCCCCTCCTGCGCTCTTAGCCTCCTATAACTCTTTCCCCGTGCACTCAGTGTTTTCTCGGAAGACAAACTTTCGCTCTCTGTGCTCCCCCTTTATGACACGTGGCTCACCTAGTGGCGCTAGCCGTTGGCTCCGCGACGACGGCCACCCAGGGCCTCCAGAAAGTATCAAGGAGCATCCCGTTGAGGCCCTTCCAAAAGGCGTCAAGTACACCATAAGGCCGCGGCCTGGATCCTCTCATAAGCTTGTGAAGGATGTTTAGTACGTGGGAAAGAGACTGCATTACACCTCCCATGGTGTATATAATAAAAAGAATAAAGCCTATCCTGAAGCCAGTCATCAACCCCTCGAAGCTGTTGTGACTCTTCTTGGCACCTTTGATAGTCTGTGTAAAGAGAGCGCTTGCACCCCGAATAAAGCCGACAACAAAGGCACAGGGGTTGCTGATCCAGGCCGATGGAAGGGATTGCCGAATAAACTGCCTAAGGTAGGAGTTCCTGAGGGAATGGATGAGCTCGTGCCACGAGCAAACAGTGAACTTGCGCTTCTCCCTGGCTATTTGTATAGCCATGTAAGGTGTGTCCAGTGGAAGGGCATCTACAATGTGCAGAACTTGGCGAGAAATGCGATGCTCCGAAGTGCGGATAGACACCGTGAGGGAAAGCGAGCTGATGGTCAAATTCTTTATATACACAGGGCTAGCCCTGTGAAGTTCCATCCACCGCGGATTGGGTAGTACCAGTACATGCGAAGAGGGAGGATTAATATATACTCGGGGAGAAGCGTAAAACTGGGTACGCACGGGCTCATGCAGAAGAAATTCATGGAATGAGTCCACTTTATTCGACGCCCCAGCAGAAATGCCTAACGAGAATGACGAACGCGATGGACCCACAGTGCTGGCTTGATGCCGAGTATTATCCAAGGAGGGCGGTAGCTTTGACAGGTTGATAGGGCCCGAGTGAGTTACATCCATCGCCAGAGGATGCACCAACAGCGCAGCGGCAGCCGCCGCTGCCACATTTGGAGGGGCGTCTCCGTCTGATGCCGCTCCACAGCGGGGTGGTGCAACTGCAGCTGCGCTGCCAGCAGTCGTCTCTGCGGCCATCAGCTGTTCCCGCCTGTTACGCTCGACAACATCCATAACTGCCAACTGCCGCAGTGCTTCCGCAGCATCACTGCACTTAAGGGCAGTCTGAAGGGCCGGCGGCTTCTGCAGTGGAAACAAAGCAAGAAAAAGGGCGCCGTGGTGGAAGTACCAGCATTAACGCATTCATCACAGTACAAGAAACCCAAACAAGAGTAGCGCAATTTATTTCTCCTAAGAATACACCGATCAAATGTTCTTCACTGGAAGGAAGGACGAAATACGCAGGTGTAGTACACTCAGGTACAGGCGGAAGTAAATGGAAAGCATAATCGCAGGGCCCGTCTCACCTGTGGTGCAGCGACGGCGAATTTGTGCAGCATTTCAACCTCCTTTTCGTAGATTCTGATGAGCTGTTCAATGACAAGCAACTCGATATTGGCGCTGAAAGGGCTAATGCGTACTTTTAACAGCTCATAAGTGGGGGCCTGTCTTGGGTCGACTAGGGACCTGACCACTGCGATCTCCAGGAACTCCTCTGCCTCCTTGCCATACTTGGAGGTAGTGTTCTTTAGAATAACCGGAATGTCACCCTTCACAAAATGATCAACGTGCAGCATAGAAATCCGGGCGGACAGCGTCACTGCGCTCCGAGTCATTACTAGTACCTCGTAGTCCTGTTGCGGCTGCTGGACTGAAATGGTTTCTTCTTCACCGTCCTCTTCTTCCGCTGACGTAGTACTATCTGTTCCGAGGCTGCTACTTCCTTGAGTGGCCCTATCGATACTGCTTGAGCTTCTCCTGTAGCCACTGGGAGCAACAAGGCCCCCACTGGAGCTATCTGTAGGTCCCTCGGGGGGCGCCCCAAGGGCCCGTTGCCCGCCTGTCCAATTGCTGGTCATATACATTACACTCTCCATTGGCACAGCCTCCAGGAAAGCGTCGAGCTGCCTTGGATTCACAGAGCCCGACAGTGAAAGGCCTGTTAAGTGAAGCGCCAGGACCTACACAGACATCGAGAGATGGATATCTGGGAATGTAATGAGCCACGCCAAAAAAAGCGGAGAGTCAAGCGGCACCTTTTTGCAGGGCCACAATCCCAGAAAACGTTATCACGAAAAGAAACTTGTCTCAACCAAGCACTAAACTTAAACGGCACGATCTCATTAGCAAGCCTCACCACTTCACTTTGATGTATCCACGTCACGGTCAGCCGCGGCAGCCGGAATTCGAAAGACAGACCCAACCAAGGTGGAGGTCGCCTCTGCTTTTGCAGTGGCTTTTCGTTGTGTTGCTTAGACATTTGACTGAGGTCTCTAATGGATGTACCGTCCGAAGTCTGCACATCTCCCAAAGTGAGGTCCCCGCGTTTGTGTCTCGTAGTGCCAACAGGGGCGCTACCTGCTGATATTGTAACCTTAGGCATCATGGCGGCTGCTGTTGTTGGCTCGTACATGTTGACAGCTCCAGCAGGAGCTAAGCCAATGTCTTGCTTTATGCTCTTTCTAACAAGTTCCTCCCGCACAAGTTCAAAAGCCGAACCCCCAGCACGAAGCTTGTCCGACACTTCAGGGGTTTCTGCTACGATGAGGATACGGCTACCATTTGCTGCAACGAGGGAGAAAACGTAAAGAGTTGATAACGACCGTTCCTTACTGGTGGAACTAACGGACCCTCCAATCCGATGGGTGTGTAGGCGTATGAAACTGCGAACATGGAAATATGGGGCAACAAAACAGTACCTACGCGTCCACTTCAATATGCACTTCCCAGCACTGCACTGTGACGCGTGTTGCTAAACCAGTAGTCTCTGCATCGGTGTCGGCTTTTGTAGAGCCTTTCATTGAACCGCAGCAGCAAATTTATTCATTCGGGAAAGTCTCCATGGAGGCTGTATACATTCTAAGCTTTGCCTCTCTCACCGCGTGTCTCCTTCTTGTACAGAGTACCGTTCTTCCTCTGGCTCAAGGTATCCCTCAGAAAGGTCGCCGCCACCTGCCGTTGTATTGCCTCTAAAATGCTGCAGAGGGTTGGTGTTGCTCGCTGATGGAGCGATGATCGCTGCCGTTGCACTCACAGCAGTTCCAAGAGACTTGGAAGGCAGGCGCTGCAAAAATGGAACCTTGCGTGAAGAGGCGCCGTCTAGTGAGCGTGGAGATCCTGGCTGAGGGCTGGGCGCAAGGCCTCCAGCTGCTGCAGAGGCGGCTCCTGCCTGAGGAGGGTGCGGGACGAATTCAATTGTCTGCAAGTCCTCATCCACAGATGCTAGACTGTACACTGACCATGGACAATGTTCCACGTCAAGCACCCGCAACCGGACGCGTGCATTTTCAAGATTCTTATGATACGGGGGGATGAATGGAACTGATCCCCACGGGGGAATCAGCTGAGAAGAACAAAAAAAACACAGCAGACAAGGGGAGCAAAATATGAATAGTGTACAGAGTTGTCCTGCCAGCAGGCAGTCAATAGACGACCCACACGCGCTCAAAAACCTCCTAACGCCGCTTTTTTTTCCTGAGCCAAACAACTTGCGGCACCAGCCAGTTGTTAAATGTGACGAGGCATTTATGCGCATGCACATTGAAGTTCCCGGTGCTAGGAATGCAGCTTTGTTTAGATAGCTCCTCTCAGGCAATCATAGTGCATCCTCATACTGCTATAGATGTGCCCAGAACAACGGAGCTAACAAGATGTGACAATCGGTCGGTGCTGTCGCCGGTGTTGCAAAACTGTGTGAAGCTGGTACGTACTCTCAAGTTTCCATCTGCTTCGTCTCTGCCTTTCTTTATGGACGATTTGGCTTGGATAGCGCTGGACATGGGAATGGCAAAGGCGTCGTCTCTAAGTTGGTTCTGCTGTGTGCGCCTGCTCCGTTCTACTGGGGCGTGCGCGAGGTAATAGCTGGTAAGGTTGAGAATAGCAAACTGGGCATGCTCCGGAAGCGACAACACGATAAAACTGCCGTTGTAAGTGTAGGGAAGAGCCGGGACATCTCCAAACAATCCTGACACGATTGACACCTGGATGATGGTGCAGTGTTCAGGAAGGTACACCGCCCGTCCCCTCTTCGGCGTCATCTCGACCTGAAAGAAGAAGGGAACATGTGCAGGGACGAGCGAAAACGAACAAGACACTAAACTCTTTTCGGCGTGCGTCAGCAGCACACGGGGCTCCATCCCATGAAAAGCCTTTGTCTCTCCTGGAAGCAGGGCCAGCTCGCACGGCATGGCCTTGCTGCGGCTCCCCATAGCTCCTCCAAGAACTCTACTACGGCTTCGCACCTCCCGTACCATAACGGGAAACGGCAGCCGAGAAATGAAAATGAAGCGCGGTATCACACTGACGATTTTCGTGGTGGAATAGGGAGCGTCGCCGTATCGGGTACACAACCCCAGTACTAGCGCTGTTGGGCTACTGATGCCCTTGTTGTGGGGCAGTTCCTTTTGAGTCCCTGCAGCGGTAGTGGTGGTAGCCGATTGGGGATTGACGTCAGGACCTTCTCCAGTATAGAGTGTGTCTTTGTCCACGCTATCTGCCACACTGCAGTCGAAGCCGGAGGGCTCCTCCTTGCGAAGATTCTTCGAGCGGCCCCTGCCAAGATTCTTCACTCTGCGTTTCACCGTTACTTTTAAGCTCTTGGCCCGGGCCACTGGTCTGAAGAAGACTTCTTTGCCGGCCTCCCCCGCACTCATGCCATCAGAATACTTGCGCTTTACTCCAAACGCCCCAGCAGCCCTCTTAGTTGTGAATATCAGGCGGGTTTCTCGACGTGCGCCACCCACGGTCTCGTCGTCAACGAAAGAATCGGTAGAAGACTGAAGGAACACCAACAACTATGCCATCCCAAGGCGTTTTCAACGAACTCTTAAGCACATCTTAGAGTACCACAGCTACTGTGAGGCAGTGCAGCAGGAGTGGATTCAGCAAAAAGCCCTATGAAGATAGAGATTCTGAGCTTTCGGTGAGCAGAAAGAAACATCAGCATGCGTTACACGTACCAGCGTGGCTTTGAGCAAAGGTAAGTCTCCCTGCGAGCCCCCTCTACGCATATCAGGGAGTTCCTCAAGAGTCTGAAGTCTTGCTGCTTCATCTGGATTTAGAGACGACAAAATTGAGTCCACCGACCCACCGCCTCCAGCTGCAGAGCACATCCAGCAAAGCAGATTGAAGGGCATGCAAGCAGCTTCTACCCAGTACAGTCCACGTCCAACCGTGCAGATGATATTTGCGCATACTAACATCAACTGCAAAATAGCTTTTCGACGAATATGGAAAGACATACGGGCCCCATCGACGCTGTGGCGCTGGTCGTCTCCCGTCGCTGACACCGCACGATTCACCCATCCGAAGCGAAGACCTCGCTGCTTTTGCAACGCCGACAACTTGAGCACCAAGGGAGGCCTATAAAAGAAGGAAAACGGAGCGTGGAGCACACACGATGGGATGGAAAGGTGGCCTCCAAAGAAGCCACAAGCAATAGCACCCTCACGAACATCGGCCCAAACAGAGCAGGGTGCTGCAAGTGCCAACAGAACATGCACCTTGATAGGACACAAGAGCTTCCTTGAAGCCTACAAGGGTGAAGCATTCAAATGGTCTAATACTATTCATTAGGCGCAAGTGGTGCCTCCAAGGGTGTTTGGCTCGCCGCTGCCGCCCTGTCTCACCTCGCAGTAGATATCCCTGACAAGTCGTGTTTCTTGCTGACTGACGATTGCAGCACGCGATCTGTCCAAATGTCGGCCTTGTAGGCTCGAATAGAGGCAGATCGCATATCCTCTTCGGTGGTATATAGCCTACACCGGCTGGGGACCAAGGCTCCATTGACAGAAAGCGTAGCATCTGTTAGGTTTTCAAAGAAGTAGGGAGCAAAGACCGTGATTTGACGCCTGCTTACATCCGCGGCTAGCTGCATCTCTGAGAAGATGAGAGGAGCCTTCTTTCCTCTGCGCTGATTCATTGCCTCCACCTTAGCCAGCTTTAAAGTCCCCGGGGGCAGTAAAGACTCTCCCCTGCCATTCTTGAGTTGCAACACCTTGTTAACGGTTAATGTGTCTTGGCTCGGCAGCAACACTGCGAAGCGCTGGGACTCATACACGGTAGTGGATTGTTCCTGCTGCTGCGCTTTATGAGCTCGTTTCCGTTTCTTGTCTTCTGTGCCTCTCGTGGCTGACTCCCCTGTTTTCGCAGCAGTGTGCAATGCGACGCCGTCTATGGCCTCCTGCTGTAACAACCAAGCAGCACCCCCCAGCCTAGCTCCCCCTCGAGAGGCTGCCGAGGCCAACAGCTGGAGCTCGAGTGGTCCCAGAGGTCTCCCGTCTGTTGGATTGAAGGCTTTCATCTGCGTATTGAACTGTTCAAGGGGCGCGCCATGCACGCGCAGTACTAGCCAAAGTCGTTGTTCCCCTACGGGAAGTCCCTGAGCGGCAGATATTCCATAAATGCATTGAATTCTATTGTTTTTATGCTTTGTTGCATCGGGCTAAAATTTCGTGAAAGGCCCCAGTTTGTAAAGGTGAGCTGCCACACTGTGGGGAACGCCGTGGGTGGATGCTCATGTAAAGCTTACCCAGCTCTGGTGTGACGGGATCGTTGCCTCGACAAAGTTGTTGGCAACAAGCTTCGCTGAAGTGCCTCTGAATTTTTCTTGTTGTTCTTCCTCCTTTTGTCTCTTACGGCTCTCCAATTCTGCCAGGAGCTCCGCCTGGGGGTTTCCGAATGCGTATCGTAATGGCTGAGCTGGTTCTGTTGATACTGCGTACGCAATGTTATCGGCCTGCGTGGGTACATGGGACGCCTTTGCGCCAGTCCCCGCAGCGTTGGTTGCCCCAGCCCGAATCTCGCTAGACATCTGGGACTCCCCTGCATTTCGCAGATAAACAGAGACTGTGATGGGGAAGGGAAGAGTGTTCTTAATGCTCAACATTGGCTCCAGCTTAATGACGTAGCGCTGGGCAATACGAGATGCTCCAGAAGTGGGAACATCTGTAGTGTCCACCGTTCCGTAAAGCATCAAGGATCCACGCAGACGGAGAGTGAATGGAGGAAGATCCAAGCGTCGGGGTTGCGTGTCTGATGTCAACGCAGGCAACGCAGATGCAGCAATAGGTAAAGATAAGGACGCCAGTGACTGCCCGAATCGTCCCGTCTAGACAAAGGCATGCTAAAGCAAAGATGGAATAAAGGGTAACAGTGGTGGAAGTGATACAAAGGCAGGACACACGAGAATTGAACTTACACCCAGTCTTGTTTGTGAGCCTGTAAAGAGCAGGGAACGGCACAGGGGGAATCTCTGGTTCCCTGTCCTCCCCATATCCCTCCCCGCCTTCAGTGTGCAGAAGGGCAGCCAAAGAAGGTACTGTGCCACTCCCAAACCACGAAAGAGGTACCGAGCGACGGCATCCTGGAAGGATATCGATGTACTCTTCCGGGGTGGCGGCGCTCCTAGTTTCCCCAGTGACGCGGGCTGTAAAACAGGATATGGCGCGCCCTCCCCAATTTCGCTTCGCCCGGCCGATGTATACCCGCAGTGTCATGGAGCATGCATTTGCCAGCTGCACGCAACTGCCAACTGCAAGACTCCATGTGCCGTTCCTACGGTCCACAACGGGCTCAACCAGCACTTTAAACCCTGCGTTTTGCAGGAAGTACGCGCGGCAGTTTGAATAGTCCGCATGTAACCGACCCAGACAGCACCAGCCAGGTTCCTTGCGGAGCATTTGCAACAAACTCTCCCATCCGTAACGCATGCTCCGACTGCCGCCGCCCTGCAGTACTGGCATATCGTCTACCAGCATTTCCAATGGCGCCTGGGCACGCCGGGTTGAGGAAAACAATAACGTCTCTTCCTGAAACAATGCAGCATCTAGTCTAAGAAAACGTTCATAATGCTTGCAACTCCGAATATATTAGCAGTCAGATACATAGCAAACCTATTACCGTGTACAGCAGGAGGGATGGAAGGAGTCATCTGGACAGGGTCGGCAGGCTCTTACGTATGCCCGCAACCAAGAGTTGTCGACCTTCCGGGTCCCTAGCTGCAGAAGTCCCTCCACAACGTGCTTAACATCTTCATAAGTTTCAAGGCGAACTGTTGGATGGGTCTCATGTAATTTTTCATGGTCGTCACCCCTGCGCCGCCAAATTCGTCGTCGCCTCTCGGGGATTGCCTCTGTAACAGGCGTGTTCTTTCGGACTGCAAAGTATAAGTATGCCGTAGGTGCCAATATCCATTCTTCTGGCTGCATGCGAGAGAAATGCCACCTACACAGACAATGCAAAAGGCAGCAACAAAAGGATTGTATCAAATAAAGCAGCATAGTTTAAGCGGGCACTATTATTGCTATGTGGACGACCATGGGTGATATGGTGCGAGCCTGAAAAATGCCTTTGGCGAGCTTTCCTTGGCTTCAGAAAGGTTATTATTATATAGACAACAATGAAGCTGACCCTCTAGGCTCATCTCTAGCACGGCGACGGTGCATGACGAGAACTTCGGAGTGAATGTCATTATACACTCTCAGGCTGTTGTGCCTCCCTAAGCTGCCTTCCGCTCCCTGAAGAATTTCGCGGGTTGTCCTGACAATATGATAAACCAGCTGTAGAAGTCCCGAGGTGATATCAACAGACACCCCGTCCATAGCGCTGCGAATATTCACGATGCTCCAGTGGCTCATCTGGCCGTCTACGTACTGCCGCTGGATATCCACTGAAGCTGCAACAGGGTGCAACAGTTCCTCCTGGGAGTTGGTCATGGGATCATAGCCCGATACCATGAGCTCCAAGCGGCCTCCAAACTTCTTAACCGAATCAGCGCTCCACAGTTCCGGTCGTATGTACACTTGGCCTTCCAAGGCTAACAGACTAACTTTAAGAAGCGAGCCATGTGCGTCGTGGAATTCGAAAGCCCCCTTAACCACCTCTGCCTTGATCTCAAATTCTGTCTCACCCGGAAGCTTGAAACTCAACAAAGAAAGAAAGAACCCAATAGCCCGGCAGTACATATCTTTGAAATCCGCTTCTCCGACGCTTTGAAGCAAGGAAACAGGCATTGCCGTGTCCACGTCTTCATGCTCGGTTGCATCCGGACTTTCTGAAGGACTCACGCCCTTTCGGCGAGAGTTTACACTGTGCCACGCCACTTCACCTTGCAAGTCGCGCACATCTGTCCCTTCTACCCGTTGAACACCGGGATCACACGCATTCAGTTTCACTGCCGATGAGCCGCAAGCAGACATGAGCTTAGCAAGAAGCAGCAGTTCTTCTGAATCAACGCACTCTTCATCTTCGGCTTTGCGAAGGTCTCCTCCAGGAACGGATGGAACCAAGGTCGCCCGTGGTGAGACCACTTGTGACTGAGCCATTCGGCGACGTTGAGAGTTTACGTTCAGCTCTTCACGCTCTGGGGATTGTGTGTCCCCGACTCGTATCCCCCATGTAGCAGGCTGTTGTACTGGAGTTGAAGCGGATTCGCTACTGGAGCTGCTGCTTCTGGTTGGCTCAGAGATATCTTCTTCAAGCTGCTGTTGTGGCAAGCTAGACATAGCGTTCAACTCTTCCAGAGCCCGTCCAAAGGCACCACCCCTACGCTGCTGGCGCATCCGTGCCAAAGCCATGGAGGCAATAATCGCTGGTTTGGGGCATCGCTCGCCTCCCTCGAGCGATGCCCAATCAAAGAGAGGGCGGTGCCGCTGCTGAGGGGTGGGATATGCGTTCTCCCACATGGTAAAAGCATAGTCCCTCAAAAAATGGAGCAAACTGCCTTCCATAGTTAGGTCCCCTAGGCCAACTGAATAGTTTGTAACCCGAACTGCTGCGAAAGCGTTCCCAGCAGCTGAAGCTGATGCAACCCCAGAAGGCAGTACCGAGCCAGGCCCCTCAACCGTGGGGGCCCCCCTCAATAATACACCAATGCCGCCCGTAGACTTGTCGGATCCTGGCGGGTAGAGAAACTTCGGAAGCTTCTCTGAATTTGAGGAGGTTGCAGTCGGGAGAACAAAAGGGCTCAGGGGCATGTGGGGTTGCTTGCGCGTACTTGCGGATGACGTCCGCGTCAACTGCAGGTCTTCCACTCGTAATGGCTGCTGCTCGGTAAGGGCCACTATAGCAGCTTCTGCGGCGGCTGCTGCTGCAGCGACGGAAGACTTCATGGCTGTTGTTGCAGCGGTTGCAGATTTAATGACCTGAAGCTGTTCAAGCCTTGCCTGTGTCTCCAAGCTAACAAGACCTTGAAACATTTCAAATGAAAAGTGCACCTGGGGATCCGAAATTGTCAGGCAAAACTTGGCTTTACCTCCCGGACACCCTGTCCACAACGTCACCACCACACAGCACAACAGCTTAGTTCGGAGCGTCAAGGAAGATGCCGGAAAATACACTATTCTTGCAAATCCACGAAAATAGGTATCTGTCGGCATTTTGCATGGCAAAGCCAAGAAAGGGATACCCGGCGCGAAAACAAAAAAAGCAAAAGGGTATCAAGAAAAAGCCGACGCTGTGGAAAGCAAGGCACCAGCTTGTATTAAATAAGAATGATGCAACAGCGATGACCCACTGAGCACTTTACATGACACCTCTTGTTACTGTACTGCCGCACCTGATATAGTAGCTGTAGATGGCGCCACAGATAAGAGACAGTCCGTACGCTGTTGCAAGTTCGGAAGGAGCAGGGCCCCCCCATATCCCTCAAGAACATCAGGGAAATTGTGGAGAACGACAGCTCCTTCATCTGGTTGACCCGCCTGCAATTTGTCCATAGGCAACGCTTGTGACGACTTCAGGAAGGAGAATGCGGCGATTTGTTTCATGGTTTTGTTTTGTGGTGGTGCTGAATGTCGCTGTTGCTGTTGATGAGATTCTGACGTGGGCACCTGAAGCCCTAGGTTACATGGCCGTCCAGTTGGATCAAGGACTGACTCGGGGGAGTGCTTCGACTGGACAAATTCGCTGCAGGGAAATGGTGACCCCACCATTGCGCTGAGCTCTCTGACCTCCCCACACACGTTGAGATCCGGACCCCGTTGCAACAGACGGAATGTGCCAGCAGTAAGGAACCCAACAACAATTTGTTGCTTCCGCCTTTCATCAGGGCACTCCTCCTCCACGCATAGCCCCTCACGACTTGTCGCTGTCAGCATGATCTGCATCAATAAAGAACCGAATATATCGCCACATTGTCAAGACTCCCAATGCCTATACGCTTTTTGTAAGTCTCTGTTTGCCGGATTTCCGATCCGGTAAAGCAGTCTCACTCGCGCTGCGCCCCTGTCCAACATATGGCTGTAGGTGGATGTAGTATTCATCAGCTATTCTCTGAGGTTCCCACCGAATTGCAGACATATCTTCAGTAAGCGATGTTTCTGTGAATGCACGAAATGCTCAAATCACCTGAAGCAGAGACCTTGAAAGAGGCTGACCCTGCATCCACTGGCCCGGGGTTTTTTCGCTCCTGCCTGCGTCGGAGGGTTTGGTGCCGCTTATGGCGGCAAGTGACTTCAGCCTAGCCTGCATAACGAAGAACCCTCGCCTTCAGAAACGTCCCTGTGAGTACAGCCGCTTTGGTGGTGTGTGCCCTTTTGCTCACACATTGCCATGTACAACAAAAGATGTGAAAGCCTGCATGCACTGTGCGAGGGCTTGTACCACATTGATACGCGGCATGCGTATCCTGCAGCGAATTGGACCAGTCCTCGTTCACGGCCTTTTACCGAGCTTACTTTGGTCTTCCTTTTGAGAGACGCGATACTTGCAACCGCATGCGGGTCTCCTGGCTTGCCTGGAGTGTCACACTGGGCTGGAGCATCGCCTCCCTCCCCGAGAACAAACCACAACTCAACTCCCTTGACTGTAAACTCGAGAATCTTTTGTAGCTTTGCTCCTACCAAAGCGGCCTCACGCTTGGATAGGGTCACTGTGGGTTTTCGCTGCTCTGGTGGGGACGGAGGAGCGAACGAGTGCCATTGCGCAATCGTGCCTTCTCGAGCAGACGAATTGAAGGCACTTGTAAGCCGTCCGCGCTCACCACGGCCTGCGTGCATTGCAGAGACAAAAGTTTTAAAGCGAAACGGAGCAGTGCCGGCAAGGACTACGTTGACATCACAAAAAAGTGTCCAAGGTGCCAGCTCCGTTTCCCTTTTAAGTGGGAGCATCAACCATACCTGCAGGAAGGCCCGTGTTGGACGGGGACAGATATGACTGGGCAGCCCGCAATTTGCTTTCTACTGGCGTAGCGCTGATAGATGACGTTCCGGAGATTGTAGATCCCACAGATCTCAGGATCCTGCTAACACGGCCCTTGGCAGTCAGAGGGCTTCCTTGCGAGGGAATAGATTCGGGAGCGGACCGCTCCGCCTTCCGCCGTCGGCACCAGAAACAGCCTAAAATTAAAAGACAGACATAAAAGGCCCCCACTGCAAGCAGCTTTTGCAAATAATGGTGAACCGTTTGCAAGGAGGAAACCAAACAGTATGTCGAGCATAGGGGTTTGGGGTTCTACTGAAAATCCTGGGAAGACCGTCTGTATCTTACATAAAATACGACTCCAAAAGCCTTGTGGCTTCCTAACGCTTGTTAAAGTTTTATCTCCTTCTGCATCGTCTGGGGAACATTGAGCTCCTTCAGGGGACGAAAAAGAGTGCGCATCGCTGGTTGAGTGCCGCCGAGGACCCTGCGGAGCCGGCATGGGACCAAGACGAATGGAGCTCCTAAGCTCGCCCTGTGGAGATGACTTCCCGAAAGGCATTTGCGTAGATGACGCATCAGCTGAATGTGCCCCTTGGAAAGGCTCAGAGACCGGCGAGGAGTCTCCGTATCCGTGAGTGCCTTTTATCTGCAGGGCACACACGCAGAGGCAGCAAGAATCTACTGGACGACCACAGGAGCACACTGAACCGAGCCAAACATCGCCTGTTCGCACCCGACCTGGCTAGTAGTCTTAAGATTGTAACAGACCAAAGCCAGTACTGCTGTAGAGCTATGCTGAGCCATCTAAGATATCCACCAGTTTTTAAAAGTGCCTCTAATCAACACATAGGAAAACGTATCAGCGCACCGGCGGTGGATGGTTGCTCGCTTTCAAATCCACGTGGTGCTGAAAGAGATCGGTCGTTTCTAACCTCCAAGGAGAAAGAGGGACTGCAGTGTCCACCGCCGCAGTGCTTGATTCAGCTACTTCTCTTGCTGCAGCCTCGGCCTCGATCACTTGTAGCACCTGTTGTATGGACATCGGTGTAGGCATCTCAGGCAGCTGCAGAGGGAGGTAGCTGTGCCAATCTTCTGGTGCAAGGGATGGAGGAGGAAGGGCGGGATAGAGGAGACACAGTATGCCAAGGCCTCTCCGTTGCAGCAGCAAAGACCTGTGGACAGCTTGTTCGTCCTGGGTTGCCGCACGAGGCTGCCGTAGCTGATCCGGAACCGCAGGCAAAGAACTCTGAGATTGCAGCTGGGCGACCCTTAAAAGTTGATGGGTGCTGACACCAACAGGGGAGAGCCATGAGGCAGTAGAGTAGCAGCATCCAAAGCTAATGGCAGGAAACTGCAAGCTGAAATGTTTCAACTGCTGTAAAGCTCCGAACAAGCTGGTGGCCCAAGAATACACTGTAGCTCCTTGAAGGGCACATAGTTGTATCCTCATGTGGGATAACTCCCCGGAGACAAAAGCTTTTTCGTCAGATATCCACAATAACCCCTGCAGCAAAGGGTCTTGTACTGCAGTATCCGACATCAGCACCTGCGGTACAGGCAACCTGGTCTTGTGCACAGAACGCCGAGTTGATGCTACGCCGGATAAACCCGAGGCTTGAGTCCCAGTTGTATTTACAGATGCGGCGCCCTGAGGGGTGTGGGATCCTCCCAATGCCTGTGCGCTCGTGGCGAAGGCCCCAGAGAAAAGTTTAGGAAGGACGGAAGCATTTTGAAGCAGCCTGACGCCGTCCTCTCCTCTGACAATGCAGTCACGTAGAAATAAAACCAGGCGGAAAGGCTCAATTACGGGTTCTGCTTTCTCTGCTTGGCCTACCACCCCTCCATTTGCATCAGCTTCCTGAACCACCTTCCCTCCATACACTGCTGATCCAAAAACTGAGCGAGATGCCAGCCCGTGTGTTAAGCGCTGCTGTTGCACGAGCAGTTCCGGAGGCCGCTCTTCGGCAACAAATGTCACCTCCAGATCCTTGAGAAGAACCTCCAACACGCAATCCGCTTGTTTGGGTTGCTTCTCCTTGGATGGCGTGTAGATCTGCTGTGCACTGGAGTTCTCAGCCTCGCCAAACGGGCTATCTAGTCGTGGGTCTCCACCTTGAGAAAGTACAATACGGGGAGAGCTGCTTTGAGCCACTTCCTGAGCAGATGGGATCGCTGCGTCACGTAGACGTGGCCGCTTGAGCAATTGCAGCCTCAGAACTGGTGCTGTTGCTTTTACAGAGCCGCGAGAAGGTCCTTGCTGCACTTCTGCAGCTGCAAGCCGTTCAAACGCTGCTGTTGTAGCAGGTGCCGCCATTGCAGCTGCCGATGCCGCTGAAGGAGACGCCTGGGTTCCTGGAAACTGCAGTGCTGAAAGGGGGAACGGCTTTCCCCTTTTCACGTCTCGCTGCCTCGGCGTTGCGCGGTTTGGAAGAATCACAGACCCAATGGCCTCTTCTCCACCGGCTGGGTTGTTAGCATACCACCGCAGCTGTTGTTGCTCGGAGGGAGAAATGGGATGTGAGGATTTTCTTACGCCCCTCACGGTGATGATAAGATCAAGAGCAATGCATGGCGATATTGGAGCAGCAGAAAGACAACAAAGGAAATAGAATGCCTCTGAACTCAGATTCGGCCGGACAGCAGTGATCGGGAGTAGTCGCTTGGTGGCAGGAATGGCAGGAAGGTTGAGAAGCTGACAAGGGGATGGAAGTGTTAGTTGCAGAGAATGAATGCAGAGAGACACAAACGAATCATGTGTGAGCCGTTCCAACGCAGTCCGCAAGGCCAAAGATAGCTGCAACAGGGAACCAGGGAGAGCGCCCCACAACCGGGTGTCAACTTTGAGAGCTGCCTCCTCTGAGCCTTCAACTGCTGCTGTATCGTCTCCAATGGACAGTCCTACGGCTGGGCGGGTTGGCGCCCCAGACGCACCAGTGTCAGGTTCCTCGTGCTGGGGAGGTAAGAGCGAACGTCCTGGGTTCGAAGGCGGTGAAGGCGCTGCTACAGCCAACTCGGACGAATTCGCCAAAGTTGGCAGACATTGAACTGCTGCTCGAGCCGCCTCTGCTGCTTTGTGCTCTTGTTGCTGCATGCCCATGCGGATGGCTCGCAGACCCATCGATAGACGTGAAAGCACTGCAGTCATTTCTCCATCCTTTCCAAATAGCTGAGTGAAGCAATCCACCTGTACGAACACCCAAAGAACCCACGGGCTAAAGGTTCTATGCTACTTTCTCTGAGATGATTCTTAGCTACATATCTTTGATAATCACTATCCTATAGTCGATGACAAAAGAGTTGCCAAGAAGCCTGTGTCTCTGTCTGCCCATGAGATTTCAGAGAATGTGACTCCAAAATAATAGTAGGCTGCCTTACAAGGAATGGAGAGCAACAGCAAAATGTGGGGCATATATCTCCTCTGCAGACAATTTTTGTGCCAGGTCGACAGCCATCAGGAGCTTGGTACTTCAAGGGTGCTCGCATGTCTCGGCATGGTGTATTGGAATGATCCAGGAGTCTATACATCAAGGATATATGAGGCGAGATATTTGCAGCCCCTCGCAGTCTCTCAGAAGCAGCGGTCTTCTTTTCGTCCTGCTTTTCGTCTTCTTGTGTGTTGAGTTTGAGTGCAGCTCCAGCAAGTGCTGCCTGTGCTGCTGGTGTGGTTCGTGCGTTCATGCCTTGCAATGTCCTCATCGCAGCTCTGTCGGGAACGATAGAGGCTTCGTGCCTCTCGTCTGAACATAAGCACACATGAGAGACACAGCCACCCTAAGGAATTCCAGTACTCAGAAGTGGAACTCGGTGCCTCTAGAGGATCACAGAATCATGAAAATCCAAAAACAGATGGTGCGTGCACTCGTCGTTATCAATTGGTTGCGTTGACTGATTCTGGTAGCTTAGTGCGCAACCTTGCACTTCCACGTTTGTCCTCATCCTGTCTAATCTTACTTGTAGAGCGCCTGCCCTTACGAGCTATGACCATTGATTCGGCTTCAGCCTTTGCCTCTTGGAGCCTTCGCTGTAGAAGAGTTCTCTCTTTATTCGTCGATGATTGAAGCAGCACTGGGATCAAGAGGATGCGCCCCTCTTGTGCCCGGAAGTACGTGCCAAAGGGAGGAGGAGAAGGAAGAGAAACAGACAGCCAATCTTCTGTCCACACTTCCCTTAACAGAAACGTAAGCTGTTGCACTTCTTCCACTACCCTGCTGACTGTATGCCTGCTCGTGCCCCGGCCTGCGGATTTACATGACGTTGATATTCGCGAAGCGTCTACCACGGGAAGTCCGCTGCCGGCGATCCTGGATTTGTCAATGGCGGCCACCTGAGCAACTGTGGGAGAACCTCTTTGCGCTCCAACAGCTGTATGCATTCGGCGACCTACCGGCACATATGCCGCCAAATGACTCTTCGAGCTTCCGCTGGCAGCACTCTCTGCTTCCTGATTATCCGCATTTCCAGCAGTGGATGTTGCGGCGGCCGAAGGCGCTGTGGCACAGCCGCTGCGGTGCTTCTGTTTATTCTGTCTCGACTGCATAGCGGCAAGCGCTGCTACGGCTCCGGCTGCCCTGCATGGATTTGCAGCAGCCTTGTTGTCTTGTAAATAGACTGCACTCCAGATGGCGACGCGCTTGACCTCCAAATCAATTGCTGTGCATGTAAGGAGCTCTCGCTCTTCTTCACATTCCTTGGCAGGAATTTCCACAACGCGCCGCTCCTCCCGCTTGGCACGTGTGGCGGTTGGTTTTGCTGTACGCGGCACTGAAGCTCTTGCTCTCACCTCGGTAGTCTGTCCCACAACGCGCTGCATTTGGTCAAATGCAGATCCCATGGGCACAATACCCTCCATGCTGAATCCATAACGGCACACCCACAGGGAAGCAAAGGCTTAAAGAGGCGCAGCAAAAACCTGGCTCACGGGCCCGAAGGGCCCCTTACTTTTCTATACCCAGCGAAATGAAGGGGCCTCTACGGAGTGCACCACCAGAATCTCAGTTCACGCAGTTGCGGTACCCAGCAAATACTTATAAAGAGAGCGAAGCACATACCTGGGCGTAGCACTGGAAGCCCGCATGCCTTGCCTGCCGGTACCAGAGCGCTCTACGTTCCCGCTCTGTCGCAGTCGTGATCTTCCAGGCATGTTGGCATGACGCGCGAAAGGCGACTGAGTACTGGCATAGGCGGTTGCTACATCGCTCTCGAAAGGATAATACCTCAAGGCACCTCGTCCACTTGGGGTGCTTGACACGAGCTCCAGTAGACCAGAATTAGCGCTGTTCAGTGTAGAAAGAGTCCGGCGCGGCTTTAAAAGGTTTCGTGGCCACGCTATGCTGCTACCAAGCTTGCGAACAGGCGGGGATACCTTACGCGTTGGGGCAGCCACCTCTGGAGGCCGCCGCTTCCTTGTAGCTCCTGCAGTGCGTGGGCTCTCTGCGTGGCGTGTTTCCGGATCAGTGTAGTTTTTCATGTCTGACACCGCCCCTTGGCGCTCAGTATAACGGCCTGCATTACCCCCTCCTGTCCGCTTCAAGTGACGCCCTCGCCACGAACGCGGATCGAACTGACCGCTACTCCCAGCTGGGCTTTCCGATACCACTGCGGCATTATTTGCATTGCGCGACCCAAAAACCCGACGGAAAAAGGATGAACTCCCACTGCTGGGCAAGCGGCGGGGTGCAGCAGACGAAAACTGTCTCTTAAGGCGTTCGACTTCAACGGCACTTTCCGTCCTTCTCGAAGTTCCTTGCCCTGTAGAACCGGTTATTCTACCTTCTGCGAGACCCGGGTAGGACGCCCTGATCTTCCTGTCATTGGATCCGGTCACAGATCCTTCCGCACTGGCGTATCCCTCCGGCCATTCAGTGTCGGGTTTATGCTCCCAAGGAGTTGTGTAAAGAGACTTACGAGATCTCCGTAGCTTACGTTCGCCGCTCTGAGGGCGATCTCCCGTATCGTCGGCTAACCAGACGCTGCGATGCAAGGCCCCGGGTGTGTCACCCTCCTCCTCCGAATTTCCTTCCTCCACAGTTTTCAAGTGCGCGAAACGATTGGGCAGCACATCGGTATCCACTTCGACCCTTCCCGAAGAACTGCCTTTCGACAGAGCCTTTGTCGTTCCCGCGACAGTTCGTCGCTTTTTTGCGGGAATCAGGCGAAGGCATTCAGCCTTAAAATTAAGGTCGAAAAAGACCGCGCTGGCAAACGCCCAGGTACAATTCCTCAAGAGCGTAGCCTCCAATCGCCAAAGGCCCACCTGCAAAGCATCCTTGAGCTCCTCGTGCTTTCCGCTGGTGCTACTGCCTGTCGGCACGCTGGTGTACATGACCCTTAGGGCCGCATCAAGTCGAACTCCTATGGCTTGGGCATCCGCAACAACTACCCGGCTCAAAGAAGAGTCGAAACGCAGCCCTCCACACTGGGCTGCCATGCTTCGGGGGACACAGAGATCTGGAGAAAATAATACAGGAAACGGAGGAAACGCTAGACCTGCGTCCCCCCCAGTGGGAACGTCTGTAGAGACACTGCTAGCCGTGCTGCTTGTATCCCCATTGCTGATGCTACTATGTGTGCTCACGCCGCTACTGAACAGCACTTGGCTCTGCCGTCGCCTGCGCTTCATAGCTGCCCGCTTCTCCTCATGTTGCTGTGTTACATATGTTTGCTCTCCAATATCATTACCCGATGTGTCGAAAACTGGTGCCACATCCGCGTGAGCAGTGCAGTCTGCGCAGGGGGCCTCGGATGACTCTGCATCTTCAGCTGCGAAGGGACCGTTGGCATCATCAATAAGCAAATTGCACGTTACGTCTTTAAGCATTAAGTCTATCGTCACTGAAACGCCCTTGGGATTCTGAGTTTCAGATTGTGTCTTTGGCGATGTTCTTGGAGAGGCCGGCGCTTGCTGCGGCGCACTAGAGACACCTGCATTCCCACTCCGACATTCCCCTGCGGCATCAGTGCCACTGGGAGCTTTAGATGGGCTGCAATGGGGTGACGCACCAGGGCCGTGCATCTTATCCTTTGAGGAGGACCCCCTTAAGCTCCTCTTTCGCCTTCCCCCCCCGGAAAGGCTTCGGGAAATTCGTCGCGGTCCATCAGCTGCTAAAGGTCCTAGCAAGCTACTACCGTCGTCTGAGAAACCTTCGGGGGGTCCCCAGCGACTGAATGTAGTCTTGGCTTGCTTTCTAAAGTTCATATTTCCACGTGAGAGGCCACCGGGGGGCACTGAGTTGCTGCTGTAAGTGCTCGTGTCGCCGCTACCTTCAGAACCCCTGCTACTATACATGTCGGCTCGATGCTGTTGCTGTGCGCGGCGCGTTAGCGTAAACTGCCTCTTGATGGGGCGCTTTTTGTCGATCTCCGTAGCGGCGTGAAGATTAAGGCCTGCTACGCGCGCTGCCCTCTGGGATCGAACATCTCCCAACAAGCACGCAAGGAGGCACCGCGAACGTATTGACTCCTCGTTCCAAGAATTGTTCAAGCATAAAGCTGCGTCTGTTAAGCAGCAGAGAAGATTGGCAGTTGGAAACGCATGCACGGACTGTAGACATATCTGGGCTTCGGTGTTCTTTGACTCTGGTTGAAGGCGGAGAGACAAAAACATCTGATCTCTCTTGATGCTGCTGCTGTCCTTCCGCTTCGACAGGAGATCCTCCTTCCCGGTTTTCTTCCTGCCCTCCCGTCTTTGTCCAGCCTTGTCCTCGAATAGCAACAGATTGAGAGGCGGGGTTCCTAAAATGCCAAAGCAGCAGTCGTGCCCGATGTGGGATTGTGACTCCACTGGTGGGTGAGTGAGGTCTCCCTTTCTGTCATCTCCCAAGGTCCAGTCTCCCACCACGTCGGATGACCAGCACCCATCCTCCCCCGATGCCATCATTCCTCCATACGACCTCTCGGGCTCACTAGAAGAGCCTTTAGACAGGGAACTCTCTTTGGTGTCATGGATGGCATCGTCCACATGGCTGTCCTCAGCATTACCACCCCTCCACTGCCACTTCCACCCAAAGTGGTGGTGCTGGTTTTGATCTAGTGGCTGCCCTGTGGCATTCGTACGACTTCGTGCATGACGCAGGAATCCTGAAAGACTGCGCTTCTCCCGCGACTTTGTAGCATCATCTGATGGATAATTAGGCCCGTTCTCTGTGCCTGAACGGGCACGGCCGTGTATGCAGTGACGAAGGGTTACCAGGGGGGAGGGCATTTCCTCCTCTGATTCCAGGGAAGACGGGAACGAACTATCTCCTGTATTCTTTTCATTTTGCTGCGCTTCGTCATTGTCATCTGAGGCTGTCCCCCAGCTACTCTTCCTATGGATCTGCCTTTGATCGCTCTCCACGCCCAGGCTGTCGAGGGGCTGGGATGCATGAACTCGCTCCTCACACAAGACTGCGCCATTCCTAGGTGTGGCCTCGTCAACTATTCTTGCCCGCCTCCCAGCCTGCCTCTTCAGCTCTTGCTCTTGCTGCTGTTTCTTATATAGCAGCAATTGCTGCTGCAATGGGTTGAATAAGTGGCCATTATCTGATGCACCAGAGACCCCATAAGGGCTGGAAAGAACCCTCTTTCCCGCGACATCCCCAGTACTTCTTGCTCCAGGGCTACTCGCCCTGCAGCGCTCGACGCGAATCCCAGGCACGGCAGTTGAATGCCTCCTGTTCGAGCTTGTCCCCGCTTCGGGCACTTGAATTGCTGGACACTGAGAAGACTGCCTACCAGTCTGCGAGGATGTACTCCTAGGTGTGGGCTGGTTGCTGCCTGACCATTCCCTCATCTCGGAGCGAACAAGAGCGGCAGGATCACTTTCTGCAGAATAGGGTACTGGGGAGGACGGGAGCGCACGGCCGGCCGACGAGCCCCAGCGTCTGCACTGAACTCCTATATGAACCACTTTCTTACACAGCACGATACTGCGCCTATGCGTGCCTTGGGCTTTTGAATGTTCAATGAAAAACTCTCCAACTTTGGCCTTCATGCGAATATCTTTCCGCTTCTTCCTCAGAGACACGCGGGCCTCATAGATCCTCAGCAGCACCGCCAGATACTGCTGTTGCGTGTACATGCCAACACACAGACATCCCACCCTGGCGGAGATCTGCAGCGGGGTTAGCGCGGTGTCTGTTCCAGTCCTGCCGAGCGCATCAGCCCCATCCGTACCAAACCCATCTGGAAAGATCCCGGAGGGCACACTTTTACCACTTGCTAGCCGACGCTGAGCGACCCTCCACCGCTGATATGATTCCTTGTTTTCCTGTCCAGGCCCAAGGAACTTTAAAGGAGAAATATCACTCGTGAACCTTTTAACCATCTCTGTATCACTAAAAAACCAATTAAGACGATGGGCTTCTGCACGCCAATGGACAAAGAAAACTCGACCGCACAAGCAAATCGTGCTAAAAATTATTAGCCACCCCTGAACGTCGGGAAGATCTGAGATCGGCCAATACTCAGAGTGCTGGCTTCACAACGAAAAGGTATGCCGTGACATGGGTAGAAAAAGTAAAGTGGAGGTTATGCCTATGTTTATGCATTGCTCACCGCATTCTGACCATGGCCCACTGGTGGGTACTGGCAAGAAAGCGTCTGGTGCTCTCTGTGAAGTTTCTTGGGACGTAGGACCTCCGGGGTCTTTGGATGGCAAGGAGCCTGAACATTTCCTGTCTTCATCGCCATCATGAGTGGTCGTGCCTGCTGGAACTGCTACTGTTCCCCTCAACGCATCCCCAGTGCTGCTTGGGAACATTCCCTTCCTGGGAGTCCCTTGAACTGGGGGGGAAATCCGTGGCTGCTGGTGTTGGTTCTCGGTTGACCTAGCTTTTGGTGACTTCGTGGAAGCACTTTTGCGTTGCAGAGATCCGATTTGTGCTAGTTTCAAGAGCAGCGTCTTAGGATCTCGAAGCGCGTCGGTGTAGGGGAATGAAATAGGATTGAGGAATTGTATGCATGCAGCCAGAGAGATAAGTTGAGTGCATACACCCAAGTTCACCCGACCCACCTTCACGTCCACTTTTTGCTGAGGTGCCTTTGTCGTCCCCACCTGTAGACGGAGGTTGTGCCGTACATACACAAACAGGCATAGGCACATGCACACACACGCATACACAGGTGTGGTGCATTTACACATGCAAACAAAAGCTGACAAGGGCAAACCATGGATGGGGGCATGTTGAATGTGTTACGGCATAAGTCGATCTAGGGAAAAGCCCGAACGAGGCAGATAAGGCACGTACAGAAAGTTCGAGACTCACATTCACATCAAATACGGAGAGCACCGTGCAGTCCGTAGTGAGGCTTGATGTGCCGTTGGTGTTCGGGGATTGAGCCATCACTGCTGCTTCTAGTGCGTCGAGAGACACATTTAGCGTTTCCCAGACAACGGAACGGTCCCGACTTTTAACAGTCCGATTTAATCGGAGAGTCGTTGCAGACGCTTTGAGTCCACAGCACGACGAGGCGAAGCCGTGAGCCTCGACCGGTTCATAGTGTACATCCGACAGAAGCCGATCCTTCAAAGCACAAGAAGATTTGTGGGCCCACAAATAATCTTCGATGAATGTATCCGCATCTGAGTCGTCATCAATGCGTTCTGAACCGCCAAGCTGGCCATTTTGAGCGGCATGCCGCGGTGCTGCTTTTGCAGAAGGACTGCACACCCCAGTGTCGCTGGGGGAAGGTGAAACGAAGGAATCTGAGAAGGAAAGAACCTCTGAGTGAGGATCTGCAAGCGACGGGACAGATGAGGAATTCCTTGAAAACATGTATTTATGCGCCTCGAACTCTTTCCAAGCATCCGCGGCCCGCTCACCAAGAAAAGCAAGGGGCCTACCCGCTGCCGCAGCTGCTAATGAGCGCTCTGCCCAGTCCCCGTCCCAGCCACGTTTGATAGTGCTAGTCTCCGAAGGGCTGCTGCTGGTGCGGCCTTCGCTGTCACCACGGGCAGCTTGACTTTCCCAAGGATTCCATCCAAAACGGCCATTACCGGCAGCTGCTGATTCTGCAGCCGCCTTAGCGGCCGCCTCTGCCGCTGCCCGATGCTGCAACTCCTGCGCCTCGGCAAGGACGTCTCTTCTCAGATGAGACAGTACGCGAGAGTAATCAAGGGAGGACAAATGGTAAATCTGAATGCAACAGACAAGAGAAACCCATGTTCTATCATGCAGGAGATGCTTAGGAGGCATTCAAAGAGGAACCTTGTCTGAGTGGACTAGGGGGCAAAGAGCTTCTGCAGCTATTTATACTATTTGGCGGAATCCATATAACACTGCCAATGATGGTGATACACTGACCACTGTAGCTTTCGGGGCTGTGAGCCGCAGTGTGTTGTCGACGTTGGTGCAGTACCCCAGAGCAAGGCCCATGGCATCTTCTGTGGTAGTCGGCAGTAGACAATCTTTCTCCCTGAACAGGTCCCAAGTAGCAAAGCTCATCTGCGTAAGCGGCCACACACACACACACGCACGCACACAGAATAGATGCGGTGGACGCATTGTTACACCACAGGAATTACAGAGATTCTTGACCCTGCATGCAACCTGCAATCTTTCAGGAAAAAGGGGGGCTTGCATTTGCTCAACCCCCACCAAGCGAAATAGAACCATCTGAATACATTATTGCAGATTTTGAGGGGTATATTCGAAAAGCTTACCGGAAGCGCCTCAGCCAGCGGAAAGAGCTCGGGGGCTGATACGCAAATTTCTGGGATATTGATCCATGTCTTCTTCTTTTCTAGAGGGGCTCCCAACTCCGCATCCCACACCATTTTGCTGCTGATGCTAATCAGAATGGTGCGGCTCTTATCACCACCAATCGAGCCACGCGGCTTCGGTTGGCTCATGACCCTTTCGATGGCTCGTTGAGGGACCTTCTTTACAATATCTGCCAGGTGCCTGGCCCTATCGAAAAAGGCGTGGATGTTGTTATAAACCAACGATGGTCTCATTCGCTGCGGCAGCGATTTCTGGCTCGGTGTTGAATCATTGCGTAGACTGTTATCCAGTTGTTGTTCCTCTGACTGTTGAGCCACGCGCCCAAGAGCAGCTCCCCCCCTATCTACACCCCTGTCGTAGTACTGGGGGGATTTCAGCAGCTCGTCTTTCCTTTTCAGATCGAACTCCGTACTACTCTCATCCACCTTCATGAAAGCGCTAGGGATCTCGACAGCGCGGCCGCGTAGAGGTGGACGTGCTGGTCCAATACCCCAACCGAGGCGAGACGGCGGATCCGCCGGCAAGTAGACGCAAGAGGTGCACCCCAGCTCGCCCAGAGAACTGGCATAGATTAAACGATCCGGGAACGGTGTCTGCAGCAAGCCAAACTCACACTCTCGTGTACAGTCTATAAGGTTTGCCAGAATGGTACAACATGGAAGCTATATCCGGTGGGATACTGTTCTCGAAAGATGCTTGCACTCTCAAGAGCGAAATAAACATAAGAGATGCCCAACTTCCACCTCCGCGCTCGAAAAAGGCAATGCAAAGGGGCGAGAAAGGTGAGGGGGAAAAAGGAGGAATCGCATTCCACACACGGCGTAAATCCATGGTAATTACCTGTATGCTTGCATTATGAGATGAGCGCAATAATATCGCTTCGGAGCACGGCCTTGCCTTCAGAGAGGCGAAGCCCTTTTCAACGAAAACAGAATCAATAAAAATGTCGTGGCATTTGAAAAAATCATTTCTTTTTTCTTGACGGAACTTGAAGTCGGTGCAGACGCGGAACATCAGCGTTGTAGGCGGGATGTCACCAGCCTGTGCTGTCGTCGACGGATTGTCCCATGCGTCCTGAGCCTCTAGGCGTTCCAGCAGTGCCAGAGTGCCCTGACGGCCAAGGGTCTTCCGCTGGTTCCAATGCTTGTCCCTTTGTTGAAATTGTTGTGGGGGGTTTACATGCATACCTGGTTGTATAAGGGGCAAGAGGCGGAAGCAAAGGTTTGGCGCTATTACGGAGAGCAGGCCATCTATATAAAACCACCGCCTGCCACCGAATCCCCCTCTCTGTTCGCCTGAGGCCTCGTCGACAGTGCATGCAATGTCCTCTAGGAGGAGCCGCTCCTTATCTGTGAACTCGTTTTCTCCTTCATCATCTAAAACGGTTTCTGCCGTCTCGCCTGTTGCCCACTGCATGCTACCTCCCGCGTCCGGCCCACAGCAGGATCCGGTGAACCGTCCAAAAATCTGCTTCTGGAGGACAGCAGCGCTCACGCCGTCCCGCCATGTCAAATTATCCTCCGCCAACTGCATGCCACGTCCACACAACCAAAGGTTTCCGAAACCGCCAACTGTGTTATTGCACGGACAGCCTACAAGTCGACCAACCAGCCGTTGCTTTGCGGGCACACGCGGTAGCATGACCAGTGAAGGCATGGCTCAACTTCAACGCATCGACACTAAAAGAGGGAGTTGCTGAGGAACGTTTAGTCGGAGTGCAAAATGTAGGCTCTGACGAACCTGTCGTAGCTTTAGTATTAAATAAAGAGGAGTGGAATATTCAAAATCATCAATAAAACGATCGACAACCTCGCGCATCTCAGCCTGAACCACAAAACGGGACACGCTCACCACAGCGCATGTACTGTGTTGCTCTTCAGACCCCCAAAACCGAAGGACATTCACTCCAAAACGGCGGATAGGCGTAACAGCACAAGGCGGAATCGATAGTCCCAAGCAGCCGCTATGGTACCCGACGCCAGCACTCACTTTAGCAGTAAGCCGCCTCTTCCACATTTCCACATAGGTTGCACACTCCTCTTCCCGCGCGACAACTCTGAGCCAACATAATAATGAGGCCTCCATTGCAGGGTTTGCAGCATGTCCTTTTATCAAGCACGTGAGCGCACAGACCTGCTTTTGGACTCGTAACACTAACGAAGCGGAGGTACTGGAGTAGAAGGATGCCACTGACCTTGTGAGCCTCCCCGAGCCCTTTAGAAATATGAACCACACGTCAAGTAACTTGATGAAGTTGAAGAGTGCTGCTACGGCAGCAGAAGTGAAAGTGAGTTGAAGTGGTTTGTGGTCCATACTGCCGTCAAACAGCGGAGGAGGTGGTGCTCGCGCCTGCTGAGGAGAGGCCTCCTGGTGATTGCTCTGCTGCTCTGTTGAGCCATCAGCCGCTGGCAAGGGGCTATAAAGGCTTGCGTTATGGTTGAGAAAGGATAGCTCCACTGTTTTCCAGCTTTGTCGATTGGCGGCTAGGTTCGACCCCAGTGCGCGCAATTCCCATTTTTTGAACAATATATGCACTGCGGCAGCACAGGGCCAAACCAAACCCAGCTAGAAAAAATCCACGTCAAAAGCCTTAAACGCCCACAAAATCGAAGGCTTTCCGTAAGAAAGGATCTGAGGTTTTCAATTAAGATATTTGGGAGAGGTTAGGTGCCAGCAATGGTCGATTGGTCCCCAACAGGCAGAATATCAGCGGTGCCAAGCACAATACAATCGATAATAATTGTGCGCAGATCAGGATTCGACTAACTTTCAATTCCTGCCTTAGGAGTTACACGAAATGCGTGAGTATTCTCTTCGAGGAGGTCCTTTATCTGAGATGGGACAACTTTGAATGCTCTAGACGCCCGCACTCCTGACAAGAGATCGTCTTCGTTTTCGGTGTTAGTGTCACTCGATTCTCCTTCATTTTCTGAGCTGCGAAGGGCCGCGACTGCCACCGCTTTAGCCGTGGTTGCGGCCTCCGCTGCGGCTTCAGCTGATGCAACTGCGTTTGAAGCCGCTACTGCCGGATTTTGAGTAACAGTTTCGGTGCTGACTGTGTTCGCGGGCAGTAAATTCATAGAAGACGTAGAACTGCCCTCCGCTGCTCCTGTGCTAAGCAGGTTGTCGGCGGCAAGAGGAGTTAATTTTTCTTCGGTGCTACCAAACGCACGTAGGCGCGCTCCGTTGCCTGTAATCACATCGGTAACATCACAAAAGCCCGAGTAAGGGCCCTCAATGACGAATGCAGCGTACTGATATGGGAGTATAGGGGTGAGGCGGTAGATTACACAGACGCGTGGGGGCATTCAAGGGGCCACGATAAACGCACCACACCACCAGCCCCACTGGAGGACTCTCGATGCTAGAGACATGGAAACACTCTGGTCCTCGATGTGAAGAGTCTCCTGAATTTCTTTGCTCAGCATGTTCGTGAGGGTCCCAGCGTCGACCCCTGCTACAGGTTGACTTCCTTGTCTCCTTAGGCGTTGCAAGCCTGGTAGGAGCTCTGAGGCTCCTTGCTGTGCCTCCGCTACCCCAGAGGGCGGCCCAGCAGCAGGTCCAGCAGATGCTGCACCGGGTGCACCAGCTCCAACGGAAGGGGATCCACCAGCTGTTGTGCCTTCATCTCTCTGCAACAGCTCCGAGAGCAATCGTTGAGCTTGCTCATCCTTGGGGTTCCGCCGGAGGCGGCGACGCAACTGTCGGGCCTGTACACCAAGCGAGACAGTGCAGTCAAATGGCACATTAGCCCGTTCTGCGTGAAATGGTGGAGCATTTACCGACTCAACATCCCTCCTGTTTTTAAGGACAGCTCGTTGCTCTGTGTAAGTAAAAGGATTCAATGTGCACAAAAAAATGAGCGTTGAAGTGCATTGGTAACTGCATATCCATAAAGCCAAGGAGCGTTGATAGGCTTTGAACTATATCACTCAGTGTGAAAGGCACCTTGTCGATATTGACGGAAACGCCAGCTTTGCCTTCGAGCTGAGGACGCTTGAACTCCCTATACCAGAAATGCAGCCCCACGAAACGCATCCAGAGTCCCATAAGGAGGCACTGCTCCAGCCCTGCGTGGAGCGACGCACCACAATATCGCAGGAGGTGCACGAACAGATTAAAAGAAGATCCGACCATACGTCAGAAGGGAGGCAAAGGAACAAGGAGAGGGCCTTTCGAGGGGTCGGATACGCGTTAATGCACTCCTAGGTTGAGCCTGCACAACCCGCGCTGGCTGTGAGGTAAGTAAAAAGGGCCTTCAGGCTACCTGTCGCCTCAATGTCAGAGATGCGCGGATCGCCCCGCTTGGGAGAGTCAATGCAAAACTCATCGACATGGCACTGCAGCACGCGACCGCACACGGAGTGCCGAGGAGAGGCCCTAATGGCGCAAGCTCTTAGAATACATCGTCAAGCATTAGCGAAGGCTGATTTGCCTATATACATATCCTAATTGGGCGCATCGCATTAATAACAAAGGCAAGCACGAAAGGAAGTGGGCGCTGCCAATAAGTGAGGATACGACGGAGTGGTAGATGCAAAGAGGGGCACGTCGAAGCCAGCCTCCGAGAAAAACACATAGGCGAGCACATCAAGCGGATAGTGGAGGCCAAGCATGCTGAAAAACTAGGCAGGCCTGCGCTACAACTGGCAGACAGGACAGTGCCGGTCAATGACAGAAGGCTTGCGCCCTGAAGAAGTAAAGCCCTTCGCCTTCTACTGGCGCTACGCCTTACCTCAAATGCCCACGGCGTCGCCCCTAAATTGTCGTCAACAATATGTACGTGAATATTGCGGACCTTGATGGCCAGCGAATTAACAATCCTAGGCTCTAAAGTCTGCGCCACAGATGACCTGTCCCCTTGGGCCGAACCGAGCAAAGAGGCGAATTTCTCCCATAAGACAGTGCGTTTCAGCTTGGCCTTTAAAATTTTGTCTCTCCAGAACTCGCTGTTCCATTCACTCGGATATAAAAGCCGAATGCTGAGCACGCAACACAGTCAGACGGCCTTTATTAGGCAGGGATCGAGCGAAGCCGAGCTGTGTGCGCTTCTTGCAAGCCTGTGTTATGTGGCTGGCTAGCACAAAGCTCCAGTGCAAATACACAGCACCAGCCTTCTACGGGGAAGAATTAAGGCACTCTGAAAAATCCCGTGGCTCATGCCGCGGTGTCGCGTGCAGAGAACTTGGGCCAGCACCCCATGCACCAGCAGCGAAGGTAAAGGGCAGCGGCAGCAGCAGTAAAAGCAACGCCACGGAGTATGAGCGCCGCTGGCAGTGTCTCCTTTGCCGACACCTTACCGTATCTCGAGATCGTCCGCCTCAATGGCAAAAGGATAAGTTCCTGGAGCTCCAAAAAATGTCTGCCACGAGAACTTTGCCCGCACCTGCATAGAGACGCAGCAAAAAATGCTCATAGGCACTCCTCTACATTGTCTTAGTTCTGAGCATGCCGTATGTAGAAGAGCATCCCAAGTTGTCCGAAAGAAGGCACTGAGGTGTTTGGGGCATTCGTGTTGGGACAATGTGGGACATGCAGCTTACTTTGGCAATATTCGAGTAGTCCACAGCGAAGGGGATCTCTGCCAGCTGAAATAACTGTTGAGGGAAGGGAATATTCGTCAGGTGTATCTCTGGGTCTGTCAGAGAGTCAATCCTAAGGCAACCAAAACCACCAGCGAACAAAGTGGCAAATCCTGTTCACGGACTGTTCCAGCTCCCCCCAGATGGCTGGCCCCTATTTGAGGTTTACACCCTCAGAGCTGTGCCATCCTGAGGGAGGAGAGAAGCATGAAATACACTTCGTAAAACAAACGGCCCTCCAACGATGGGAGAAGGGCTATAGTGCCATGAGCTTTCTTGCTTGGGAAATGCTGCAACACCTCGCGCCTTCACTGGGTGCTGCAATAATAGGCTACAGGCAGCGGCATTGGGTAGCAGCAAACCTGAAGTTGTTTATGGGATCCCAGTCGCCAAGAAACTCCTTGCCGTAGGCCTTGATGACCTGGTCAAGGATGTTGGCTAGCATTCTCGTAGGCAGGCTCTTCGCACATGCTCAACCAGCGGTAACGGACGGAAAACGAGTGCGTTCACAGCCGCAAAGGCCCACTCCTCTACCTATTGATGCTTCCAAATGCAAGAGACTGCTTTTGGTGCTGATTGAGTGGGTGTTGAGGTTGTTCCCCCTCCAACAGAGCTGTGCCTCGAAATCCTTAACTGTGGAGCAGTGCTGGAGCAATCAAAAGACATTAGCGCCTAACACAGTTGCAGCACCACATTGAGGCGCTGCTATGCCCTCTTGGGCTGCCATTCGTCACGAAGCCCCAGGCCAACGACTGCAGCACTCCACCAGGATTACTCTTCGAGTCAAGAGCGGTGGACGCGACCGGTGGGGGGTACTGGAGGGCCTCTTCCTGTGACTAGTGAGTCCCCTGAAGCAGTGCTTGCTCAACAGCTGAGGAAGGCATGTGGATAGTTGTCATGCAAATAGTACATTGGCGACTTCCGGGCACGCTGGCGGTGCGCCGAGACAGTGGGCAGCGCCTGAGCAGTGCAGCGCGGCGTCTCAGGAGGTCCTTCGTTCTAGATGAGGCTTCACTAGCGCCAATGTACAAGGTAAACAAGGGCCGCATGCACCCGATGCTCTAGAGCAGCAGGAGACAGCGGTCGCGAGAGTCGTGCTCGGTACCGCGGAGCGCCGGTCCCTACAGTGAGGCCTTTCGCCTGTTCTTCTGAAGCCAGAGAGAACTAAAACCAAAACTTCTAGTCAAAGCTACGAAAATAAGGTCTAGAAGGCCTATGGAAGACACTGTGACCCAATAGTTGCCCAGAGCTACACAAGAGCCCCTCTTGTGGCCGGCTGCCGGATCAACCTGCCTTTAGGGACCTAGCTCAACTGAAAGACTACCTGGGCCCTAAGCTCCAGGCCTTCAGCTGTTTGTTCTTCTTTGTAGTGCCACTTTTCTTAGTAGGAAAGAAAGCAAAGCATCAGTGCGCATTATTCCGTGTGGACAGTCAGCTGGAGCATGGCTCTACAGCACTACGAGGCGACACCCCACTACCGCCTGCAGTATTTCCTCCCTTGTGGATCCTTGTTTGCCACATGCCCCACTGTTAGAGCTGCATTTCCTATAACTCTACGGAGGCGTTGTTTCCCAGCCATTCAGCATCGTCTTTCGTCTAGCGGAACCTGACGGGACATGACCACTCGAGAACAAGGCACGAAGGGAGCACACAAACAAGCCGATCTCCTATATACCTCGAGTCAAAACTCAGCGGAAATATATTTCAGGAGTGGCGTGCGCCCAAGGTACCCTTTGCCGCCGCCCTCTGTCCTTAGGTTTCCATGGCGGGCAATCCGTGAACTTCAGCCCTGCTCTACGCACAAGGGGGCCCGGTAACAATGCATAGTAATGCTCCACAAAAGTAATTCTTTGTTTTGAATGCTTGCCTCGCATGGATGCCATGCGTGCTTCGCACCTACGAAGCGCTCTGGATTACTAAGCCAATTCCTGCAGTAATGTGCAAGCGGATGCCGAGTCCGCTTTCCTCTGAATGCTCAGCAAGCAGACAAAATCGAATCTTTACACTATTTGTATGGGTGAGTACGGCTGTCTAGAAAAGACGAATAGCTGCTTTACGCACATTGTGAGGAACTACACGCATTGTTATCTGTGCTGACTTCAAAAGCGAAACGGTTTAGCACTGAACTTCAGAAGGAGTTTTTCTTTCAGACTCTTTGCAACGAGGAAACTTTCGTGCTCTAGATACAGCTGCAAATTCACCTCTAGGCGGCCTTGTCGCTCAGCAGTGGCTCCAGCACTCCAGTCAAAAGGGCACGCAAAAATTTGTGTTGCCAAACTTAATGAAGGGACCTTACCTCTATTTATTTGTTTGCATGAATCACTGCTCTTTGCTTTTTCGTGATTGTGTACTCATGCTTGTCTGTAAACCTCAAATGCCTTAAGCGATTCCCTAAAACCCGCAAAACTTAGCCTCTGCCATCTTGCTGGCAATGGTGAGCTTCCCAATCAATTGCAAATAGCAGCTTTGCCTTTTGGGCCATGGAACAAAAAAGGACGCTTCCTCATGAGGACACAAGGCGCCCCGTAAGCGCTGTACTCTCCGCTCCAGGGCTCTGTCACAAGCCTTCATTTAAGAGCCGCGCTAGCGCAGTATATGCCCTTCGGAGGTAACTCGTCGGCAGAAACAGTGTTGATATGAGGCTTCGAGTTCCGCCTTCCCACAGAGGTAGTCCGTTTCACCCTAGCTGGGGTGCTTCAACAGCCCGTGCACTTGTAAGAAGTAACGATGCCGTTTCTTATGGAAGGCCTATTTTACTAATATGCTCAATATGTAGTTTAGGATGCCCTAGACTAGTATCAACTCACATGAAGCAGCTGGCTGCATTCTGAATGCCAGGAATGGATTCTTTCGTTGCCAGCACCATATTTAGCCTATATTTCAACCTTTTTGGAATTCTCGGTTTGCATATTCGTGGACACATTTCAGGCACAATTACTTAGTTCACGATGGTGTGCAACAGTCTAATTTAGCGTATAGTTCCTATTGTAGTCGTTCTCTGAAGATCCTCGTCTCCATGAAACCCTGGAATGACATGAACAAGCTCTTGTCTACTCCCTTCCGAAAGCTCTTTCTTAGCTGGTTAAGCTTTTTCCAAACATTCTTACTGCCCCCATTATGGTTATCACGGAACCACTAAATTCCTGGTCATTCTGTTTGTCTGTCCGCGTATCGTATCTATTGCGGAAAAGCTCCGCAGCTAGAAGACGGAATGCTGTGTGTGTGTGTGTGTGCATGTGCTAGATGCTTTTCGCCACTAGCTATGAATGTTCGGAGCTCTTGGAGTGTGCAGTGCACTCACCAGAATTGTTTATCTCCCTCAGTGCCGGAATCCGAGAGCGGTGCGAGCAGAAAAATGCGGTAGGCATTTTGAAAAGCATTTAACAGCAATCTGTGAAGTTTATATGGACTCTGAGGTGAAGTGTTACCCAACGAAGACCATGGGTGGAGCGGGAGGGCATGAAATAAAATTCGCTTATTCTACAAAGGTCAACGCGCTGCAACAAGTCAAGTAGAAGAACCCACCTTTCGCACTGCTAATGCTTGGCTAATCTGTATCATATATTACTAGCGTTGTGGTACCTATCTATATGTAAATCGTTCCATTCCCTAGGGGCCAAGAGGCAGCAAGGAAAATTATCTACTCTAGAGTCGAGGGCCTCGCTCGATGGTTGGCTCGTGATCACGTAGCTTTTCTCCTCAATATTCCAGTAATATATAACCACACTAGATCTGCGACCAATGTATATGTAAAAGTAATTGTCCATACTTCAGGCGTCGCATCATACCATCTACCAACCCATGAGCAAGCTCACACAGAGTTCAGCAGAAGTCAGATGAATACTTGACAAGCTTACTTTCGACGGGGAGAGAGCCTCTTGCGGTATTCTACGCCTAAATGAGGAATGCCCGAGAACAAATACAGCCTCGGTGAATCGATCATGCGCTGCACACAGTCCGTCCACTGGTAGCACCAGGAGTGTGAAAGTCCCCCGTTTGAACGGATTCTTTTGGTCTCCCCTAAAATGTCATTAGAATGGACGTGCATTCCTAGATATGCTAGTCGAGTGCCCTGTACTAACTGTGCTTGTCAGCAATCTGTAACTCAGTCGGGGCTGGTAGCATTGTAGCGCATGCAGCCAGCGACCTGCTCGATCGCGTGACTACGCGTGCTCAAAAATCCAAGAATTTAAGAACCGGAAAAAAGCCATGACTTACGTAGGGGGCAGTTGTATTGCGCTTGGGGCTTACTGCTTGACAGCCAATAAGGGCCCTGGGCTCCGCTTTGTTCGTTGCGTTGTTCCCTCTTCCTCGCCGCTGGCTCCTCTGGGAGACTGTCTGCGGCAAAAGGTGGAGGGTGCTGCGAGCAGCTTGCGGGTGTGGCTATTTACCGGCATCTAGAAGCGCGAAGCAGCGCTTATCCGCTTTTGGTGTGGTTGAGACCGCGTTCCACCCAAGGGCTCAGTGTTTGTATAGGGTTTGTTTGTAGTAGGCCACTAGGTGGACCGGTCTCCCGGTTATATGGCCATCAGGCTTAGGATCGAAGATGGTTCGAATCTTTATTAAGGGGGGTGTGTGGAGGAACAGCGAGGATGAAATCCTGAAGGCCGCAGTTATGAAATATGGCCTCAACAACTGGAGTCGTGTGGCTTCTCTTCTTGTCAAGAAATCAGCCAAACAGTGCAAAGCCAGGTGGTGAGTTGCTGCTCGTATCCGTTGCAGTAGGTGTGACGTGTCCCCCTGCAGCACTCCCCAGTGCCACCCACCGCTTGGCGGCAAAGAATCTGGATCGCTGACTTGAACAACTGCCGAAGCCTATGCCTTTGACGTCGCACTGGCCATGTGTATGCATTACCAGGTATGAGTGGCTAGATCCTAGCGTGAAGAAAACAGAATGGACGCTGGAAGAAGAAGAGAAACTGCTGCATCTGGCCAAGATCATGCCATCACAGTGGCGCACCATTGCTCCCATTGTTGGAAGAACGGCATACCAGTGCCTTATGCACTACGAAGAACTTCTGGATCAGGCGCAAGGTGAGTCTGCAGATGAACGTGAAGAGGATTTTTTTGCATCCAATTTGTACGCGCGTTGTGGTTGTCTCTCCCCACTTCCCCCCCTGTGCAAGTCGCATTTTTCTGCCCTGTGTGCAAAACTGGCCTTGTTTTCATCGCTCTCATTCTGTGAAGCTTCCCTTTTTACGAGTCTGCCTTCGTCGCGTTGTTTGCGCCTGATCACCCATGCGGTGCTGCTTCCCACGGAAGGGGTTCAAGGGGCTTGAACCCCTTCCCCCTTGTCTTGGTAGAGCACAAACGCTAGCATCTCCGTGCCACTGTGTGACGCCAGTGGCTGCAAGCACTACCTGAGTGAGGTAGATCATCATGTGTTTGCCTCAGAAGGGATGGAAGGAGAAGAAGGGAAGTCAAGCGGCACGGCTTTCTCACAAGCCCCTGGCAGTCGCAAGGCCCCTGGAAGGGGTGTGGGATTTCTGGTAAGGGCGCGTGAGGGCGCTTTTGCTGCATGTAGTGCAAACTGCGTGAAATTAAAGGTGTCGAAGTCGAGTCCTTAAGCGCCTCCTCCCCCGTCCCTAGGAAAAGACATCAATAGGCGAGTCTGTATGCATGCCCCGCAGGTGGGAGTGCTGTGATATATGTGTTACAGAGAGGGAGGGAAGACCCTCGGCGTCTTCGTCCTGGAGAGATTGATCCCCATCCTGAAACCAAGCCCTCTCGTGCAGGTGAGCGTGGGTAGCAATGCTTCTGAGTGTGTGTCAGGGCTTGGAGCTTTTCGCGCAAGCTTCTAACGCCGTGCTTCGGGTTCTGCGAATTCGGTTGGGGATAAGGTTCGATCAAGGGTTTGTACGGCGGTGTCTCGCGGAAGACCAGGTAGCGGCAAAAATATGAGAATGTGCATGTTTCTACAGATCCAATTGACATGGCGGAGGATGAGAAGGAAATGCTTGAAGAGGCCAGAGCCCGTCTCGCGAACACGCGTGGCAAGAAGGCAAAGCGCAAAGTACTTTTTGTTGGCCTTATTACCCTTAGGCATAAGCGTTTACGGCTTCCGCAAAAGGTTGATAGAAGTGAAGCTTCGGTGCCCTGCTGTCCATCGCGGGCAAGGGCTGCAGCTGTGTGGGCTTGTCGACTCCGCAGGCTAGGGAGAAACAGCTCGAAGAGGCACGCCGGCTAGCGTCTCTTCAAAAGAAAAGAGAGCTCAAGGCGGCAGGTGTGTCAAGTTTTGGTTGTAATTAAAGGTAGCGAACCGGGGCGGTGCAACACGATGGACTGAAAGGGGGCACAGCCACCTTCGCCAGAAGGGGGAGCAGTGGTGTCAATGGGAGCAAGTGCTGCAGTCGAGAAACCCTCCGTTTCGTAATTGGCTTTCGCGCATGGGTGTGCGCTGCAGGCATCATCACCGGCGCCAAGAGACGAACCAGGAAGAACTTCCAGCCATACGAGGAAGTGCCCTTTGAAGAGAAACCGCCCCCAGGTTCGCTTTAGGGTTTAGCGTATGCAAATCACGTGCTGTGGGGGCCTAGGACAAGACGCAGGCGTGCCGTAGGAACCCCGCTTTTCGCGCTCTGGCGTTCATAAATATCCTAGACTCTGGTGCGGCCTGCAGGTTCCAAGCTTTTGTATCACGTGTGTTGCACGCACGGGTGTGTTTGTGTCTCGGTATAGGTTTTTACGCGGTCCCGTCAGAGGAGAATCCGGAGGGAAATCTGAACTTTGCGAATATTAGGTGATGCGGCGTTTACGTTATCGTATTGGGATTGGTAGAAAGGGCCCGCAGCAGTCGTAATGCTTCCCGCGCTGATACTTCATCGCAGGTGGTGCCTATTCAGGTGTCATTGGAGCACCTTTCAGGCTCTACGAGACCTGGGAAAGGGGTGCTGTGCGGCTTTTGATGGGGTGGCGTGCCTAAGAAGCCTTTACGATGTGTGCTTCGTTTTGCGGACTGATGTTTTGACAGCTTGCAGCACATGGAAGGATCGATGCGCGCTCGAGAGGAGGAAAAGCTGCGGAAGGAAGATGCACGGAAGTTGAAGCGACTTAGAGAAGATCACCTGGATGAGTACCTCAAGCTGCAGGAGGAGAAGCTGAAGAAAGACGCTATTGCCAAGAAAATGAAACTTAATCTACCGGAGCCAATGTTGAAAGAGCACGAACTGGTGAGTGGGATTGTCTGGCGCTCCTTTCCACAGCACTTTCGCATGCGGCTTCGTCCACCCGTCTGCTCTTCTTCATGGGAGGGTTCTGGTAATTTTTGATCGAGGATGCGAGCTGACATTCCTTGCGTATGCGCAGGAGGAGCTTGTTCGCCTTGGCGCAGAGGCTTCGCTTCTGACGGGCGCAGATGGTCATGATGAAACATCAACGTTGCTTGCCCAGGGTGAGGTGTGGAGATTCGCATCCACACAGTTAGGGTTTGGAACTGAGAGCCGAGATACTTACGTGGTGAAGGTGCGGCCGTTCTTCCATAGGCCTGGCTTGTGCGAGCGACTGTGCTGTGCTTTATAAGAAATCTTTTTTAGCTTTTGAAGTTGCTGGTGGCAGGGAGGCGCATTGGCGTTCCACTGCCTCGGCATTGTATAGAATCGCATTGCAGCCTTTTAATGCCATACGGCGTTGCACGGGGGTATGTGCGCTTCAGGGCTTTCTACGCCATCCACGGCAGTTTCTCGAATTCCCCGTCGGTCAGAACGCGTTCAGCAAGAGGCGCGCAACGCTCTTGCGCTTCTTGGGGTCAATACACCACTGGAGGTGAGCAGCTGGTAGGGGTGGATGCGGGCCAGAACCGAATGGCGAAGTGGCAGATAAGACAGACATTCAGGCAGAAAGGAACGAAGGCAGCTGATTAAGGTTTAGAGAGAGGCGCATGTTGACGGCGAAGGGACGAGCATCGCAGTCGTGGGGGTTGCCTTTCTACTGCAGCGTCCTGCAGGACGAGATGCACGGAAACATATGTGTGCAGTGTGATTGGAGTGGTCGCTGAATTACGGGTGGGTGTGGCGTTGGGGTTTGCTGCTGCCATGTTTTGTAGGGTGAAGAGAATGCACACATTGAGGAGGTCTCTGGGGGGGTTGGCCTAACACCCGGTGACGTACGGACGCCTAATGCTCTGCAACAGCAACTCCGTAGCAGTCGTTTGACGGGCACTATATCAGACACGCCACTCACTGCAGGTCCGCCATGGTTTTTTTCACTGTGCCTCTGAGGCCAACCTCTGAGGCTCTGTCGTATCTCAAGGGGTTGCACATTTGGAGTTAGCGTCTAGGCCTCATTAGAGCTTGTGGGGTTACTGCAAACGGGGCTGAATTATCTACTGGCGCATCCCTAGAGTCGTTGTGCGCGCCGGTATTGCGCGTTCTTTTGTTGCTGTGTTGTCGGCCTTCAGCCTCTCGCATCACAGGCACGGGCTATGGGAGCAGCGCCACTCCGCTGAATGATCCATCAGACGTTGGTTCGGCCTCAGAAGGAGGTGGAATGGGCTCAAAGGCAGAGCTGCAATTGGCGCGTCTCCACGCTCGCACGTCTCTTGCTTCGTTGCCTGCACCCCATAACGACGTCACGGGTCAAATTCCTGACGATATCACAGAAGAGGAAAAGGATCTTCTCGAATCTGAAGCTGTGAGTCCCCGTCCAGCAGATCAGTGGCGTCTCGAGTGTGCCGTGTCTGGCCAGATATGCTTTTGCCGCTTCCCTTGGTAGCAGCTGCCCACTTTCGGATATCGTCTGTATAGTGTGAGGACCCAGCAGTGGCTGTATCCACAGGCTTACACAATTAATAGGGGGCTGGCGCTGCGTTTATTACGTGAAAAGTCCTACTGGAATTTTAGTCCATAAAGTGTGCGTGTGAACATTTCATTCTAGGATCTGGACATGGAGGAGGTCGAGAAGCGTCGTGCAGAGCGCGCGGCCGAAGCGGCCCGCCGGCGGTTCCTAGAGCAAACGCAAGTGATACAGTGCCAGCTTCCTAGGCCTATTCTCCCACCACTCAAACCCCTCTGCCAGTCACTCGACGCTGCCACTGTCGTGGCTGCGGCGGTACAGCACCAGCTGCAGCAGGATGAAGCCACGTACATTACTGAAGAGGCAAAAGATGCGGCTGTTTCCGCCATTTCAGAAGCCACTTCCCTCACTGAGCGCGTCATGGTGAGAAAAATGCAAAATATGTTCGATCGATAGAGCTGTTGGGAAGCGGGGCACTGGAGGGTTGGCCTGCGCAGTGCGCCCTTAAGCGGGTAGCCAGACAGTCCCGTCTCATCGGCAGAGCAACACTAGGCTAGGTGACTCATTACGTGGTATTGTTGTGTCGTTGCGAAAGAGCGAAGCGGACTTTTTCGAAAGGAGAAAGGCCTGTTGGACTGCAATGCGAGATCAATCGATTACATGCGTCTACGTTGGTTCCTGCTCCGAGTCTACGGTGGAAGGCTTTGCCGTTTTCTGTATGCCCTGCAGAGCCTGCTTGTTCAACATGATTGTTTTGAGCATCCATTTCGGGGTATCAAGGTGAGCGCTAAAGTCCGTTTACGCATTTGCGAAATTCCATTTAGGTCAACTGTTCCTGCAGTTTCTGCTCCTTAGTAAATACTTACAATCTGTGACCTTTGGACAAGTAGTTAGCCACGGACCTCAATATGTGTGCATTCACCTGGGTTACTGCGTTGTCGGCAGCCACCGCCGCCAGCTGCCGAGCTTGAGCCATGCAGCTTGGAGGAAATGCAGGTAGGGAAGAAAGGCAAAGCAATTTTCCGTGTACAACAGGCCAAGGCGTTCGTAGGCATAAGGCTCTCCCTTTGTCTGCACAGTTTGGTTTAGGGGCTTGAGATCTAGGCTTTGGACTGCGAATCCATGTTCCTGTATGTAGCTACCAATGCGGATTTTTGTGCAGGCGGCGCGGGAACTGATTGAAACGGAGTTAGCTTCTTGGGGTGTCGACGAAAACTATCCGAAATTGGACAAACTTCTTTTCACTTTGGAAACTCAGCTAGTATTCAACCCGGCTTCAAAATCGTGCGCCTAAATTTCAAAAAACTACTAGTAGATGTATCTGTATCTTCTTCGTCGCTGTACATAATGTGGTATATTGCGAAGAAACAAGCAAGCCCTCAGCACTGCAAGGAATATTATGCAGTCGAGTGTCCGTTCACTGGATGCGGGTGCACACTTACAGTAATTCGTGCCTCCAAAGCTGGGAGAAAGTTTGAAGCAGTTTCACCATTTGCACAACAACAGGTGTGCATGACGATGCTGAATGCGCAGGTATGTATCTGCATCAAACTTGAGCCCAAACGAGCGTCTCCAGGTGCACGTGCATCAAGTGGAAACATTAAAGACCGGCTTAGCCACAGCTGTTCAACGCACAAAGAAACTAGAAAAGAAATACAAGGTGCTTACGACGGGTTACACGAATCGTCAGAAGGAACTGGCCAAGGCGATAGGTGGGCACCAACACTTCGACACTAATTTCATGACTTGCATTGCGCACCAGTTTCTGTTTCTGGACGATGCCTTATGCAGTGCCTTTCTATCACTGGCAATTTCCAAGGGAGTCCAGATGCTTTGTGGTGTTCTTGATTTTACTTCCAAAGCCGTTTCCAGATATATGCGCCCCTTCGAGCACACTCGATGGTGATCTTTTGCGTCACAGGTGAAAGCAGCGCTGAATTGCTGCAGCTCGATGCCCGTATCGCCTCCTTTAGCAAGCTTCACGAAGCAGAACAGAAGGCAGTGAAGACTCGGACCGAACAAAAGAGGCTAGAAGTCATACGGGAACGAGCCAAGCACCTGTTTCTCCAGGTAAACCATATACTCCTCATGCACGCTAGCGAGTATTCAGAGCAATTTAGCCGGCAACAGTTGCTTTTGCAACGTTTTGCTTGAATAATTCGGTGCACAGTTAGTTTGTAGTCGTGATCGAGTGGACATCTTGGTTCAACTGCCAGCCTTTTGCCAAATCGTGCTCGAACGTGTGCTATTTGCACCCCAGTGCATTGTTGGGCCTACAGTATGATGCAGCGACCTAGGACGAAGCTTCTATCTTCAGTGGATTGGCGTTAGTATTGATGCTGACATGATGCCGTACACCCATGGGTTTTGGAAGCTTATGGCAATAATTAGTTCTGCTGGAAATATGGTCAATCGTGCGCTCAGCAACTCTACGGCCGCCTAACAGTGGTCAAAAAGCATCTTCAGGAGTTGCTGAACGAAAAGGGGACGACCCAACAGCTGCACCAAGGGGAAAAGGACCAAGCTTTGCCATAGGGCTTTGCACACCTTCGTGACCGCTAGACTTGCGCTTGCTGCGAGGCACAGAGTCACTCTGCAGTAACTCGTTGCTGAGAACTTGCAGGACACTGTGTGCCAACTCTATAAGCGAAGCTGTTTGTAATTTAGCTATTTGTGGTCGCGACATAAGCTAGATTTGCGTGCTTGCAACTAACTTTATAGAGAACATGTGGTTGTCCTTCACAGCGAGCACAGAGTTGAAGCGGATTAGGCAGATTCACTTAAATTCACCTTGTCCGAAAGCTCGAGGTGACACTAAAAGCTATATTGAGCTTTATAAGTTCGAATCAACCTTATTAGAGGGCACATACCCCATGTTCTTGCATCTATTCATCGAACTGGAGGCTCACCATGAGTACGCTTTCAGGAAGCGACCTGGGAGCTCACAAGGTTTTAATCAAGCCCAAAATCGTGGTTTCCGAGTCGGGATATTGGTGTAACCTCTGGGGTTGGTGATCCGTGGTGTTCAGCCGCAACGAGTGGAGACACCTAGTTTAGGCTGCCACAACTCTATGCAATGAGTCAAGGTTGATCCCGTTAACTACCTTATTTTGATCTATGGGGAATAAATTTTTGACTAAAGGCTTGGTATATGCTTAGACATACTTTCACTTCACTGTGATACGGCTGTTGGGAAAGGTAAGCATCTAGCATACGCGCCGGCAATGGACTGGATCAATCGACCGCTAACCAGCTGGAAGCAGTACGTGCTCTCAAAACCCGATGACCTTGGAATCATGAAATTTTAATTTATAGAAACCATATTTGATCATATTTCACCGTATTCAAGGAAATCGTTCGTGATTTGGACGGGCGAAGTCCTTGAATGCACGTGGGGCTAGCAGCGTTTGGTAGATAGCACGATTTTCCAATACTCTGAATTCGTTATGGTCCTACTTGAAGTAGCTGTGCTAATTTTGCAGCTCTGGCCTCAAGAATAAGTCACTGTAGCACCAAGTTTCTCATGGTCACCGGTCCTCCGTATAGAACTCCTCACCAGTCTTTGCAATCGCAACCCGCTTTCAAAAACTACCGCCTGCTTCAAGTTGAAGAACTAAAAACGATCTTAGTTTTTCCATCAAAAAATGCTTCGCCTGGTGAAGTTCCTAGTCGTCTTGGTTTTGCTAGGCCTTGCAGGGGGTGCACCGGGTGAAGCTGGAAGAGGTATGGTTATTTGTTGTTTTACAAAATTTTACCTGCACAGAATAGCCTGCTCTATGTGGAGCGTACCAATGCGCACTCAAGAATCTTCTTTGCGCAGGACACCACTCAAATTCACTTCTAAAATTCTGCAGTCCGACTTGAAAGCACAGACTCCATAAACGGTGTCCCCATTCCCATGCAATGAAGCAATATTTGACTTCAGAGTATTCGGTCAATGGGTGTAGACGAGCATCGTGAGTGCGAATCGATTCCCAGGCAAATAGTGATTATTTATATCGATAGTGGCAGCAAGAGGGATAATCGGCCGCAAACATCAGAGCTAAAGTAATCTGGCTCAATGCTTGCGTTTGACTTTGCAGTATGCGTGTGTACGAAAAACTACAAGCCTGCATGCGATACAGAGGGCACTACGCACGTCAACAAGTGCATACTCATGTGTAAGGGCAAAAATCTTTCGCATGCAGGACCTTGTGCTTCATCTCCAAGTAAGACCATAAACACTAAGAGTTATCCTAGCCCATAAACGGCACCAGGATCGATTTTTTAATACTCGTATTCTTGATGAGCTTCGTCAAGACCCGACTGGCTGATAGCCAAGCCGTTTTATTTGCGCGCTACACGTTTTTGCAGCGTGCATTTGTATAAAGCACACTCTGAAGCCCATGTGTGACACACAGGGCAAAACACACGCTAATGAATGTCGAATGAAGTGCGAAGGGAGAACCCTTGCCCATGAGGGTCCCTGCACGGAGACGCTAGGTGAGGTCACCAAGCTTGCAGCTGGACTAGTGTGGCCATCCAAGTGCTCCTACATCCAACACATGTCGGTTGCTATCATGGAGCCTGCCACGAAGCCAGAGCTGTCCTGGCAACGACATCTCGACTGATCATCTTTCATCCTGTACTGCTACCTTTGTGCAGGTTGCGTCTGTACGGAAAT